TTATGAAAACAGAGCCTTTTATGATAAAAATTTTGCAAATAATATTAAAATATTAACTACAAATGCAACAGATGCAGCTTGCTTAAAGGAACACACTGGTTCCATCAACAATTTTCGACGAGAATTGGAGATACATTAGTTCCGCTCTAATAAGAGAACGAAGTATGTATACTTAATTATTTATCTGTTTGCTTCAAGTTTTTCTAAATTAAGTTACAGTTGTTTCTTTTGCACTTTGAAACACGATCTGATGAACACAAGTATAATAAAAAAATATCTGCAAAATATGATTTCTCAACTTTGCTAAAAATACATCATTTTATTCATTTTGATTTTTGTCGGAGTTTTCAAACGTTTTAAACTTATTGTATTTGCATATACTTATTTACTTTTAATTGACTGGTGAATGTACTCAAAGAAAATTAAATTTAAAATGATATTACAAGTAGATGAAAACATTAAATTATAATAAACATTTTTACATGCTTATAAAATGTTGGGTAATAGCAAGTAATTACTTTTGCTACTTGTATAAAAAATTTCTTTTACAAATTCTTGGAATTTCATTATACCAAAAGTCCAAATATAGCTAATAAATATTTGCCAAGGACAAGAACAATTATATTAAAACTTTCTCATTACGCTAAGTTTCTGTGGGTGAAACAAGAAAGTTAAGCAATACTTTTCATAAATATGGATTCCTTTATTTGCATATTAATATAACAATTTTATTGTACGCTTGGAATCTAGCAACTGCCTGTATTGTATTTTACAATCGCATAAACATGTAGAACACAAATTTAGTACAGACTTTGTGATATTCAACCTCTTCAAAGTGTAAAGTTTAATACCTATTATCATGTTGCTAAAATTGGGTTTAGATTGGACAAATCAGGATAAATCCCGGATAGAAACAGTCATTTTTCGTGAGATGGGGATTGTAGTAACAACGACCCTCGCATTAATTCTCAACAAAACATAAGGCATATTTGTCCCGGGAATTAATTTGAGTGGAAAGTAGAAGCCTTACAAATTACGAGTATGAGATATCACCGAAAATTTACCGTAAAAATTATCTGTGCTTGGACATGAATATAATAATTGTAATAAGCTTGCCTCAGATGCACTCACATCGTATGCTTATTATTCTTATCCTCTTGAGAACAATTTAAACACAAAGAGAAGATAGTTACGTGAAAAGTTATATTTGAAAGTTTCATGAAAAGGAAAATATAAAAATGCAAAATTAAAAAGAACACACACATATTATGATCAAAATATAGAAATGTTTACTACACAAAACAATGGGTAATTAGAGAGATTTAGGTTTTATTTTCTGACCTATTTTTATATCGACCTAAATTGAGTTTCGAGTTTCGATTCAAATACAAATTCACTAGAAATTAAGCAACTAACGAAAAAATAGAACCGTGTAAAATAAATCAGAAAGATAACGTAAGTAGTCGAACATTTCTTATTTTACATCCTTTTTGTAAGCCGGTCACGTAAAGCAGCTTGCCAGCAAGCTTTTAACTTTAAAAGTATAGTCACCTTACACGTCTCCTAAACCAAACTATTTTTCAATTGTTAAAGGTCAAAAAACTCAATCCGATAAAATACACATCGAGAGTGAAATGTTTAGAACAAAACAAATATCACACACAAAGTCAATGGCCTAACAAGCTTCTGTATACTTAATCTTAATGAGACGAGAGAGTAAACAGAGCTTGTCACCAGTAACGAATCCACGAGACTTCCTTTCAAGATTTCAAGAAAGCTTTTTAGCAAAACTGGAAACATTAATTTGGTTCTAAGTTTTCAAACCGTTTTATTTTGCTTTTCGTTGATCATTTGCTCCCTGTTAGGCACTTATTTAACAAATGCAATATTTCAAATTATTGAATGAACGACAAGAGGAGTTATTTAAAGCGTCACACTTGTGTCGTTTACGTAACAAAATAAAGAGTGTTTTATTAAAAAAAAAAAATAGAAAAGCGGATTATCTCATCCTTGTTTAACAAAACCATTTAAGATTAATTGCACAAAGCATTATAAACTTAGACAGTCACCTCATATTTGTTATTTAGGTTCGGCAATTATCACAATAGTACGTTTAATCTCTCGGGAGTTATCTGTTTGATAAATTTCTGCCTTTGTATAAAAGATGGAAGCGTTATATACCACTATAAAAACCATATTGCCTATAATTTACCCGAAACGATGTAATAAATGATCCGCCAGCTTATAACGTAGTATCTCTGATAAAATAAACAAACTCTGCTCAGAATATATATTTTCTGAAGTGAAGGACATTCACCCTAAAGGAGAACCAATAACATGATAAAAAAGTCTATGTATAAAATGTATGAGAGAATAACATAAAGAGGATTTTAAAAATAAAATCTTTTACACCCTGACAAAATAGAGATTTATTTTTGAAGTAGGTAAGAATACAATAATGCATTTCTTACAAGTTTGAATCATTGAAATTTGATAATAGTCGTATAATATTTAAAAAGCATCCTCTTTGTGCTATTTAATATTTAATGAATTTGGTATTTCAAGAAAAAATAAAGAGTTAAATTTTATTTTGTTTACTAGTAAATAAAGTAAAGTAAAATAAAATTTAATTGCAAAATTAAATTTTTGTAATAGTCGTCAATGTTGTGTCAGAAATTTTTTACAATACTCAATGACACCCTGCGCTGATGTCACTGACGATGCATTTTTCTAAAAAGCCAAAGAAACGTAGTCAAAAATCCTTTAATTACTTATAGATTTTAAACATGAATAAAGTAAAACTAACCAATCTTGAAACAATTAACTGAACTAAATCATGAATTAAACAGAGAAGTTTAGATGCAAACATTTGACTCCCACGGGTTAGCCTTTAGGCAGGCTATAAACTGAGGTCATTTACCTGGCGCCTCCACCATTTGTCATCATCATCGTCAAAGTCACGTCCTTTTATTTCAAGTTTCAGCAATGGAAGAGATAAACCGGTCACAATATTCTCGTCTTTGTTTCCATTTACCTTTCAGAAATCAATAAAGCGGCGGTAACTACACCTACAGAAAACAAATTTTCAGCAGTTTTAATTTCACAGGAGATTGGGCTTTTGTATTTATACTCCGTAAGCTGCTTAACTGACAAAATGGCACGTTAGAGTCACAAGATGTCACCAAAAAATCCTCAACCATTTTTTAACTAAATGTATCTATTTGGCTTATAATAAACAAATTGCGTTGTCATTACAATAATGTATTATTACATAAGTAGTTTTCGGTATTTACTGTCTCTGATATAAACAAAATTATTAAAAACTATACAGGATGTCCCAGCGAGTTGAAAAAGTCGAACTAACTTTTAAATGGTAACATTAAAAAAATTATATATCACATTGATAGATACTAATCTAATCCATCACTTAAAATGATTTCCAATTATTTATACAGCGTGTTTCAAAAATAAGTTACAATACAAACTTGTGTTTTTTTAAATGAAACACCAAATGTTTCTTAGCGTTTTTGGATGTAGGTTTTTATGACAACGTTTTTAAGCTAAACTTTTATTGGTCGATTTTGCTTAGTTTTAAAAATAAGACGGTTTTTTTTGACAAAATATCTAGAAATATTTTTTTACAACCGCAAAGAAGAAGGCTATAAGGTTGTAACATTTTTTTAGTGTGTTGCATTTGCAATGATAAAAAAATGAAGGCGTTTGTTAAAAGTTACATAACTTACAAAATTTAAATGAAGTACCGTATTTACTGTTTTTCCATTTAAAAAATGATTAAATTGTTTTTCTAAAATTATTTACTTTTAGGTAACTAAAATAACTAAAAAGATATTTAACCTTAAGCATTAAATCAAATAAATAAAATTTTTTCAGTAGCACAGTTGCACAAGAGATGGAAGAACTACACTTAATAATCACATTTGTGTTAAACTGAATCCACTATTCTTTATTTTTACCATAACATAATTTCAATTTCAGTATTTATAACGACTTTTACAATCTCTGGATAAATCAACGAATAAGCGATCCGTGGTATAATTACTATGGTTGCTACAGGGTGTTTCACACAACTTTACGAGGCTTGCGTCTAATGTCCGCACCCAAATATACAAAATTTACAAAACACTAGATACAAAAAATTCACATTTAATTATTTAATATTTGGAACCCATGACAGTAGCAACACCCTGTATAGTATCAACAATGCTCAGATATTGATAAGCATTGTTGCTACAATTAATATTGAATGTTAAATATGTATTTTCTCAAAGAAACATACGGTGTTTCATTTGGAAAACACATGTATCGTAACTTATTTTTGGAACATGCTATATAGTTGAAAATAATTTTAGGTGATGTACTAGATTAGTATCTATCAATGTCCTATACAATTAATACAATGAAACCGGAAATTGAGTAGATGTATCCGATTTTCGTAATTACTAGTTTAAAAGGTATGTTCTCACAAGTAATCATTCCAAATTTTATAATACTTGGTCAAATGATTCCAAAGTTATTACAAAAAAAATAAATTTCCATACCCACATTCCGAGGGCTATAAAATTCTTATAAATAGAGATCGGACACGAGTTATTATTTAAATTAACATCATTTTATAGGTCATTTTTGAGGTTCAAATATTGCTTCATATTTATGAATAATCCTGTATTAATAGCTAATTTGTTTACTACACCTTTTTTTTATTTAAATTATCAGTTCTAGGTTCAAATATTGCTTCATATTTATGAATAACCCTGTATTAATAGCTAATTTGTTTACTAGACCTTTTTTTATTTAAAATACCAGTTGGGCCCTAAAATTTGAATCACTTTACTCCGCAAGTAACTTATGCAACCAATAAAACAATTTTCTATTTATGATTTTTTTTATTGTTTTAAAAATTTTGCGTTTATTAACAATAAAACAAAATATAATAAATTTCAGTAAAGTTCAAAATAATTTTAATGTTAATATTGTGCCAAAAGACAAAGAAAATTTCAGACTTTTTCCTTCTTAACAGCTGACAGCTCCTGTCAAAATAAAAGTCAAAAATGGCGGCGGTAATATTTACGGGTGCACAATTATTAAGTGAGTACCTAATGTTTAATGTTTAATTAAATAATTGTATAGAAAATATCTATTTTAATTTTGTTTTAAACGGATTTTGTAAATCATGCGAAATAATTTCGAAAAATGTATTACATAACATAACCTCAACTGTATGTTTCAGAACAACAGGGCGGTTTTATAGGAATCGCCTACGTAAGAGCTGCTAATTACAGCACCGAGAGCAAAGCATACAACTTATCAGCATTAAAACGGGGCACTGGAGGCAGATCGAGTTTCAATGGAATAGTAGCGACAGTTTTTGGTTGCGGGGGTTTTATAGGACGATATGTTTGCAACAGGCTTGGAAAAACAGGAAGCCAGGTAAAATCTCATACTGAACCCAAGCAATGTTACCAAATAAAAAATTTTAGTTAATTTTGCCCTACAGAGGCGATCCCTACGATGTAATGCGTTTGAAAGTATGTGGGGATTTGGGACAAGTGTATTTTCATCCATTCGATTTAAGAGATGAAGAGTCAATTGAAAAAGTCTGCCGTTATTCAAATGTGGTCATAAATTTGATTGGACGGGATTGGGAAACGAGAAACTTTAGTTTTGATGATGTTCATGTGAAGGGTGCAAGACTTTTAGCAAAAGTTGCCAAAAGGTCAGGTGTTGAGAGATTTATTCATTTATCTGCTTTGAATGCTGAAGAGAGGCCCGAAGCAGTTATCTTGAAAGGTGGTTCGAAATTTTTAGCCAGTAAATGGAGGGGGGAGCAAGCAGTTATGGAGGAGTTTCCAGAGGCCACTATTTTCAGGCCCGCGGACGTGTATGGACAGGAAGACAGATTTCTGAAGTATTTCCGACTTAAATCGTTTGTTTTATTTTTAATAACAATACTTTTTTCTGTTTACTTTAGGTATTACGCACACATTTGGAGACGCCAAGCTACCTACCTACCCTTGTGGAAGAAAGGCGAAGAAACAATCAAACAGCCGGTATTTGTCAGCGACTTGGCGTCTGGAATAATGGCCGCTTTAAAAGATTCTGATACCGCTGGAAAAGTCTATCAAGCTGTGGGGTACTTATTTTGAATTTTTTGTAAAACTGTTATATTATGCAATATTTTTGCAGTCCAAAACAGTACTACCTCTCCGAGCTTGTGGACTGGTTTTACAGGGTGATGCGTAAAGACAAAGATTGGGGATATTATCGGTACGACATGCGTTATGACCCATTCTTCCAAATGAGAATCACGTTGACTGAAAAACTGCGGGTTGGTTTTCCTATTGGAAATTTACACTGGGAACGTGTTGAAAGAGAACATGTCACAGATGTTGTTCACAGTGAAGTTCCAACACTTGAAGATTTAGGTGTCGCTTTGACTCACATGGAAGATCAAGTCCCGTGGGAGTTGAAACCTTACACGTACGGATTGTACCAAGGAATTGATGTGGAGGAACCCTACTCCACACCAGCGCCACCTACTCCTGTAGCTTAAATTATTGTGTATATTCAATCAGAAAAGAAACTAATTATTGTATAAATTAAATCATGAGCAGGTGTTATTTAAAGAATAAGATTCTTTTTATTAAAAACGATAAATTTGCATATCACTCTTCAGAATTCCTTCTGTTTCTTGCTGTTCTTTTGCTGTTTTTTGTCTTTTTAGGTAAAGAATCTTCCCCCGAGTCGTCATCACTATCAGACTGCACTTTTCTCGCCCTTTTAGCTCTGTTGTTTTTTTTTCTTGCTGACTTTGTAACCGTTGGTGGTTTAGCGGGTTGTCCGTTTTCGTTTATTTCGAAAACGGACGCAATACAGTTCTCTAACTCCGTAACAATCGGCTAAAATGAAGAAAACATCAATTCCGTTGGCATATCAAATTTTTTGCTTACCCTTAAATCAGCTCTGCCGGCTTTTGTCTTATTGCATTCATTCAATATTTGTTTAAAGATCGAGTAAATTTCTTTATCAGTCAAATTGTGCCGATAACAGGGGAACATATCTCGTAATTTTCTCAAAGCTTTGTCGTTATAATTAACTAAAGACAGGCAGTAAGTTATGTTTCGGTTGAGTCTAAAGTTTTCATCTGGCGTGTATTTGTGACAAAAACGGTCGACCAAGTTTTCCAACCGTTTAGGCGCGTCCACCAAATCGAACAAATATCTGCAATTTCAAACAATTTTAACAAATATTTCACTAGAAAAAGATTTTTACGAAAAACTGTATCTACATAGGGCAAACTCAAATAAACAATACTCACTTCAAAACATATCTTAGTTCTTCTTCACTGATCTCCTCTTGTTTGACCAAATAAGTGAAGATATCGGGAATGATATTAACGAGATTATTGTTATCTTTTTGAGCAATTTTTTTAAAAAAGGTCTGACATATTTCATTAACTTCCGGATCCGGGTCGATCAAGCAAGCCGCCATCTCCGATATGCGGCTGGATGCTCTGATCATGTTTCTCAGGATTAAATTTGATAGTGAGAAAAATGCTTTTTTCCTCACTTCAACTAGGCGATCTTTCAACATTTCGTAAAGTCGTGGACTCCACGGATCGACGATATTCGGAAATCTCGTCAATAAATCGACGCAGTGGAGCAAAATCGTGGATTTGATATCGGAATAATTCGTTTTTGCCAGAATCGTAAATAACAACTGAATGTTGGCAGAGCAAAAGCTACTCGAAACCAACATGTACCTGTAAAATTTTCTACTGTTATAAGTTTGCTTAATATTACATACATATTTAAATGTGTAGAAAGATAATTAGCCAGCTTTGATGCTAAAAGTGCGAAACTAGATCACACTATTCACTTTTTACTCAATTACCTCATAAGAGCTGTTACTGCAACCATCTGCAATAAAATATTGCTGTAAAAATCCGGCCTTTGACAGATCTTCAATATGAAAGCAGCATATTGGCCTAAAACACCTTTCGTGGAGACCACATCATTTTCTAAAACCGAAATGATGTATTCCGTGTCGACATCTTCAGCATCGGCTCCCATTAAAATACTTCCATTCTAAAACATTTTTGTGTAATTCTTAAAAAAAAAAAGAAAAACGAAATATTACCAGACTAGATTCGCTTGTAGCACTAGTGTCGAGTAGTGAACTTTGTCTTTTAACTTTCCTAGTGTTTTTTTTGTTGGACTTTTTGCGCTCTTCTCTTAGAAAGTTTCTTCTTTTCAATTCTCGGTGCACGCTGTTATCCAAATACTCCAAAAATTTCACGGCTACACATCCCAACAATTCAAGCAATCTAATAATTAAAACCAATTCTTTTGAACGCTTTCTGAATCGTTGATCGATTTCTTTAAGCATTTTCTCGAGAATTTCCATCGGTTTAGAACACAGTCGGAAAATAAAATCAATACCCGCTTGCATAGCCTCCGAATAATACGGTAAATTTTTGAAAAAATTCTCGATTAAAGTATCTGATAACTGTTGAAATATTTCATCTGTTTGTTTGATTCTGAATGGTGTATTTTTACTTTGTATATCAATTTTATCTAAACCCGCAACCGCCAAGAGACGACATGAGCTTGCCAAAAACAACATATCGTCCTTATGGATATCGCTGAATGCGATTTTTGAAACAACATTGATGTTTTTTGATATTATCGTGCTTCTACCCATCGCAGCCATTCGGAGTAATTCGGCCGCTGCTCGAGCATCATCATCGGAGACTTGTTCACGTTGAGTGTAGAATTGCCAACATCTATCGATGACGGCGTTGTCCAAAATACCTTTAGAAGTCCATTCCGAGACAACACTTTGGAAGTCATCCAAACTGTCATAGGTTAAAGCCCTCATCAGTGCAAAAAGACGGTTCAAAATGGTCGTAGTGTGCTCGCTACAAAACCGGTTATTATAATTTAAGCATATTTAAAAAACGTAAAATTAAGAACTTTTATTTTACACATATTTTTTTCGTAATAGTAATAAGATACTATACTTACGCCATACTCCTAGTATCAGTCACCAAATATATAGTTTTGAATGCCTCAATGACTGCAGTTTTACGGTCTTGTTCATTACAACGCATCATCTTTAACATTTCTGAAATAAAACAATCATTGTTAAATGTTCAAGCAAATAAATCAGTTTACCTAAAATCCCCTCGGACGCATTGTCAATTTGAAAATGATAGGCCGTAATAAAAAAATTAATGGCTTCATTAGAATCACTCATCGTTTGTGAAAAAAGCAGTGTTTTCATTGGTTCAATGGCCGAATAAGCTACTCTTAAAAAGTCCACCGTGTCTTCAAAATATTTAATGACACCTTCCAGAGTTTTAATTTTTTGAACATCTTCTTCTTTCATCCCGGCTCCAGTTTGTAATTCTGTCACAAATTTAACAGTGTTGATATAAAATGAATGCAGAAGAGTCATGTAGAGTTTGACTCGATCTTCGTTCGATTTTAACACATTTCGACATTCGGCAATGTTGTTTTTGAACCGGTGGCACAATTGGAAAGCTTCAGCGTACTTTTTCTCATGCAAGAGAGACTGAAGATGTTCCACATCCTGTTCAGTTTCAATCACTGGTGCTCGTTCAGTCCCCTCATCCTCATCGTCACCTTCTTCATCCTCATCGTCTATTCTCTTCAACTCTTCCTCCACCACTTTTAATACATCATTTTCTATCTCCGCCCATTCAGTTTCCAACTGTTGTACTTTCATCAAAAGCTGTTCTTTGTAAGCTGATTCCATCTTGCTCAACAATTCCCTTTTTTTAGCCAACTGTTCTTCAGCTTTCGTCAATTGAAGCTACAAGTTTTCATTATGAATCAAACTCATCACAACAATAAAACAATTACGTTTGCTCCGAATGGATTGTGTTCCAAAAAAGTCGTAACACAGTTGACTGCACATTTCCTAACCGCTGCTGATTTATCCAACAAATGTTTAATAACTTTACTCAAAACCTCATTTTGAAAGGCCAAAGGTATAGCATTCTCCTTCTGAAGTTTGGCCAAATGTTGTATAACTTTGGCTCGAATTACGGCCGAATTGTCCAAAATGTGTTCAATTAAAGTATCAAAACATTCATCGCGTGATTCCTTTTCCTGGTCGCTTAAATTGTGTTTTGTTAAAACGTTCAGAATGATTTCAGTTATGACGTTCAAAACGGCTTGACGGAGAGGAACTGACTGAAATGATTTGGATTAATTTTAGCAAAAAGTAAGTACAGAGAAAATACGTCGTGTGCTAGATATCGATTGAGATTTTCCAATTCGGGAAGAATTAAATTGGGGACTACCATAGCCAACTCTGTGAGAAAAATGGAACAACAACGAGTGCCTTGAACATCTTGAATCGTTTCGTCCGCTTGCCATTCGGTTGCCTCCTTTACGAGATGGTGGACCAATAATTGACAATTAAACTGTTCAATTATCATTTTGATGCCTTCGGGAACACAGTGCACCACGTGTTCGTACGTACATATATTTCTTATCATTCGCGCAACAAATGTCTCACCGTAATTGTACGATTTTACTAGATTACCAAATATTCCAAAAATATCCATTACCACCTGTTTCTCCTGCTTTATAGAAGGATTTTGTAAAAGAACAAAACACAATTCGCTCAACAAACCGATATAATCATGTTCTACAATCGGTGGTTCCCAGAGGGTATTTATCGGTCTTTGGATTATATTATTCAATGCGTTCAAAATTTCGGATTTATTTATTCCGGAGTTGTCACTTTTATTCTCCTTTTTACCTTTACCGAGCAAGTCGCCTTGTTTTTTTTTACTTTTTTCTTCTAAATTTAAAACGAATTGAACGAAAATGTAGGTCAGCATCTTTAGGGTGTTGACCATTTTCAATTTTGATTCTTCACTTAAGTTTTCTGGATCTTCGAGTAAGAAGAGAATCGTGTTGTTGAGCTCTTTGACCGCTTTAAGTAAACTGTTGAAGGCTTTCTGAATTATGTCCAAACGTACTTTACTGTCTTGATGTAAAATAGAGTAATAGGTATCGAAATTGTCCAAAATGAAGTATGGGCCTTCTTCGCGAAGACTTGTGTGGGCCTCTGTGACAAAAATTCGCAATTAAAAACTGACAATTACGATTTTCACTAAAACTGTAAGTTTTAAGAACAATTTGGCTTTATTTTTGTGATAAAGTTGAATTGTGATAAATTTTGATTTTTTGGATATTTTATAACTTCGTCACTTAGAAAACAACTTCTAAGGTTAGTCAGTTTCCAGTTTGTAAAAACGTTTGCATTGTTCAAAAACCAAACTATTGGTCGTAGATTGAGTTTCTGTAACCAAATCCATGGTTTGTCAAAGTTTTACCTTCTAGTTTTTTGACGATTTCAGATGGAACCACAACATGTTTCACTGAGTAGTTTCTACCACTCACGTCCAGAAGATCTGCTCGATCAGTGGGGATCGAAAAAAGCATCCCGTTCATTTTTTATCTAAAAACAAACATAATTATTAATTAATCATTTCAGTAATAATGAAACTTACTTAATAAGTAAAAATAGATTTAGGCACACTTACTACAGTTCACTAATACACTTTAAACAATTACAGGAGAAATAAAAACGTCTTTTAAAGAACACAATAAAAACATCCAAACACGACAGGGAAAACACAAATGACGGTTTAAAAATCATACAGCCAGGTTGCCGGATGTCGTTTCCGTTTAGTAGATATGTCTAAAAATGACTTTCAGGTAAAAAAAAAACATAGTTTTTTGAATTATTTTACTAAATTAAAAACAGCAGTTGTTTGGTATGACCCAAATAATTTTATAATTGATAATAAATATGCATTTTTTTAAATTGTCAATTTGGCAACAAGGTTAGAGTATTTGAATTTGAAAAACGGACGACGACGTAAAATTTCAAATGTTGTTGGTTTTAGGTTGAATTGTAAAAATTTTTATTACTATATTGTGCCATGGGGTTTTTGAAAACAATTATTTGTTGCGAAAAAAACATAACAAAAAAATATTAATGAAATGCGTGAAGATTCTGTTTGGTCCACTCTATTTTTCGCGCTTCGACGCCTCGTTGATTAAAACCAATTTACATATCACTTTTGACAGGACTACAATGTGACACGAATTGCAAAAAACTTTTCAACAAAAATAAACAATTAAAGGCAAGAATGGGTGTTTCCCGAGTGATAAAGACACTTTTATTAATTGTTGTGTGTTGTGTTTTTGTGGTGTCGGAAGATGTACCCGCCCCAAGCCGAACTTTACCAGCAGCTGTCTCTCCAGTGGCCGCCGAGGGGGGCCCCATTATGCTTCCAAACGACACGACTCACATGGGCCGCGAACACATGATAAAGGTGAATCACAATAAAGTCACACCGGATTTTGTGGTGGGTCAGAAAAGTGATAACAAGACGAGTGTACCTAAAAAAGGCGCTGTTTTGCCAGACTCTAAAGTCAAATCGACATCGTCGTCAACGACGACTACAACTACAAGTACGACGACGACGACAACCACAACCACCACTACGATACCCCCTAAACCAACGTTGACAATTGGCGAGGACGAAGAACCTCTAAATGAAAAACACGATATTAACAGACAGTCAGTTGTTGAGAAGCATAAAAAAACTGACTATGTTGTGCCTATTGTTGTTGTAATACTCTCAGTTCCTTTGGTAGCTATTATTTTTTCAGTTTTGTACAAACGCGGCTCAGATTGGTGGCAACATAGACATTATAGAAGGATGGACTTTCTTATCAACGGGATGTACGATAATTAATTCAATTCTCCAAAGATTTGACTGTGCTAACTGTCATCGCATTTATCTTAATCTTAGCTGTAAATACTTGTACTGTGCCTTACAAACGCAATTATTTTGTGATATTTCCAGATAATAATTTGTTGATTCTGTGTATTTTTCTACCATAATAAAAGTGAATAGAAATTGAAAACATTTATTATATTTGACATGTACACATAACCTCCTTGTTGTATATTATTTTTATTATATGTAAATATGACCCAATTCAAAGCAGAAGATAATTATTTTGAAATAATTTATGATAACAAACTGCATGAGAAAGTAACTTGAGCCAAAATACTATTTTTTTCTTTTGATTTTACTAAATTTGACATTTAAACATAACCTCACCTTGTCCATCATGACCTTTCTTCTAATTCCATCAAATCCGCCCGAATAGTGCGATAATGACTGAAAAATACGCTTTAGTCGAACATTCCAGTACGTTAAACAACATTATACGCAACACATTTGAAACGACACACCGAATAAAAGTAATTAAAGGTTACGAGCTTTGCCCCTTTTTCATAAATCTGTTTCCAGTTCACAGCGTTTGATGTTTCCCACAAATATGCTATTTTCGGCGTTAACAGTGGTGGCATTTATATTTTCAGTCGTGAGTCTTGCCAGTTTCTCAAATTAATCCCCAGTACTGTAAGAATTGACTTCCCATATTTTACCCCCCAAAAACACCGATTTTGTAGCATGGCCCTGCAAATTTACTTTTTATTTCCCCAAACGAAAAAAATCTCGCCATTGCCGTTTTAACAGGACTTGTTGTTGTCCTTGAGGACTTCTCAGAAACAGACTTCCAACAACAAATTTTCACTGAACATGAAGGCAACAACATAACTGCTATAAAATGGAACGGAAACGATTTATACTGCGGGGACAACACTGGCCGTGTTTCTGTGGTAGCTCTCCGGAATTTTTTGGTAAAACTTGCCCAAACCTCCAGCAAGTGAAAAATAAATCAAATTTCAGACAGTGTTTCAAACTCCAGTCGCTTGTCTCATGCATTTGGATTCTCCAATCGTGCAACTCGACACCTACTCTAAATTTCTCCTAGTGTCGACGCAAACTCGTTCGTTGTTATGTGACACAGAGTCCGAAAAATACCGACAAATTGGTAAAAAAATGCGCGACGGCACTTTTGGCGCCTGTTTTGTTACCGCGGGGAATCCAGATAAAATTAGCGACACCAGTGCACGTACTAGAGGCCTTTTTGAAATTTTGGGCGACTCTGAACAACTATCAGCACCCATGAACGACGATAAAGTCAAGATTTATTGCGCCAGACCGGGGGTGAGACTTTGGCAGGCCGATTTTCAAGCCAACGTTGTTGTAACTCACCAGTTTAGATCGTCTTTAGGACTAAATTCTAGCAAGGTTGTTCAATGGGACGATTCCGACCAACTTAAAATGAAAATTTTGCCTGCTAAAATCGGGGAATTTAATTTCGGAAAAATTTACAGTTTTTTGAACAGATTTATTTTGACTTTTCGAGACGATGGTTGTTATATTTTTGACCCATTTTCAAGTACTTTTCAATACTGGAGTACTCATGCGAGTATAAAAGACGTAAAAATTGTTGATTCGTTTTTGTATGTTTGGCATAACGATTTAGAAGTTAGCGTTTTGTCGTTGTTGACTGTTGAAGAGTTGGTTTTGAGGAGTTTAATGAGGAAAAAGTATAAATTATGTTCCGAAATTTGCTTAGAGTTTTATGATGATGTCCAATTATTGATTGAGACGTCAAAAAAAATTCATTTAATTTCGATTTTAGAATCAAAGTTAGACGATTGTGAAGTGTTACTTAAATTAGGTCCGATTTTTAAACGCTTGAAAGACTGTGCGGCAATACCGACTCTAGAAAGATATAAAAATGGAATTGTTACAGTTAATGCCTTACCCGTTTTACCAGAATCGGTTGAAAATTTTCAAGGTGATAAAGACACCAAAAAACAAGAAAACAGTATTTTAGTCGAGCAATTTAAGGTTAATAAAATTAATAAGACTATTGAAACGAGCGATTTTACTCAATTTATGAAGACTTTAAATCCGAATGAACTTTACGATGTTATCCGACAGTTTGAGCAAGAATCGAGCGAAAGTTGTGACGACTGGTGCAAAGAAATGTTTTTGAAATATATAAAAATTTCTCCCGAAATCAATCCTGAGGCTTTAGACTACACATACCAAGCTTTTTTTCACTTCAACATGAACAAGAAATTTGTTTGTAGTTGCAATTTTCCTCTACCTCAAGCTCACGAATTTCGGCCAAAATTTTACGAAATAGGAACTAAACTAATGGATAAGTCCGATCATTACGAAGACTTTCTCAAAAATGTTCCATACATGTATAAATACGTTTTGGAAAAAATCAGTGATACGAAAGAAATTCACCTAAAGTTGCCTCTCATAATTCAGTTTAGTGACTCCAAAATCATTGAAATTCACTTGAATAAACTTACTTATGATCTTTGGGACGAGTCAATTTGCTTTTTACTTAAATTAAAGTCTGGTCAGTGCCTGAATTGTGGTGCCAAAGTCGATATTGCAGCTACTTTCGACTGGACAAATTTCGGAACAAAAATAGTCGATTCCATAAAGCCAACCAACGCTCTTAAACTATTTAAACGTTACGCTCATCTATTACCTAAAGGCGAATTAAAGCCATTTTTTTATCAGTATTGCATCTTTTCAACCGCTTCGAATATAAAAAACGACATTTTTAAGAGAACTTTAGAGAATGAAAATGCCAGTAAGCAGGTTGGTTTTTTTACTAGTTTACCAGTGATGGAATTTAATTATTTTTAGTTTGAAACAGCCGTAGGAGGATATCTACGTAAGAAATATTTGTGTGGTGATTTATACGACCCACCCAATCGCAATTCAATGGATTTAATAAATTGTGATCACTGCCACTTGCCTTTAAAAATACCAATACTCGAAGAAAATACAAAATTGACATGTGGACATAACTACCATCAAACGTGTCTGTTACACAATAAGAGTCAATGTCCGAAGTGTGAACTTTTATAATTTTTACAATGCAATAAATTTTAAAAGAGCAATTGGCGCTTTAATTTGAATTCCTAGTGACTTGGTACATTGGTACACCTGACAAATCGAATTTCTTTGGTCCACGAAATTCGTAAAAAATAATAATATATTATTTTATAAATTTTGTGGTGGGTCACAGAAGTTACATTTAAAAATCCTGTTAACATTCTTAAGTCTGAACCCTACAATTGTGTACTTGGGCCCCAAATTACATTTTTTTGAGATTTGGTTACTTTAACTGGTATGGTTGGCAACTCACATTGTGGAAAAAGTGTCATGGCAGTACAAATGTAAAAGTAACAGTAAACTTTGTGTTCCTGTAATTAATTTGAGCCTTATTTAGAAAGTTACTGATTGTTTAATAATGTGTGAGTTCGTCCGAAATCAAATTGTTTAAAAAATTAAAAGTGTAAGTGTGTATTATTACAACGATGATGGAATTATCACTCGAAGTGCCAGATGATATCCTAAACGCCTATAGAACACAAAAAGGAGATATGATGTGCCCCCCTTCGGTTTCTTGCCTATTACCGGAAGATAACGACATCATCGATTCGTCCAAATTTAATTTCAGCGACGACGAAAATTGGTAATGTCGACAATTAGTCACATTGCCTCATTTATAGCCCCCAGAACGGCATTTACGATTCTGTTGTTGTCGTACAGTAGTCGTTTTACTCAGTATATTTGAACAGATTTGTGCCATTTTTTTTATAAAAAATTAAAATTTTCGGTCACGAGCCGTCTATCTGAAGGATATTTTGTTATTTCAGGAGAAATACACATCTCAAATGTGGAATGTGTATATTTATTGAAAAATTGTTTATATTTTGATTTTTTATTATTATTTTCAGTATACAATTTTTAATAATCCAACTTTTTACGAACTATAGGGCAGGCTAAACGACTACTGTGGGTCGAGTCGTGGGGACATTTTAACATTATGTTTTTAATGTTATTATTTGGCTACAGGTTGTGCGAATGCTCAAGTAAATCAAACACAGACACAGACCTCCAGAACTGGCTTTACGGTGACGGTGACGAGTCCGCCCCTCGGGACTCTAAACTCAAAAATATCGACACTCGGACTTTTACGCGCCCGAAAAAACGTTTCACACGCCCAAGTATAGAAAAATACAATGAAGAATTATATGGTAACGACCTAAAAGAATTGACCGATAGCGGAATCCAGTTAAATGGGTGCTCGCAGGACGAAACGCCGACTAAACCACTTCATTTTGACTTGGGTCAAGCTTCTACTAGTGTTTATTTTGATAATATTTTAGCGAATGCTCCCATGGTAGATTCGTTTCAAAATATGTCACCTCCTAGTCTTGTAAATTCAATGTGTTCGTCGACTTTTGCGAATTTGATGGAGAATAGTTTTATTAAAAATGATCCGGTTTTGAGGGAAATTAGGGATACTGATTTTACCGTATCGATATTGCAGCAAGAAACTGAACCCATGTTTCAATCTATTACAGAGAGTTGTAGTAGTCTGAATTCGGATATTCCGGAACATTTTCTCAAGAAGGTTTCGTTTGAGGAAAAAAACGAGGATGAAGACACGATTATCTTGAATACGACTTTTGCCAAAGAGGATTTAAAAGATCGTACGTTTGTTATTTTGCCAAATAAACAAAAACATAATATTTATTTATTTTGCAGACACTGTAACAGTCAATGATATCTTGAATAACACTTTTGCCAAACAGGATTTAAGGGATCGTACGTTTGTAATTTGTAATTGTCAAATAAACTAAAACATAATATTTTTTGTAGAGACTGTAACAATCAATGATACCAAGATTGAAGAGAGATTAGAAGGGAAACAAACGAAAAATGAAACATTTAACACATATCAAAGCGTACCTAAAAGCACAAATCGATTCAGCGACAGTCAAGTATTAAATCACACTTTCCAGCGCCGAAAAATCACGAAACCCGCACTTGTAAAAAGAGATTTAAATTCGACAATAACTGTAGATTCTGCAAAAAACACACCAGATCACGAGAAATCATTCGAAAATATCAAACGTTTACTTGATAGAAGAGGCTCACCTTCGCTTGACCTAAACCGTCTCAGTTACCTCGCCGATAAAAACGAACAAATGAACGCTACTTTCCCAAGTGAGATTCCGAAACGTAACTCTTTTGGCTCGACCGACTCTGGTGAAAATTTAGACTTTATGAGTCTTTCCTCCGGTAGTAGTAAAAGCTCAAAAGTGCGTAGCACTGACGGCTTGAATAAAATTGTCGATCTCCAAATCATGTCGACCCCCAAACCCCGGTCAAAAACCACGGCTCTGTGGCAAAATCACGAAATTTCACCAATTAGGGACCGCAATTCCGACCCTGAACTGTCTTCCAACGAACTACCGAAAGCTATCAGAAAACAAAAGAGCGTTGGTCACCTAGCACAGAAATTACCCAATCCGAAAAGCGTCAACACTTTGACGAAAAATCCAATTCGGGGTTCGCAACCAAACTTGAAAATCAGCGAAACTCGAACATTGCAAAAACCCACGAATTTGAATTCTATGGGGCACGCTCTGAAGGGCTCCTACACAAGTCTTAAACCGACCAATCCTAATTTGCCAGTCGCCCCGCCTCCTTTAGATACCACTGTAACAGTAAAAAATCCGACTGTGGCTCAGGTGAGTTGTTTTTTTTTGCGGTTGGGGGTATGTTAAGGTGTTGTAGGTGTCACCAGTGCCAAGGGAAGTGCCCAAAAGTCAAGATGCTCAATTTGCAAAACCCCAGCCCCCCAGGAGTGGGTTGCCGAGGCCGGTTACGGGGATTCCCAGACCGGTCTCTAGGATTCCCGCGCCAAAAAGTGTTAGGTGAGTTTTGGGGGATTTACTGGAGGACAATATAATTATGGGGGTTGTGATTTCTAGGCCTTTTTCTAAGTCGGCGGGGTATCAAGGGAGACACTAGTTGTATATAATATCAATATTTAGTGCCTTATTTGAATGAAAAAAATATATATCTTAATTAATTATTGTTATGTAAGTTTTTGCCAAGTTTGTTTTAAAGCAATATAGGTTGAGTCTTTGAAACTAAATCAATTGTATTTCGAACCACATGACAAAAAACCGACTGATTTACATTGAAATAAATTTATAAATATGTACATTTGCTAATTTATAGTCTTTGTCGAAGCTTTTGTAATGTGATTGAATCTCTATATTGTATAAACTATTTTGATAAAAGAATGTGTGATATAAATTTGTGTATTCTGATTGTGTTTATAATTATATCCATAAGTGCCTTTTTACGTCATATTTATTTCATTAATAAGTAAATGGTTTGTTGTTATTGCGTTGTAATAACTTCGTAACCACTTTTAATGGTTAATAATTACTTCAATATATTTTAGTCATATTTTGAAAGTGATTTATTTCTACTAATGTGACTTTTATCATTTGTTAATTTTTGTACTAATAAAAAAATCTTAAGAAAGTTGTATTTTTATTGCCACCCTCAAATCGGGCTTCCACAATTAATTGATTTAGAAAAACGCATTGTTCAGTATACTGAATGACAAAATCTAATGTCACTTGTCAAAAAATGACATAACCTAAAAGGCCGCGTCATTACATTATAAATAATAAATGTTTTTAATATTTTTCTATGGAATTAAATAAATTTACTAGTCAATTAAGTTAAGATTTTAGCATATTACAAAATGGATTTACACAAACCGGTGGATATAGCGAATAAGGTAACAAAAATGACTTTCCGATTTTCTTATCTAATAATTGGATTATAGTCGGTTGAGGAATTAACACCTGAGGAAAAATGGAGGCTAGAGCATCAGAAATTACATGAGCAACACAAAGGGCACGAAAAAATGCACGCAGAGATGGTCCTTATACTAATTCTAACTTTAGTAGTAGCCCAAGTAGTTTTAATTGAATGGAAAAAACGCCATTCCCGCTCGTATCTTGTACATACTGCCACGTATAGAATATTCCCAACTAACGCCTAATTTTCAGTTAGTAACGCTACTCGGAATGTGGATAATTCCATTAATTATATGTCTGCGTAATCGCTGGTGGCGTTTCATCTATATCTGGTTGCTATTTTCATGTATCACAAGTCTAATAGTACGAAAAGCGATGCAAAAACCTATCACGGGTACCACCCCACGGTAACACTCTCTCCAGCACGCACCCTCATCTAAATCTCATTTTTTAGACTAGTCTATAAATGGTTTCTTTTTATCTATAAACTAAGCTACGTTTTGGGTATCTTAGGCTACTTTATCATGATGGCGACTTTTTTCGGTCTCAATTTAGTTTTTAACGCAAAAGCTAACACTTGGATGGACTGCGCTTTACTTTTAGTTTTTTACGGGTTATATTACGGCGTTTTGGGACGCGACATTTCTGAGATTTGCGCCGATAAAATGGCTTCGCATGTTGGGGTAAATAAGAGCACACTTTTTCGCTGGTTTCTAATCACCGGTTCCAGTATTACACTAATCAAGGCATGCCAACGCGGAATTTGGATCCCTCAGTGTGTGCTGTTTGCGGAAATAAATTATTAGTTAGTGAAAATGAAGAGGGGGTCATAGAAAACACCTACAAGCTGACTTGTGACCACGTGTAAGGCCTTTTTTCAAACAAACGCATCTTTGTAATTTATTTTACAGGTTTCATGAGTTTTGTATACGAGGGTGGTGTATCGTGGGTAAAAAACAGACGTGTCCCTATTGTAAGGAGAAAGTTGACTTAAAAAAAATGTTTTGTAATCCATGGGAGAAGCCGCATGTGCTTTACGGGCAGCTACTGGACTGGATTAGGTGGCTCGTGGCTTGGCAACCCATGATTTTGTTTCTGGTACAAGGGATTAATTGGGTTCTGGGGCTAGAATAAGGGTTGTTTAAGCAATGAAAAAATGTTTTAAAGCAAAATGACTTTTTTTATTCCTTGAATCCAGTTGCTGTTGAAATTTTTTGACACTTGACCTGTCAAAAAGTGACATTTCGTAACTTTAATGCAAGAAAATGAGTGTAAAAATGATAAAATAATTTTAGTTTTATATGTCTGGAAATACAATGTTTTTAGCAAGGATGCAACTCAAAATAGCAGATTTTAAATATTGAGGTCTGTTGGTGGCGCCGCTGTGGCAGATTTCGTAACTAAAAGAATTGAAGTGGAAATAGTTTAGTGACATTAGTGGCCGTTTACGAGTCGGTTGTGTGGTGAATTTATAATTTTTTTATTTATCTCAAGCGTTTAATGTTTGGGAGAGGTTGAGACAATCCTCGTGTGCATGTTTTAACCCCACCTCGTGGTCCGGATACGTTCTTTTGTTTTTTCTCATCAACCTGATCCAGGTGAGTTCAAGCCGATGACGTTATACCCACTGAAAGCCACCTTCCATATTCATTACAATTAAAAACGTGTGTGAATTCGTGTTCATAAATCCGGTTATGTATAGTGAACGCCTACTCTTAGGGTAGGTAAGTGAACTACCTGTGAAGGCCGCTCGGGCACCTGTAGGAGTCGGAAGCTGGGGTCCTCCCAACGGGGGACATGAAATTCTTATGACCGGTATTCGCCCCATTAGAATCTATTTACATGCCGCAACCGCTTTCTCGTTTTCTGATAACTCCAGTCGATATCTCCGGTTTGGTGGGACGCGCTTCTTCGATCTGTTGGGCTTTTATTAGAATGTTTTGTCAATTGTTGAACACTCCACATAATCAATTTGCATAAACGACGCAATACTACGGCTATTGAAAATTTTTCGGACCGGATTTCCGTTAATACCAACCCAGGAAAAAATGACGGGTTTTGAAAGTCGGGGCGAAATAGAGGCTAAAAAGACGCTGAGTGGGTGAGTCGTATGATTGTTTTTTAATTATGTATGGAGATCAATGAAATGATCATTATCACAATCGATAACAACAACTCCTGTTGTCTTACCAGAATGATTTCAGGAAGATATTAATCAGTTAATATTCAAAGACAGACCGGACTCTTCAACTTATAAACGATACGTTTATCCAACTGTTTTCAACTTTGGTAGGTGTTATCTACAGTTGCTTATAGTGACTCACAAATGCATACAAATTAAAAATAAATAATGAATAAATGCGTGAGAATCTTGAAAAGTATCGTTTACGATGATATGCAAACTATTGGTGATAAATTTTGTAAATAAATACTTTAATTACAAGGAAAATCAACAACTCATCATTTATCCTTTTAAATACTGAATGTCCGGAAAACACGTTGAAAGATTTCGGCGGGTGGTTCTCTAGGTCAAAATAAGAAAGAAAGTTCCTATAGACCTATGCCCGGAAATGCTTCCTTTTTTTCAATTATCTCAGTAACCAGTGAACATAAATTTACGAGAGTTTGCATATGGAGTAATTTTTGGCGCTGAATCTATGGCTGAACAAAAATTGTGTATGTACCCTAATTGGGGGTCGTAGACACTGGACTCAATCTATTTAAGGCGTAAAATTTTACTTTGGAAGAATTTTTTGATTTTCTTTGACAGATTTGGATTTATTGGCTAATTTTCTTCAAAAAATTTTCTTTGTGTTACGCACGTTTTCAAGAAAAACGAGGTTTTATTTTAAATCATACACCGACCTTTATTCGGAAAAGCAACTCACGCAGTAAGAGACATATGACATAGGGAAACACCCCCCCGAAATCTTGCAACGTTTTTTCCGGACATTCTATATATGCATATTTTTCTCTATTAAAAAAGCTTCAGACACATTATGCTTATTTTTTTATTACAAAAATGTGATGTATTTTTGTTAAAGCTAACTGTAACTGGTAACAAGTAAGAAACCTAATTTAGTAAATAAGCAGGAAATGTAAAAATTTGTTCCCAAAATTTAGGTAAATAAAATAACAAAATACTTATGTATCATATTTTATCCGTAGATGATTCATTATTATTGATAGAGGTTAATTAAAAACGTAGAAATCAATTTTGTGTTATCATAATTGTGAAACGGGAAGTAATATCCAGTTTAGATAATTTTAATAAAATAGCTTCCGTTATCCAAATAATAATCCAACAAAAAAAAAAAACAGTTTGATGCTTTTTGAAAATCCACTGTAGAAATTTGACTTGTCAAAACCTCCAAAATACCAAGAATACCACCGACAACACAGAATATATCAAGGTCAAACTTGGGTTATTATCTAAGGGCCGTTTTACATTTAATATCAATAGATTAGCTACCATTTTTTTGTGGGTGATCTAACTATTTATCGATTTATCGGTTTTACTTATTAGGACCGATAATATAGCTATCCGTTTAAAGTTCATATAGGGACTAGAAATGTTTAGAGGCAAATACATATTTTTTTTATTTCTTTAAAAAGCTTGTTTGGTACAAAAACAGTTATGAAAGAGAAATAAACAGAGTTACAATGAATAATTTTCGTTTTGTTTGAATTATAAATAAAATGTATTCCAAGTGATTTATTTACATCCTTGAGGGAAGCTAATTAAAATTGTGGGAATTCATTTAACCGTCATAAATATCCCGAATCAGAATCGTAATTAAACTTGTAACACAGTAGTTGAACGAAGTTTTAATAAACATGAATTTTAGAGTACTTTTCAAAGTTCTTTCATTGCTCTACAAAAGGATAATAAATCGTAATCAAGCCAGGACATGTGTGAACCAAATGCGACAATAGTTGACTGTATCTTGTTACCTACTTTCTTCACAATCAATTTTTTAATTGATGCTTCGGAATGGGATGCAAATGATTGATTACGGCACGACTAATAAAATAGAATGGAAATCGAGCGGAAAATTTGAAAATAATAAAATTAAACATTGAAAGAGAACGAGAAATGCTGGCAAAAAAATGTAACTTCAATTGCGGAAACAAACTAAAAGTTTTGTTTTTTTTCTTTAATTAAAATCGTTGGTCGGTGGAAAAATTCCATTGGCACGTACTCCACTAATCGCTAATTAAACGAATTTGCATGGAGCGAGCCGACATGGAAAATCAAGCAAGAAGTAAATGGGACGAGAACTGTTCTGATAACGACACTCGAATCGGTTGTGATTAAAATGGATTAATTTGTCCAATTTTGTCACTCAAATTTAAGCGCAAAATGAACTTTTAACTACTTTTTCTAGATTATTAATAATGAAAGTCACTTAAAACAATTCCTCTTACGAGATGTTTAGTTGACAATCGATTTAAATGCATCGATGTCACGGCCGGGCGAAATTGTCGACAAAGATGTCTCATAACTGCACCGCATTCTTCGCGTATGAGAGCGTCTCATGGTCGTGTTTCCTTGAAATGAAGAGACTCTCCCACCTGGGGGTCAACATCTCAACCGTAAAATTTAATCAGGCGAGAATTTTACTAAAAAAATATTTCTATAAATAGGTGTGGCTGTTTTATCATTTTATCTCTCAATTTTGAAACGATTGATTGAGATTGATGATGCATCGTGATGGTATTAAAAGCAAAAATTATTAACGGTGCAGATAAGATGAGAAGTATTTTAATTATTGCAGCTGTTATGAATATGAATTGTGGTATTTGCGATAAAATAATCAGGATATGTCTAACGATAGTAAAAAAGTGTTTACTTGTCCCAATTATAAGTAAACTAGAGAGAGATATTCTAGTCGTAATTGCATACAATAAACAGTCTATGAGTAAGAGTCATTATCGACGGATTTACGTCCGATTTCAATTAACAAAGTGTGAGGAAAATTCGGTTTTCGCGATCGTTGATTTTAAGTTTGATTGAGATCAAGACGCTGAAGGCAACGACCTTTAAATTATACTTCTCGTTAATTGGTTACAATGGTCTAGCGAGTTTATAACTGATAATGCATTTGCAAATGCATTAACATGCAAGACTTGGAGGAATAAAAATTGTTTTAGCCTTGACTTAAGGAATGACGCTAGTCATACTCATAACTGAACGTAAAAGTTAAATTTTCACGTATTTTATAGTTTTATTTCTCTTATCTTTATCTCAATATGTATTCGGTAATCAAAATGTTTATTTGATTTAGTGGCGTTTTGACCTAGACATTCCATTTATTATTTCACTCCAGTTTTATATGATTGTTTGTAATTGATCACAGTTTTTGTAAACAAAGCGTTTCCATCTTATCGATCGTTTTATTGAGGTTTTCTTGCATCAGTTCCGGCCGATTGTTCTGTTTCATTTTCATTTTCTCACGATGTAAAATTGAAACCAATTTGGAATAAATCGTGCGAAATTTCATAAGATTCTAAAGTGCGTAATGTAAGAGAAGAATAATTTTGTGCTATCATGAAATCAGATAAATAGACAAAAGGTATTTATTAGTGACGCTAATAATTATGAAACGAGATGCGGTATCTGGCTATTAGGACAATATGTATTTCAATATCTTTCCACACCTAAGCAAACTTACTGAAAATTTTAAACAGTGCATAGAATAAACTGATCATATAAAAGTTTGTTTGCCGTTACATGATTTTTTTAATGTTATTTTTTAAATGTATTTCAGTTTTCAACAATTTTTATTTTCTTTTTTTGAAAACTAAAAATTTGTTTCAGTTACCAGTCCAAAAATTGTTAATGTTAGTTTTTATTTTATTTTATTTTCATGTTGTTTAATTTTTTAATATGTAAAATAGGCTTTTGGTTCTTAAACTTAATATTATAATAAAAATATTAAAAGTAATCAAATTGTTTTATTAATCCGCAAAATGTGTATTTAATACTGAAATTATTGTTATGCCAGCATTGTTAATTCATATTATTATGTTTTCAGCATTTCCACGTGTCCCATTTTTACAGCAAGTCTTTAATTTAATTTTGACCATTTCCCATAACCCTTTACAAATAATTTATCACATCATTACGCGCCAACGACATCCACGTGTAACTGACCTAAATCTTCGTTTTCGAACCAATCGATCGAAAAAAACTAACCTATCGTCAATAAATTCTTTGTTTCTCACACGCCTACAAACCGTGCAATTATCCCACACCAAACAATCTGGCGCGATCACACACACCGATAAGACAACCACGGTCCATATTTCGCAAGCTGTGTTTTCCGAGTCACCAAACTATCTCCTCGACGATGTTTGCATTGTTGTTATCAAGACAACAACAGCGTCACGCGACGAGCCGCCAATGGAACAAACCGAAGCCCCAAAACGTAAATATCGGTCATTAAGCTGTCGTCGCCTTGACTCAGTTCCGTTGTGAACGTCGCGACGCCCAACTTATTCACAGGTGTCATCTAATCGAGGCCCCCCATAACTGAAGAATGCGGTTCGTCCAGAATACCATCATTGGAATTTCTTGTTGAATCGGGCAATCGGGACAACCATTATCATATCATCATCATGGATTGCTGCTTTACCATCAGGTGGGATAGCGGCCCGATAATAGCAATTAAATCTATTTGGGATTTGGAGCGAGAAGTGTGTGAATAAAATTTTCGAATTTTTGTACTTTAACGGGATTTAGGTCGATACGCGTGTGATTGCGATGGTCAGCGCGTAATTGGATTATTAAAGAGAGGAAAAAATTGACGACGTGGAGGAAACGGGACGGCAAATCGACGTGATCATTAGGATTTTTTACTGGCGGATTTTATTGCAAAAATAACTATTCGACACGAAGTACACGGAAAATGTGTTTATTTTTCTCGACTTTAATAGTTATACCGGCATTTTAGATCTCGCAGGTTGGGGTCACTTACCCACAAGTGACGGAGCATAATAATACGTTAAAAAACTAGTTGGTAACATAAATTCTATTTAGTATCATTTCGATATTTAAAAAAGTTTTTGATTTGTCATGAAAGTATGAAGTTGAACTAAGGAGTTTATAAATGATTTTCCCGTCTGTTTATGCGAGATTTTTGATATCACGATGTATTAATAATACATATAATGGATCGTACAAAATTCAAGGTTGTACATACTTTTTTTAGGTTTTATAAATGCTTCAGAGACATGGAAAATGTGTTTTTTTCAACTAAATATGGGACTTATCAAGAACCTTGGCTTTATGTAGGATTATTAAATGAATGGAAACAAAAGTCTATTATCCCACTGTTTTTTTATAAGTAATTTGTCTAAATATTACACGTACTCGTTGAAAAAGAAGCATTTAAAATAAAACAATTTTGATTTCATTTCTTATGGAAAATAAATAATTAATGATTAATTGACTCGTAAATTTGTAGTGAGAGTTAAAAATGTTCTATAAATATTTAACAAATTAATGTTATTTATAGAAACGATTAAAAATAAATCAATTAAAACGGTTTAAAAACTCACCAATCAAATTGCATTTTTTGTCTGAATATTTTCATCAAAATTTTTAAAACGAGCAGTAAAAAGTGAGCTCACATAATCTCTCTCCCATATCAGTGATTTAAAGTCCGATTACACAAAATAGACCAAACAATTTCTATGTCACGGAAAACGCTATCAACTTTAATTATCACGAATGCCATTCAATTTTCCCATTTGACAACGTAATTACTGCACGCCACTGCCCGAGACCGTGCGGACAAAACAGAAATGTTTGAAATAATAATACTGAACTCATAGAACATGATTTTCAGTGGAAATTTATGGTTGCAAATCTAATAAAATAATTTTCCGAAGGTAAACAAGTTTTATGCATTATGACTTATGACTAATGGTCCCCCCTTAAAGTAGTAAAAATTCCGTTTCAGGTGCGGAGGCCGAACCATGTCGCATCACAGCGATGACAACATGCTGATCGCGACCAGCGACTCCTTCTGGGAACCGGGCAATTACAAGAAAACCACCAAGAGGATCGAAGACGGCTACAAGCTGTGCACCGAACTGATGACCTTAGTGAACGAGCGCGCAGAGATCGAAAAGGCGTACGCGAAGAGTCTCAAGACATGGTCGAAGAAGTGGAACGACTCTATTGAGAAGGGACCGGAATACGGAACTACGGAAGCGGCCTGGAAGGGAGTCCTCGGCGAAGCCGACAGACGATGTGATCTTCATACGAAAATTAGAGACAATCTCACCAACGATGTGATAAATAAAATTAAAGTCTGGCAGAAAGATGCATATCATAAAGTAAGTTGTCGTAACAACTAAAGGGTGAATCTAATTTTATTTCATTTTTAAGTCGATGATGAATATTAAAGAAAAGAAAGATATGGACGATGCGTTTAAAAAAGCACAGAAACCATGGGCGAAGTTGCTGCAAAAGGTCGAAAAGGCCAAGAGTGATTATCACACGGCGTGTAAAACGGAAAAGTCAGCGGCCAATCAGGAGAGGAATGCAGCAGGGGATAGCTCGTTTTCGGCCGATCAGGTGAGAAATTTTTTACAATTACTCTCAAACACATTAGCACTTTAATCTTGTTTTTGCACAAGCGACAGACTATGGTAAGTAGCACTTTTAACTATACTTATCAAAAATAAATTAAACAAGTCACACTTTCGTCTAATTACAATTTTCTGCTTTTTGCGATAACAATTACAAAATCCGTGATTCCAGAATCGCCTTGACGTAAATGCGTTCCTAATTTTTAATCACACGCTACAACATGTAAAAATGTTTTTTTGCTTGTAAAAAGTGAATTTTGATTGTTCTTCAGGTGAAAAAGATGCAAGACCGTGTCCAGAAATCAAAGGAAGAGGTGCAAAAATGCAAAGAAAAGTACGAATTGGCCCTGCAAGAGATCAATCAATACAATCCTAAATACATGGAAGATATGACCGTAGTATTTGACAAATGCCAAGAAATGGAAGCTCAAAGGTTGAATTTTATCAAAGGGACCCTTTTCGACATCCACAAATACCTAAATGTTTCCCAAGACCCGACGTAAGTGAAAATTACGTGTTGTAATACCTGATAAGTGATAGCATACATCCAAGTAGATAATACAATCGTTACATAATACTAAAGTCCGTTTCACACTCGCAGGTTACAACAAATTTACGAGGAATTGTACCACACGATTAATAATGCCGACTATGAGAAGGACTTGAAATGGTGGTCAAACAACCATGGGGTGAACATGGCTATGAATTGGCCGCAATTCGAGGTATTGCCCCCGACTAATCCCCTATTGCATGAGTTTTTGTTTGTTTACGTGTTTGGTGTTTTTTTGATTAGGATTATACCGAGGAATTCCGCGATATACACAAAGGCAAATCGAAGGATTCGGCCACGTCCGGCATCACGTTAATAAACCAGAGGCCCGTCGGGGAAGACTTGCATGTAGGCTGCTTTTATTTTATTTTTGCATGACTTTCCTGAGTATTGTTCGTACAAAAATTGATTTTTCCCATTTGCGATAGGAATATTCCAGCAATAACAAAGCATTGAAAGCTAAAACTACCGTGACTGCTGTCAAAGTCAACAATACGCCGCCAGTTCAGAAGAAGGACGTCAAACCGGCGACAGTTGAAAAGGTCGAGAGTCCTGCGAATCGAGCGTCGACTATAACGTATGATTTCTTGTTATTTTGAGCGAGAGGGTGATGGGGTGGTTGTAGGAACGGGTCGAGTACAAAAGATGCGAATCCTTTTGACGAGGAGGAGTGGGACGAGAGTGATGCCCTGGTGGATAATGGGGAGCCGGGGGTTCCGGTTAAGGCGTTGTATGACTATGAAGGAGCGGAAAACGACGAACTAAGTTTCAAAACAGGTAAAATTTGATTTTTTTAAGCAACCATTAGTAAGTGGGTTCCAGGTGACATATTTGAGAAATTAGAAGATGAGGACGAGCAAGGATGGTGTAAGGGGCGTAAAGACGGGCGAGTGGGGCTGTATCCAGCCAATTATGTTGAAGTGGTGCCACATTGATACGTGTCAAAATGTTAATTGTTGTTATTTTTGAAATATATAGAGCTATTGCTCGTTACGAAATATAAGTTTTTGTTGACTGGCATAAGTATTGCCTTACAGTATTGTACAAATTGATGGGATAAAAACAGATTATAATTTATGATATTATGAAGCATTTTTTTCTGTTCGGTTGTAACGTTTTTTTAGAGAATATAACGTAATAGTGTTAGGCCTACTCATTGCATTAATGTATATACATTTGATTAAATCAGAACACTTCCAGTGGGTACATATGATCATTTAGTTTAGGTATTTGTAAATTATTACCTAGAATAGAGTGATTATAAATTGTATATAACGTAAAAACAGTAATAAATTATAATCTATTTTATAGCGATTTCTTGCTTGACCTGTTAAAAAAGAGCCATTTATTTTGTATTTTCTGTTTTTATTAATCAAGTTACATAAATAAAATAATTTACACTTAAAACCACTTCTTTAATTACACAAAATTAGTACCTATACTTGGTTGAATAATCTTTAGGAGATACAACCAAACCACGTCCTTTCCTAGCTCCCCTATACACAGTTTCAATAATATCAATCATTTCTTGTTTATCCTCCAAAGGCCAGTTTATTTTATTATTATTACCAGTACCTAAATCAATCATGATGTGTTTATTTCTGAAGAAGAACATTACAGTACAAGGATCGTACAATTCATACCTAAAAACATACACATTAGGCCTCAACCGTTGCAAAAAATATTCACAATTACATTTTATTAAAATCTGGAACTTCCGTAATATCCACAAGATAAATAACAGCAAAGTTTTTCACTTTTTCGGCGATACTATACATAACTTCGTCCATTTTCATACAAGAGGGGTCCCAGTCGTGTCCAAAACGAATCACCTAAAAGGGAAAATTAACAAGGGGTAAAAAAGGAGCCCGGGAAACACTTACCACGACTCGGTCCTCTTCAGACAATATGGCTTGGTCCACTTGCCAGCCGTTGTGTAAATGAGCCAACATATACGACATTTTGACTGTTTTGTTCAAAATGCGCCACAAACAAGCTTAAATTTCGAAAATACAAACAATAATAACAGAAATAATGACAACAACTGTCAGTGTGTCAATGTCAAATTGCCAAATGTCGCAATGTCGATAATGTAGGAATCGTGGTAAGAATTTTCTAGAAACGTAACAGGCGTCATCTATTACGTTAATTACTTTACTAAATTTTAACATAAAAAAATGTTTTAGGGAATATTGTTCTTGTATTTTGTTTATTTCGTTAATTGCGGCGTGATGAATTAAAAAATAGTTATTTATGTATCAATTACGCAAAATAGGGTTTTAGGGGACGAATCGTAATTAATGACGAGGCGACGTAGGAGCCGAGCCTTTAATGAGAGGAGTCACCTAAAACCTTTTGTGTACGTGGTGCATACAAGATTTTTTTTGTTAAGGCTCCCAAAACACGAATTCACACCTCTTACTAATTAAAAAAATTTCGTTACCGTAGTAACTAATTTTTTAATTTTTAGTCCTCAAAAACGGTTTTTGGGACTGAGTACCTTTTTTTATTGAGTCCGGAGTCAAATGAGTCCCTAAAACAGCTGTTTTCGCGAGCGTATACAAAAAAAACATTTCATCCTTATACGTTTTATTGGATGGTAAATTAAAAAAAACCTAGTCACCTCTGACAAAACAACTGAATCAACTGACAATAAGAAAAATGCATCAATCTGATAAATTGTCGATTGACCGACAATCAGTTGGAAAAGATGGAAAAACAGTGCTAGAATGCCCCAAGGTCACAACGAGGGGCTATTATTCGGAAATTATAACGAGTGAAGACTATGGGTGCGCCGTGGATGCCGAGGGTTTGATAGGTTGTTCCCGAAAAACAAATTTTTTATGGCAAGTCAAAACCGAAAAACACGCCCCAACAGTTTTCAAATTTCAATCACCGAGAAAAAAACTCGACTTAAAAGATGCCGAAAGGTGGATGACGTTCGACGAGGATGAGTTAATTGTATTTTTTGGAAATTGTGTGTCTAGACTAATAAGCCAAAAAAATATTTCAGGAATTTTCTGTTGATACTTTCAAACCGAAAGTGCAGCTCCAGCAAACTGTTTACCCCTTTGAGATGACCCGGAGTGTAGCTACGGAGCGGCTACGCAGGTCTTACCAGGTTTAAAAAGTTTTCAAAACAGTTTAAAATATACTTACCAGGAAGCGAGACACAATTTAATTCAATTTGCCTTGATTTATTGTTATTACGTAATTTTGTTTGAGCGATTTACCCTAACCATAAAGCTCTTTATAAAGCTTTTGTTCATAAACGAGTTAATTAAGGTCATTATTATGGCAAGGACTATGTAATTACGACATTATTTACTGTAACAGCAAAATGTTTGGGCTATCAGTAGGAAGGAGCTTCGAAGAATAAACATGATATACAAATATAGTTAATTAACTTAACTGGCTTTGGAGCTCTTAAGTACATTTTTATTATAGGACTTCATTTCGTAAATTCTGTGATTAAGAAAACATTCACAACATCACAAGAATAGCTAATTTGTGTTTCTTTTTACGTGGCTAAAGTTTAAAAGCTCCATTTATATTTTGTTATGTTTATTCCTCCAAGTTACATAACGAAAAACATTGCCAATGACACAGATTTAGAAATAAATCGTTTTTATAAGAAAATCCAGTATCTTTTTGATAAAAATAGTAATCTAATTAACTGCTATAGGTGTTTCTTACCTCTTACGTTGACTCCCGTGTTTTTACAGTATCTGATTAGAAAAAGAAATGAAATACAGAGTACCGACCTATTGAGTTTTTTCATGATGAAAATTTCAAGCAATTTTTATTTTAAATGTTAATTTATTCATTAATTCTTCTCATCTTGTAATATTTTTTTCGATATGTTTCAATTAAAAAATAAGAATAAATTTCGACGTAAAATATTTCGACAAAAATCTTTTAATCAATAGGTTATCTATGATTATTGATAAAAATCACCAATTTGTGTCTTATGGTGTAAAAAACATTTCCCAAAAGAGAAAAGTTTTGTATGCATAAAAATCGTTAATTCCTCGAATGAAAACGTACGATCTCGGGATTAAAATAGTTGTTTATTCCCTTGATACATAAATAAACTGTCGAAAATGTAAATATTTGAAGGTTTACATTGTCAAAATTGATGTCACAAAACCGGGCAACATTTTTATGGCTGCGCCAATACTTATTTAAACAATTAAATACAATTAAGAGATGTTGAATAAAGATTTGTATGGCACATGTATGTTATTACAAATAAGTCATTTAAAAAAAGTACCCTACTTGCCCCACGGGCTCTTGCGTGACTTATTTATTGTAATATAACACACTTGTGCCATAATAGTATATTATGTAACTAGTGCTATAAACGAAACTTTAGACATGAGTTTTATTAAGCACGAACGAAGGGCAAAGGAGCGAGTCTTTAATAAATCGAATGTCTATAGAAGTTTATACACGTGTTACATACTATACTTTTTCTACAACCACAAAAAAATTTACATAATTTGGAATTTGTGACAACTTACCGTGGAGGAAGAAACAACTGGAGGGAGCATAAGCACTGAAACCGTGCTCCCTGCCCAAACACCTTTTATGATCCCTTTCAATCTTTCAAATAAAAATAGTAGTCATTATTAGTGTAGTAACTATTCCAAATTATATAATATTTCGTCGTTACAAAAAAAACAAATTTTCATACCCACATTCCAAGGGCTGTAAAATTCTTAACAGTAGAGATAGGACACAAGTTATTATTTAAATTGAAATCATTTTATAGGTCATTTTTGAGGTTCAAATATTGCTTCATATTTATGAATAACCCTGTATATGATAATTCTTGTTTTAGATGTGGGAGTAGAAAAATAACTATAAAATAGTTAAAGTCAGCAAATTCAGCAAATAATGTCAGCAAAATAAAATGTATTGAATAAAATAGTTTTTCAATAAAAGAGAAAGTTCAAATTACAAAGGTATCTTATTTTGTGTAGATTGCGAACATTTCAAATGCAAGTTATTTTTAATTGGATGAAAATAGAGAACAAACCATTAATTAATTAAAGCATTTTTTTTGTTTTCTTTAAAATTCATTTCTGGCTTGAAGAGATATGATTTATTGAGATATATTTTGCTAATTTAAATAAAATTTGACACTGCATTTTATTCCATTTTTATACAAAGTTTGTTTTCCGCTTACTGAATTTTTTTTTAACTGTACAGGCAACAAAAGGAAAAACTGATCATCCGTGTAGGTATCGTGTTCCGATCAAACGAAGACATTTAATAAAGAACAGTTTTTATTTTCTTTACAAGTTGGAGGAAAATAATTACTTTCCGCATATTCCGACAAATGATCTTGTATAAAATTTGCATACAGAATGTGAAATGAAAGGGAAAAATCTTTTTTTAGAACTGTATTTCAAATATAAATGGACTTTTACGGTCTTCTTTCCTAGGCTAAGAATATTCAATTATTGCTCGAGAAATTGAAGATCGAACCGACCCATATGGTTTCAGTGCAGCTTTTAGAACAATACTACCCCAATAAGGTTCCTCACGTTAACATCACCACGAATTACCTGCCTTTGGAACTATTTGACGACGAGGAATACGATTGCAGGTCTGCCACCGCACAATCCAATTACAAAATAATTACTTCATCAGTAGCATCCAAATAAAGTCGCGCTTTAATCAAGCTCCGTTTGTCCCGATCTTTTATTAATATCTATTTCGTCAGAACACCGGAAAATTGGTTAGAATTGGGAATCGTCAAAGGTATGCGCAATCCCCTACCTGGCGAAGCCTTCGTACCTGTTGAATCTTACGTCTTGGAACCCTTCACCCGCCTCAACGATCTTTTTGCCAATTTGGGACAATGGGTAAACGTCGCTGTTCAGGATTACAATACCGAAACCAAACTTTGGAAGATTTTGACTCTTGATGGCACCCGAAGATCCTTCGAATTACCCCGTATTTATGTCATGTTTAAAGCTGAAGATCCATCAGTTTTCGCGCGGAGAATTAAAGCCGCCGTGGATTTACGACGTGAAACTGAAGCTACTTTAAGGTACGAAAAACGTGATTTAATTAAAATTACCGAACACGTGCTTAAAAGTTATAAAGTCGTGTTTTGTAATGGAGAGAGCAGAGTTAAGCCACTTATCAACAAATAAAAAGCAAAAGTTTTAATAAAAAACGGCGGTTTTCAGTCATTATTAATTTGTGCCAAAGTAAAGAATTAACGTTGACGTTTCGATAAATAGAATATTTGTGCAAGTGGTTTTTAATCACGTCCTGCTTGAATGTAAAGTTTAATTAAAGGAAATTGTGTTGCAAACGCTACAATATTAAGGAGTTACCGCACAACATACGATAGGTTTTCGGTTACGAAAACGATAAAAATCATAAAAATGTTAAAATGCCCATGCGTCGTGTGTATCGGACAAGGACGTTATATTCATCTAACCTCCTTGGTATTGGAATGATAAAAGTTTTCAGTATCGTATGAAATTATGATAACTTTAAAAGTTATCGCTCTTTGTTTTCGTTACGATAATCACATTTTGTGACATATGTGACGTTTAGTGACAATGATTGTAATAATTGCACTGGCATTTTTAAGTTTTTGAACTAAAACCGCAACTTCTAATATTTCTTCCATATTATGAAACGTAGTAATTTACTACGTCTCCATGAGGAATTGAATTCGAATTGAAAATGGTATTGGGATTGAGTCCGTGTGTGTTTCCATGAAGTAGTTCGAAATCTTTTTTTTTGAGAAAAAAAAAAGAAAAACGAAACCAAAATGACTTTACACAACAACGACAGCTTTTCAACGACAACTTTTTGCCACAAGCCCGGCAATCTACGGTTGGATTCAGTACGATACTGTTTCCATGCACAAAATCGTACTTTCAATCCCGATACGATCCTAGAATTTGCCGTATCGACCTTGAGATTCAAATAGATTTCAGTACCCATTTTAAAGGGTTTTCATGGCAGTATTGAATCTCAGTACCGTTTTCAATTCGAATTCAATTCCTCATGGAAACGTAGTAATTATATGTAAAGTACTAAAACAGCATTTGAACGGTTTTTTATAAGATTGACCTCATTTTTGTAGAATATATCAAGGATGATGGGGGGCTAATTTTTATCGGTGACCCCTCATTATTTCAATTTTTACACTAATAAGTGCATTTATGCCTCATTTTATGGAAGTTACTTAATCGTAAAGTATTATTAAAAGAAACCAATGAGACGCAGAACAAAAGCAAGAAATCAACCAATAAACGAAAAATACTTGCGAATTATACCAAAAAGACTTTCAACGACGACAATAATAATGTTACTGTCAATGTTAAATTGACAAATTCAGTCGAACATGACATTTAAGTAGTGTGGTTGAAGTACTTATGTAAATTAATGTTCAAGGTTAACATCCTGAGAGACCCTTTAATTGGTTAAATTTACATTGTGATAGAATTTTTTTTTCACTTTTTTTTTTTTTTTAATATTTTTGTCAATTTCTGATACAGCTATACACCATAGAATCTATACACGAAAACTTGTCACGTGATTTTTTATTGTTTTTGGATGTGCGGTAACTCCCTATTATTAGGGAAGATTGTAATAAACGCAAAATGTAGTTTACTATTTTATACATGTGCATTATACATTACAATTCAATTAAAGTAAATTAAAATTAGTTAATAATAATAATCAATTATTAGTGCACTTTATTTTTGATAGGTGAATCAGTTTTAATAAAAATTTGTTTATTATAGTAATAAAAAAGTAGAAAACAACACAATTTTTACTTGTCATCTACTTTTACATAGGGATGACTAAAAATTAAGTAATTTTACTAAAATGGTGGATGCGCCGGGTTTAAGGTTCCTGTTTTAGATATAAATTCTATTTAAATACAATGCTTCTTGTCGACATACCTGAATTGGATGACGATTTAATAGACAGGATTTATTATTCTGCGACTAGAAACAATTTTATGAAAGAAGCGGCTTCATGGTCGAAGGTTCGTTTGATATCACCTTTACTCAATATTTAAAAAAGAGTTTTAGCTCGTCAAACAAGTGCAATTCTCTTATCAGCAAACACATTGCGATCTTCAGTTCAGAAGAGATGCTGAGAAAGACGCGAGATTAAAGCCTTATGTCGAAATGACAGCCAAAGGATGGGATGAAACTCTTAGAAGTTGTGTTTGCGCTTGTTTTTTACATTTGTTACATTATTTTTTATAGTTGTTCCTAAATTCAAAACTGGGATGAAATCGTTTTCGGGAATGTGTGAATATTTTAAATGGATGAACATTTACGTGACTCCTGAGACGTATCGAGCCATGTTTTTAGTAGTTGGAGAATGTTTAAAAATCGAGCAAATGTCCCTATTTACTAAAAGTTACGGAATCAAACATATCACACTTGAGGAGTTTGACACGGTGCAATCTCAGTGCACTAATAATGTAAAAGCATTTCCGAGAAGAACAAATTTAGTTACATTTTTTACAGGTCATCAAACATATGCAAGGACAGTGGGTCGAAACGGTTGTTTATAATATAAGAATGTGTTTAGGTGACGTGGGTAAAGGTTGGTTCGATATCAGCGTTTACAATTACGAAGTATACGAGGTTTCCAAGTTAAAAAGGTTTATGGAATTGGTTAAATATCGGATGCAGTACACTTTGAGAATCCTTGTTCTCCATTCCATCGAAGTGTTTATCGATCTGGTTGAAACTCCTTGCTTGCCGTGTCTCGGAGTTGAAGATGATTTCGTGTGGGGGTCCAACCTGATTGATAGCCCTTTCGTGTCAAGAGCTTCGGCAATTTTCATTTTACAATTAAAGATGGACGAGAATTCTGCTTTCTACTCAACGCATTTGGAACAATTTGAGAAAGTTTTGCTTAGATTGTACGACACGGCACTGACTTTTACGCACAAAATCAAGCAGGTGCATCCGTTTCTATTAAAGAATTTAAACTTTCCTCATGATTTGATGTTATCATCTATTGGTTTATTGGCAGAAGAGGTAGTTAGTGTCAGGGAGAGATTTCTTTTGGCTTACAAGAAGGCACTAATACCTTTAAGAGCATTTGCCAAAGAGTTTGACATTTACATTGAGCTTTTTACCCTCGATGTCAAAGACTACGTCGAGTAATTTTTATAGTTTGTGAGGGATAGGTAATACTCAAACAATTTTTTTAGACAGTTTAAAAATGACCAACACACGGCTTCCGAAGTTAAGGAAGAAGTTTCCTTTCATTTGAGAATGAAAGCTAATTTGGAGGCTACTTTACCGACGACTATAATCATAGGTCCGTTTTTCGTCACAATCGAGCAATTGAGACACTTTTTGATTAGTAAACGCCAAGAGCTTGCAACTAAACTTTTGGATATGTTTTGTCAAAGAATGAAAAATTGTATACTGGATGTTCTCGCAGAATACAACAGAATAAGTGAGAAATTGAATGAAAAACCGGATAATATCGAAAATGTTTTCGAGATACGGGAATGGATGGAGACCATACCGATGTTGGTCCGAACTCAAGAAGATTTGGTTCGACGATATGTAATTGAATATGATGTTTTGGAGCACTTTTGGTATGCTCTACCTCAAGAAGATTTTGAAAATAAATGGGAAGCTGTCGGTTGGTCTTATAAACTTTCAAAACAGGTCGAACAAACTGAACAGTATCTCAAAGAAGAAGAGGAGAAGTTCTACAAGATTCAACTGAACGACGAATATAACCTTCAAGAGAAAATTGAAGGTTTTACCGCACAAGTTGTCAAAATGGCCAAAGAGAAGGATTTTTCTCGAACTCACGAAATCGCCGTCGATATGCGTCGACTGTGGAAGGCCTTGAAAGAGGCACAAGAACAAGGACAGCTTTTGAATCAGAGACAAAAACTCTTTAACATTCCCGTTGTTCCGTTTGATAATCTTTTAAAATTGATCAAAGAGTTCGAGCCCTATAAAACACTCTGGATTACGGCTTCGGATTGGTTGAGAGCATATGAAATGTGGATGGACAATCCCCTTGTCAACATTGACAGCGAAGCAATAGAAAGATTAGTTACAGATATGTACAAAACTATAGTCAAATCGGTTCGAGTTTTCGCCGAAATTGAGGCAGTCCAACAAGTAGCACTAGAGGTGAAAAGGCAGATCGAAGAGTTCAAACCCTTGATTCCCCTTTTGTTAAGTTTGAGAAATCCGGGGATGAGGCAAAGACATTGGGATAAATTTAAAGAAGAGACGGATATTAACTTAATTTGGACTCCTGCGACTACGTTTAAGGATTGCCTTGACCTGGGCGTGGCAGAATATACCGAGAGATTAGTAGGAATCGCTGATGAAGCAAGTAAGGAGTATACAGTCGAGCAGACATTACAAAAAATGATGAACGAGTGGGAGAATTGCACAATGGAGCTAACTCCTTATAAAGATACAGGGACGTATATTATGAAAATTCCCGAAGAGACGCAACAGATGCTCGATGATCACCTGGTATTGACTCAACAGGTCAGTTTTAGTCCGTTCAAGGGACCGTTCGAGCAAATGATTGACCAGTGGGAGGAAAATCTTAAGATTACTTCAGATGTCATCGAGGAATGGATGGATGTGCAAAAGTATTTTTTTACCAATAATTAATAATTTTGGGGTTAATGCTGTTTACTCTAGACAGTGGATGTATTTAGAACCTATCCTAACAAGTGAAGATATCAGAATACAACTTCCGGCAGAAAGTAAAAAATACGGTTCGATGGAACGGACCTGGCGCCGCATTATGAGAGGAGCTCGCGATAATCCATATGTAACATTTCGGTTTACGATTTCGAAGGAATGTATTAATCAATTGTAGATTTTGAAATATTGCGCTGACCGAAAATTGTACGAGAGTCTTAAAGACGCCAACCACATTCTAGATATAGTCCAAAAGGGACTTGCGGATTATTTAGAAACTAAACGAATGGTATTCCCTCGATTGTACTTCTTGAGTGACGACGAATTGTTAGAGATTTTGTCGCACGCCAAGAATCCTTTGGCCGTGCAACCTCATTTGCGTAAATGCTTTGAAAACATTGCGAGGGTAAGTCTAATATAAGCGTTTGATTAAATAAAAGTTTCCGATTTCATTCACGACACGTTTCCAATTTATGAGCCTTGCGACATATTCGTCTTGTCCAATATCATTATTTTGACCCACTTTTTAGCTTCAATTCGAGACAGATCTGTGCATCACTCAGATGTTTTCGGCCGAAGATGAATGCGTTAGTCTCACCCCCACTCTCTACCCCACTGCAAACGTAGAAAATTGGTTACTTCTAGTGGAATCAAGTATGAGAAATACAATACGGACGATCCTTGGAGATTCATTAAAAGAAATCAATGATAAACCGAGAGACCAGTGGGTGCTCGAATGGCCAGGACAAGTGGTCATAGCAGGAAGTCAAACTTTTTGGACTGCCGGCGTGGAACACGGAATTGGGGAAAATACCCTGAATGATTTTCTGGAGAATGTCGTTTTTACTAATGTAATTAATTTAGGTATTTCACTTTGGACGAATTTCATTTGTCATTTTAGTTGGATGCGCTTCGCGGTTTGGTCAAAGGTTCTTTGTCGTTCCTGCATCGAGAAATTCTTTCAGCTTTGATTGTAATTGAAGTACACGCACGTGACGTAACACAAAAATTGGTCGACTTGAATATCACAAACGTGAATGATTTTGATTGGATAAGTCAATTGAGATATTATTGGGTGGATCCCGACCTTAAGGTTCGAGCAGTGAATGCAGAATTTCAATATGGTTACGAATATTTGGGCAACAGCGGTCGTTTGGTTATAACCCCTTTAACCGATCGGTGTTACTTGACCTTGACAGGAGCTCTCCATTTGAAATTCGGAGGTGCTCCGGCTGGTCCGGCCGGTACTGGAAAAACGGAAACCACCAAAGATTTAGCCAAAGCAATGGCTTTGCAATGTGTCGTATTTAACTGTTCAGACCAATTAGATTTCATGGCTATGGGCAAGTTTTTCAAAGGATTGGCCAGTTCCGGCGCTTGGGCGTGTTTCGATGAGTTTAATCGAATTGATATTGAAGTCTTATCAGTGGTAGCTCAACAAATCACGACTATTCAAAAAGCGCAACAAGCTCGTCTTGATGTCTTTATTTTCGAAGGGTCTGAAATCAAATTAAAGGAATCTTGCGCTGTTTTTATAACAATGAATCCTGGTTATGCCGGCCGAACCGAACTACCCGATAATTTGAAAGCACTTTTCCGACCTGTTTCAATGATGGTCCCGGATTATAGCTTAATTTCTGAAATTTCTCTGTTTTCGTTTGGATTTAGTAATGCGAAGTTGTTGGCAAATAAAATAACCACAACTTTTAAATTGAGTTCGGAACAATTGAGCACACAGGATCATTACGATTTCGGAATGAGAGCTGTCAAAACTGTGATAGCAGTTGCTGGGAATTTGAAACGAGAGAAACCAGAAATGAACGAAAGTCAGATTGTGTTGAGAGCGTTGCGGGATGTGAACGTTCCCAAGTTTTTGAAGGACGACCTTAAATTGTTTAATGGTACGTTAATTAATTTTATGTAAATTTGCCGACATTAAAACCTTTCGTAACATTTATCATAAAAATCGCATATTCAATAAGAGGTACATATTTGATGGTGTTGAAAATGAGGTTTAAAACTGAATTTTTTACATGCTTATGTAAAGTTTACTTTAAATGTGTTGATGTTTGTCCAAACGTTGTGCTTTTTTGTCGCATATTGCTTTCAATAAATTGTTATAGGAATAGTATCTGATCTGTTTCCAAAAATGGTGGAGGAGCCGGTCGATTACGGCGTGTTGGAGGAATCGATTCGTGCGTCTTGTATCAAGATGGGATTAGAAGACGTGAACGGTAAGCTTTGTAGGGTGGTAAAGGTCGAGCAGATGCTGTTAATTAAGATTCCAGAATTTGTCCGGAAAGTGATTCAATTATACGAAACTACGATAGTCCGACATGGATTAATGCTGGTGGGACCGACGGCGTCCGGGAAAACAAAGGTAGGGCAAAATCGAAAGAAATGACGATTATTTTCGTTATTTATGCGAGTTTACCTCATATAGACAGTCGTAAAGTCGATGAGTAATGAGACGTCATTTTTAAATCGTTTATTTCAACATCGAGGACATTAAACAACAAGTTCAAATAAATAAATAAAAAATGTCAGTGGACCCTCTGTTTCTCGCTCAGCATGATCTAAAAAAATCAAATTAATTAAGTTTTAATAAAACAAGGTGGATTTTCTTACCACTTGTTATGGAAAGGAGTGCTAGCTAACCGTTTTAAATTATTCCGAAGGAGTTGCCAGAGACAACGACGAAATGTCACGCCGCACATTGCGTAAAGTAAAAAGTTTATGCTAAAGTTGGTATAATAAAGCAACATGGCGAACTGCTGAATACAGTATAAGGTTTCAGGAGGGTTTTTTTGCTGAAGGGTGAAGACAAAATACACAGAGAGACGAGTCACATAACTATAATAATGTTTTTTTTAATTATTTTCTAGTATGAACTTTGGTTTAATTACCTTGGAAAATTCAGTGCAATGAAGACGGACGATATTAGGAGAAGCATTTTTGTAATGTTTTGTTGGCTTCGCGTTGAAGCAATGTTTCTCGCTGACATTTTTATATCTAGAAGAAATTCTCATTATTGCAACTTTGGTGTGCTACCTTCAAACCGCATCATTAAAACAGTTTTGGAAGTAGGAACCTTACTAAACAATAATTACACTTTGAAGTCATTAGAAAATAACGTCCCACATGCTCCTTTCAATTACGTTGCGCTTTGAAACGGTGATCGACACAAACAAAATCACGAAATTTCAGCGAATTTTTTTTTGTGGGAAAATATTGACAAAATTTTGACAAAAACTGAACGATTCTTAAAATGTACTGTACAAATTATTTATACATTTAAGAATAAATATAAAAAAATAGACAAATAATTTTGAAACTTACGTATGCACGGACATCTTTCTAGTTGGTTGTTGTTGTATTTTTTACTTGATCTTGAAGGATTCGATTTTTGGGAAACGTGAGATTGCTGGGAGCCTTGACGTCTATTGGAACAGCCACTCTAGAAACAAATTCCAGTTCGTTTTTTAAAAAACTCGAATCTGACAGATTTTTAATCTATAAATTATTGCTTAACGTCGGATGTTAAATTCTCGACGGAATGTTAAATTCTAGAGTTTCTATTAAGGAAATTGGTGGTTAATCTAATACAGAAATTGATATACAGATCATCGTGTCACATACTTAAATTAATCAAACAAATTAAAAGTGCAAACAATAAAAAGTTATATCATAGACCGTAGATTAGACAACATACGAATCGAGTAAATTTCACCAGAATATTCAAAAAGAAAACATTATTCGTGAATTTAATTGTCTATAAACAATCCTTGTCCAACAACAGAATAAATTCAACTCGCTTGAGAAACAGCAGCTGCTTTCCCATTTTCGGTACTTTCCAACAAGAATTAATAAATTTGTTAACATAAATTATCTTACTTGGCTCGGTCTCATAATTTTAAATATAAGTAATATCTGCGCCTTTTAACATTCGATCAATTTTAGCAACGAGTTTTCATGGCTCGTATCATCGTCATTGTTTGTTTACACTTTTCCTCCTTAAGGATGTCAACAACAGATTTAAAGGCAAATATTTATATCACAAAATTGTTCTAACTTAGATTTGTAGGTAGTAAACAATAGTTTTAAATCAATCGTTTTAGGAAAAACGGGAGTTCATCAAAGCACAAGGCATGTAATGTTAGCATTCAAGTTAAATTTAATTGTTAATTAAGTAATCCGGTCCTTACCCCAATATTAAGTTTAATTTCGCGACTGGATTAAAACATAACTGTTTTTTTTTGATGAGTATATAATTTGATAAAACTATAAATCCAACGCTAGTCCGCCCCTCATTGTCGCCATCGTAAATTTGATATGACTACAAATAAATACCGTTAATGACGTTATTTCGGAAAAATACCTTTCTATGGAAGATTTATGTAAAACTGCCATTCATTAATTTTCTTTTGGTTGATATTTCAATTGAAACGCAAATTCCGTCGTATATTTTTCAGTGTTCCAGAGGTGTAGGTATAGGGAATAATTAATCAATCAGTATATAGAAAGGCGTTTTTTTTTTAATCGTGAAGGGTTGTCACTGAATGGTTTACGGAAATAAAGGCTTTATAAAGCTTGGATCGATACGTTAGTGGCGCTGAAACTTATAACAATTATATTTTATTAAATTAAGTACCTGAACGTTTGAGTGCTGAAGTTCGGTTTTATCAGTATCAGTGTCTAGATACTCGTCAATGGAACTAGCCTGGAGTCTTCTCCGGAACAGGAAAAGATTTCTCGCAATCATCGTATTCATAGTGACTATCAGTACAAAAGGAACAATTAGAGTCGCCATAGTATCGACAAAATTGATCACTTTCATGAATTCAAAGTATGCCGGCTTCATTTCACATTCGGGATGCTTTCCGTCGTGATTATTGATAACACCAGCTATCCAAAAGAGATATAGTTGAGATAACATAGCAACAGCCGTCAAACTGATAACGACAGTTTTGGCCCTCGAAACAGTACAAATATGTGGCCTTTGCAAAGGATATTGTACGGCAATGAACCTCTCGACGGTGAAGGCTACGATAAGCCAAACACTTAAAGAAGCACATACAGAGCTCAAGTAAACGAAAAATTGACACCATCCGTCCGAATTGTATATTTCAAAAACGTTATTAAAGCTGCAATGCACCACTAAAACTACGCACAAGAAGCCAAAATCGGCGATGGCCAAAGCGGCCAAATAATAGCTAGAACTACGCATTTTTAAGTGAGTGCTCAAGAAGACCACGCAAGAGAGGAAGTTGCCGACGAAGCCGACAGCGATTATGATGGGAATGTAGTAAGTATGGAGAAGTTTGAGATAGGAATGGAAAGGGTCGCAGTAGTAGCCACCAGGGTCTAAATCGGTGGAATTGATAAGAAACTCCTCCGAGAAGTTCGCGAAGATTTGGTTCAAGCGACGCATCGTGAGGACGTCGCGACGCGTACTGAAGTGTCTTATAGCCAGCGTTGATTTACACGAAACACGCACGCGTTATTGCAACAGGACTTCTGATTTTTCACTCGATTGGATTGTTTTATATATATTAAGCTAAATTGTAGTGGTCAAAAGACTAAAACTTTATTAAACAAAATACTTTACACTTTTTTATGTGCAATAATATACCGAATGTCCTACGGTTTATATTAAAAAATAATACAAAATTCCACTTTCGATTTTAAAATAAAAATGAACTAAGAGTCTCTAACTTTCCAAAATGTTGAATCTTTTTGGTATTTTATACAAAAAATACCTGAAAATTTTGAGAAATCAAATTTTGCGTTTTCAAATTTTTGAAACTATTCACAACAATTGGTAAATCCAAACTAAAATAATGACTTTGTTTAGTGTTATGAAGTGTTAAAAGCTGCGATGACGGCGCTCGAGGGCCAACCCCAACCCAGCGGCCAACCATTTCGCCCCGTCCACACCTATGTCATGAACCCCAAATCCATCACAATGGGGCAACTATACGGTGAATTTGATTTGCAGACCCACGAATGGTATTTTCTCTCAAGTGGTTAAAACTCAATTAACTTTGCACAGGACCGACGGGATTCTTCCCTGTTTGGTCCGCATAGGAGTGGCTGCGGAAAACAAAGACAAGCGTTGGTACGTTTTCGACGGTCCCGTGGATGCCGTCTGGATCGAAAACATGAACACTGTCCTCGACGATAACAAAAAACTGTGTTTAAGCAGTGGCGAAATTATTAAACTGCGAGATACAATGACGATGATGTTTGAAGTTGCAGATCTAGCTGTGGCTTCTCCGGCGACTGTCTCTCGATGTGGGATGGTTTACCTTGAGCCGGGAGTTTTGGGATTAGCGCCGTTTATCAACTGTTGGTTGAAACGACTCCCGAAGGTGGGTCACGTTTTTAATTCATTTTTTCCCTGCTTGAAGTCGTAAAGCAACACGTGGGCGCTTGATGTTGAAATAAAAAAGCAATTACAGGTGGAAGAAATTTGGTATAGGGTTCTATATAAAGAGAGAAAAAAATTAATTTCGAGCTGTCCTTGTTAGATAATTCCGTTTCTATAAGAGTTCGTCGATTGCTTATAGGTAACGAAATCCTGCCGGCTGTTTTATGATATGATTCAGGCAGATAGTTTTACAAATGACAAATTCAGAAAAATTACAAATCAATAACATTTTTTTATATTTTTAGTTGGCAGCACCGTATGCGGAAAAATTCAAAGAATTAATTTATACTTATGTAGTGCCAGGAATTGAACTGGTACGTAATCGTCTTAGAGAGATTTTGACTTCAGTGGATTCGGCTCTTTTGTATAAATTTTTACGTTTGATGGATTACTGGCTTTTGCCGTTATCCGGGCGTGATAATAAACCACCACCAGGACCGCAATTTTTAGCCTTGATTCGTATTACATTCTAAAAATTGCCAAAATCCAATCAAATTTTAATTTCTAGCCGGGCTTTTGGCCCCTTGGGTTATTTTTTCCATGATTTGGAGCGTCGGTTGTACTTGTGATAATCGGAGTCGTGTCTTTTTTGACCACTGGCTTCGAGAAAAAATGTCTGAGGAACGAAATGAGCCTTATTTTCCCCGAAATGGTCTAGTGTACGATTATAGATTGCACGATGGTGGGTTTACTGACCCTACAGAAGATGGGCAACCCATCCCACCTCAATGGTATAGTTGGATGGATAATGTGGAAGAATTTAAAATTACTGTCGACATGAAATATTCTGATATGGAAGTTCCGACTATGGATAATGTCCGAAACGCGAAAATGTTAGAAATAGTTTTGAACAATTACGATAATGTGTTATGCGTGGGCCCCACGGGAACGGGAAAATCTCTCACAGTTGTCGGAAAGTTAAGTCGAAGTATGCACAAGAAGTTTATTTGCGATTTTATGAGTTTCTCAGCGAGAACTTCAGCCAATCAGACTCAGGTATTAAAGGGAATTCAAAATTATGGCAAGTCCTAGTCTCTATTATTCAGGATTTGCTCGATTCGAAACTGGATCGACGCAGAAAAGGCGTGTTCGGTCCTCCGGTCCTAAAACGTCAGATATTTTTTATCGATGATTTTAACATGCCGGCTTTAGAAGTGTACGGTGCCCAACCCCCCATTGAACTAATTCGACAATGGATGGATTTCGGAGGTAACCTGTAAACTTGTAAACATATGTTTACTCCAGTTTTAGGCTGGTACGACCGGAAAAACATCGGCGACTTTCGTACAATCATCGATACAAATTTTTGCGTCGCAATGGGACCCCCTGAAGGAGGCAGAAACCCGGTCACGGCTAGATTATTAAGACATTTCCATTATTTGGCCTTCATCGAAATGGAGGATGATAGTAAAGTTGGTTTAACCCAGATTTTTGTGGGTTAGAATTAATGAAACTGTCATAGAGGAAAATTTTCGGAACGATTTTTAAATTTTGGATGGACCGAATTCCGGAAGAGTATTCTCTGGGAGAATATTACGAACCGATTTTAGAAGCAACACTCAGTGTTTATAGCACGATTTTAAAAGAGTTGCTTCCTACGCCCGCAAAAACACACTATACCTTTAATTTGCGAGATTTGAGTAAAGTTTTTCAAGGGTTGTTAATGTTTAATCCGGAAAAAATGACAGTAAGTATAAGTTAATAAGATTTGTAAATGATGTCGTATTTTCTGTCACCAAATAAAGGATATAAATTTATTGGTGCGTTTGTGGTACCACGAATGTTGTCGCATTTTCCAAGATAGATTAGTGAACGACGACGACAGAAACTGGTTTGCAAATTTGCTCAAAAGTAAAATCGAGAGTGACTACGATGTTGATCCTGCTTCGGCTCTTGGGACACAAATGTTGTTTTTCGCTGATTTTATCGATCCTACGACTGATTATCGCGAGTATGAACAAATCACTGACCCAACGAGAGTACGTTTCATGAATTGCAATGGATTATTTGTGATTTTGAGGGTTATTTTAGTTATCGAACGTCCTTGATTATTATTTGAACGAGTATAACGACCAGAGCACTCGTCCGATGAAGTTAGTCCTATTCCTTGATGCAATTTCGCACGTTTGTCGCATTTCGAGGATCATTCGTCAGCCACTAGGCAATGCACTTCTATTGGGTGTAGGCGGATCCGGTAATGAGCGTCTTTTGCCAATTTCCGTTTAAGTTAATCAAGTTTTATCTAGGCAGACAGAGTCTGACGAGACTGGCGACCTTTATGGCGGAGTACGTTTGTTTCCAGATTGAAATTCACAAAACTTACGGCATGTTTGAATGGCGCGAGGACATCAAAGGACTTATGCTTAAAGCCGGTCTTCAAAGACGCGAAACTGTTTTTCTTTTCTCAGACACACAAATTAAATCCGAGTCATTTCTAGAAGACTTGAATAATGTGCTAAATTCTGGAGACGTCCCTAATATTTATCAACCGGACGAATTGGATAAGATTTTCCAAGAAATGAGAGGTGTGGTACAAGAAATGGGTCTCGTGGCGACAAAATCAAATCTATTTGCCACTTATCAGAAAGTTGTTAGGTCGAATTTGCACACAGTTGTTACAATGAGGTCGGTTTTGAATAAAGCAAGTAGTCAAAGCGATTAACTTTTGTTGTAGTCCGATCGGTGATATTTTCCGGGCTAGACTGCGCCAGTTTCCGGCTTTAGTCAATTGTTGTACAATCGACTGGTTTAGCGAATGGCCGGATTCTGCCCTTCAGGTATATGTCGTAGAACTAGAGCGAAATATTTATTTTTGAAGTTTTGAAAAGTCGGTAGCGTTTCAATTTTTGGATGACATGGCAGAATTGAACGTGGAAGAAGAAGTCCTTCATGGAATCGTTATGGTGTGTCAATTTATGCATGCGAGTGTCGTCGATGCGAGCATACTTTACAAGCAAGAGCTGTCAAGACATAATTATGTCACACCAACGTCGTATCTCGAACTTTTGTCGAGCTATACTGATCTCATGTTGAAAAAAAGGGGAGCTTTATCGGAAGGCATCACGAGATTGTCGACCGGTAAACAAATTTTTTAATGTTTTACTTTAATTTATTTTAATTATTACAAGGGTTGGATAAGCTCAAAAGCACTGCAGAAGAAGTAAAAATCCTCCAGGCCAGCCTCGAAGAAATGAAGCCGGCGTTGGAAGCCGCGAAACAAGACGCCGAAATAATGATCGCCGAAATCGCTAAAGACCAAATCGTGGCCGAAGAGACGAAAGAAATCGTTGAAAAAGAAGAGCTCGAGGCGGCTAAAAAAGCTCTCGAAACCCAAACAATCGCCGACGACGCTCAACGAGATTTAGGTTACATGTTTTAATTACGACACTTTGGTTTAAAAATAATTCAATCAATCCGCAGATGAGGCAATGCCGGATCTGTTAGCGGCTGAGGCTAGTTTGAAATCGCTTAATAAAAATGATATTTCTGAAGTGCGATCGATGAAGCGTCCGCCGGCAGGGGTAGTATATGTCATTGAATCGATTTGCATCATTAAAAACATCAAACCGGCGAAATTACCCGGAAGAATGCCTGGAGAAAAAGTTTTAGACTACTGGGAACCGGGGCGCAACATGCTCGCTGATCCGGGCGTGTTTTTAGCCTCGTTAATGAACTTTGATAAAGAATCAATCACCGAAGAAATGATCGACAAGTTAAAAAATTACGTATCGAATCCACAATTTCAGCCGGCAAAAGTGGCGAAAGTTTCGAAAGCGTGCAAGTCGCTTTGTATGTGGGTCCACGCGATGTACAAATACTACTTTGTAAATAGGCGAGTAGCGCCAAAGAAAGCCGCTTTGGCACAGGCGAAAGCCGAGTTAGCCAAAACTGAAGCGGCTTTAGCCGAGGCCAAAGCTAAAATGCAAGCGGTTATGAATAATTTACGGTTGTTACAAGAAAAATTAGGGGCAAAAATTGCATTCAAAGAGGAGAAAGAAGCGAGTATCCAAATTTGTTTAGAACGGATGAGTCGAGCAGTTCGCTTAATCAACGGATTATCTGACGAGAGAGTTCGCTGGTTGAACACCATTTCAAGTATTGAAGCGAGTGTTGTCAACGTCACGGGAGACATCCTATTGAGTGCCGGAGCTGTGGCTTATCTCACCCCGTTTACGGATAAATACCGACGAGGGTTGTTGTCCGAATGGTTAAAAGCGATAAGGGAACAGAAAATTCCCTGTTCGGTTGATCCTAATCCGGTTTCGGTGTTAGCCGAACCGGTCCAAATACGTGCATGGCAGTTGGACGGCCTACCGAGGGATTATTTCTCAACGGAGAATGCTGTTCTTGTTTCAAATTCGAAACGTTGGCCTTTGTTTATAGATCCTCAAGGCCAAGCCAACAAATGGGTGAAGAATATGGAAAGGGCTCAAGGGTTGGCGGTGTGTAAGATGGCCGATAAGGAGCTGTTGCGTACTTTAGAGTCAGCGGTTAGGTGGGCTATATCTTTTTTTTTCTTTTTTTTACGTTTTGGTTACACTAAACCTTTTATTATAGGTTTGGTAAACCAGTTTTGATCGAAGGAATCGGAACAGATTTAGATCCGTCTCTGGATCCTGTTTTGCTTAGACAAAAGTTTAAACAGGCAGGAACCTGGATGTTGAAGTTGGGTGAAGTCGTAGTGCCTTACGATGACGATTTCCACTTATACATGACTACGAAATTACCAAATCCCCATTATACTCCTGAAGTTTCAGTTAAGGTTCTTTTGGTGAACTTTACTCTGGTCCCGAGTGGCTTGCAAGACCAGTTACTGGCTTTGGTTGTAATGCAGGAACGTCCCGACTTGGAGGACCAGAGAAGTCAGTTGATTGTCGGGAGTACACAGATGAAACAGGAATTGAAAGAAATCGAAGATAGGATTTTGTATAAGTTGAGTTCGTTGGAAGGTTCACCTTTGGATGATTTAGATTTTATAATAACACTCGAAGCATCGAAAGTTAAGAGCGACGATATTAAAGTATGGCAAGGATAAGAGAGGAACTGCAAATTAAATTGTCTTTTGTGTACAGAATAAAGTGGTCGCCGCAGAAATAACACAAATCGACATCGACAATACACGTGCCCTGTACATTCCAGTGGCAAATAGGGCACAGATATTATTCTTCTGTTTGTCCGATTTATCAAACGTCGACCCTATGTATCAATACTCGTTGGAGTGGTTCGTCGGTATTTTTATAGCAAGTATGGCTGATACGGAACGAACCGGTGGGTATATTAGTTATGAGTTATTGAAACTTCTCTCTATGTGTAAACATTGAAATATTGATGGCTTTTATTTACACACGCGTATCTACGTTTCAAACCAACAGTTTTCGGTTTAAAGAAATGATCTAATTTTTGGTTTGTTTTAGAAAATATTGAAGAAAGAGTTGTGATAATTAACGACTTCTTTACGTTCAGTTTGTATAGTAATGTTTGTCGCAGTTTGTTTGAAAAACACAAATTACATTTTGCGTTTTTGATGTGTGCAAGGATATTAATGGACAAAGGGAAAATCGACGGACATGAATGGCACCACTTTTTGGCAGGAAGCACCCCTCTTTCGGTATCCTATCCCCTTCTAATAATTTTTTATGGCAAATAGTTCTCTATATCTCGTGCCACAGCCATTGCCACTTTTCACAATGTTTTTTCCGTATGCAAAGGAATTTTCTGGCTAAAATTTGTCACTATAGGGTTCAGTTGTAACAAAGATTTTTCTTTAAACAGAAATCAAATATTTCTGACCTATTTCCACCTCAAAAAACGCCGTTGCGACGTAGTTAGTACATATTATTATAAAAAAAATTACTTTAACCGATTTAAGGATTGTTGTGACGTTTGGTAATGTCTTCATTTTAAAAGTCAAAATTTGATCTAATTGCCTTTTAAGACATCGCATATGATAACGTCGCGTTCTTTAATATGTCTACTTATTATTATTAGAGAGTCAAAGTGGAGGCAAATTTAAAAAGAATATATTTTGTTGAAAAAAGTATCACACCAATTTACAGTAGATCTATAATCAGTGAATCTTGTTAAGATCTGAATATTAATTACTACATTCGGTACCGGATATTTCGGGATATTCTTTTTTATCCGAGTTTTGTATGTGTCAAATTCGAATCCAAATTTAGATTCGAGCAAACGTCCAGCCCTTGTTTTACCATGCAATTGGGACTATGTAATAAGAAAATTTGCTGCTTCATTTAGTTTTTTTTTAGAAAATGTGACAAAATAAAAATTCTTTCATCTTAATTTTTATTTTTCTATAAACAGGAAGATCCAAACCCCGCGCCTGATTGGCTCTCAGGCAAAGCGTGGAAGGAAATCCTCGCAATGCGCGTCCTTCCAAATTACATCCAATTCGTCGATACTTTTGATCAATACAAAGAAGATTATCGCGTCATATTTGAGTCTGCAGATCCACACAGGTTTGTCCTAGTATTGATACAATCCGCCCCATACTCAATTCTCTCGAAATAGAAAACCTTTACCTGAAGAGTTCGAAAAGTCATTCTCCGAGTTTCAAAAGCTATTAGTTTTGAAGTGTTTACGTCCCGACAAAGTGACAAACGCCATGCAAGACTTTATTTCGTCCAAAATGGGTCAGAGATTTATCGAGCCACAGACCACGGATTTATCAGTCGTGTTCAAAGACTCCGGTCCTACAACGCCTTTGATTTTCGTCCTATCCACCGGAACGGATCCGGCCGCAGATCTCTACAAGTTTGCAGACAAGATGAAATTCGCCAAGAGGATGTTTTCGATTTCGTTGGGTCAAGGCCAAGGACCGATTGCTGAGAAAATGCTACACAATGGAACCGAACTCGGGTCGTGGATTTTCTTCCAGAATTGTCACCTGGCCCCTAGTTGGATGCCACGTTTGGAACGTCTAGTAGAGAATATCTCGCCAGAAATTGTGCATCGCGATTTCAGAATTTGGTTGACGTCGACACCGTCGCCGCACTTCCCAGTCTCTATCTTACAAAACGGGAGTAAGATGACCATTGAACCTCCGGCGGGGATTAAAGCCAACATCATGCGTGCTTACACGAATCAGGTGTCTGATTTGATCGATATCCTGCACGGCGAAGGCCCGAAAAATTTTAATTTTAAATGGTTGTTGTTTTCGTTGAGTCTCTTTCACGGCGTTTTGCTCGAACGACGCAAATTTGGACCATTGGGATTCAATATCCCTTATGAATTTACAGACGGTGATTTGAAAATTTGCATCTCACAGCTTAGGATGTTCCTGTGGGAGTACGTCGACATTCCTTTCAAAGTTTTAACCTACACGGCAGGTCATATCAATTACGGGGGAAGAGTAACCGATGATTGGGATAGGAGGTGTCTGATGAATATTTTGGCCGATTATTATAAGCCGGAAGTGGTCAATGGGGATTACGTCTTTGACGCACTCGGATTTTACCACCAAGTATTTTGCGTTGACAATATTAGTATTTTGTTGTAGAAAAAAATTGTAGATGCCTGCAGAGACTTCGTATTATGATTACTTGGACTATATCAAACACTTTCCGATTAACGATGATCCGGAACTGTTCGGAATGCATCCTAATGCTGACATCTCATTTGCACAAGCACAAACTTATAGTTGCTTATCAACTCTGCTGACGCTGCAGCCGAGACAAGTCGGAGGTGCAGCTGCGAGTGAAGAGGAAATTATTGCACAAACGGCAGCTTCCATACTTAATCATTTGCCGAGACCATTCGATTTGGAAGCGATTTCCGTGAAGTAGGCATTCAGGGTTGGCCTTTAATAGACGAAGGATAAAGAACCATTATATTAATCTATTTTCTGATTTAGAATACAAAAAATAAAGATAACCTGATATGTTCAATGTCCTCGTCCTTTAAACACCACCTTCACAAAAATTTCTATTCTCTAAACCACCCTTATTATGATGTAGATATCCGGTCCTGTATGAGGAATCATTAAACACAGTTTTAATTCAAGAAGGAATTCGCTTTAACCGCCTTCTCAAAGCAATCGAAAGCAGCCTCAAAGACCTTCTTAAGGCCATCAAAGGCCTTGTTGTAATGTCCGAAGCACTTGATAAAATGGCGACTAGTTTATTTAGCAACATCGTACCAGCCCTATGGTCTAGTAAAGCCTACCCTTCACTCAAACCTTTAGGTACCTGATAAAAACTAAAAAATACATTCAACCCCTAAATTCCAGGCGCTTGGGTTGCGGATTTAGACGCCCGTGTCAAGTTTTTAAACACGTGGGTCGAGCAAGGCATTCCTGCCGTTTTCTGGATTTCGGGTTTCTACTTCCCTCAAGCTTTCCTCACTGCGACTTTGCAGAATTTCGCTCGAAAATATGTTGTGTCAATCGATACGATTAATTTTTCGTTTGAGGTGTGTATTGATGCGTTTTGGAATTGCGTAATCCGAGTCGTAGGTTCTCGAGAATGCTCCAGTAAGGCGGCCGGATGATGGGTGTTGTATATGGGGGCTGTTTCTGGAGGGTGCTAGATGGAATAGTTCGTTACAGACTTTAGATGAATCGCACCCTAAAGAATTGTATACTGAAATGCCGGTGGTTTGGTTACTACCAGAGGAAAATCATGTTAAACCGGAAGGGAGATATGTGTGTCCGGTTTACAAGACTTTGACTAGAGCTGGGGTTTTGTCGACTACAGGACACTCGACAAATTATGTTTTAGCGATTGAAGTGCCGAGCAAAAAATCGGAAGCGCATTGGATCAAAAGAGGAGTAGCACTAATCTGTGCACTGGATTACTAAATGAAAAGAATTTTTATTTTAAGTTTTTTTTATTTAATTAAATATATTTTTGTAACAAACTTGGTAACAAAGGTTTTTCATTATAACTGTTTTCTAAAGCGCAAGCTAAAAATCTTTGAACGTTTAAAATTTCACCAGAAATTACATTAATAAACGTCCTCTCTTTACCGTGAGTAAAGAGAAGTCGTTTACTTATGTAATCACCATACAATGACAAATAACCAATTTCTACATACTTTCCTGAATAATTCGAAAACATTTCTATTGAAACTTTCAAACTTTCACCTACTTTTAAACTAGCAGCGGGAGCGTAAACTAAGCGCAAATGATAATTTAAAGGTTCATAAATTTCACGAATTTGTTCTATCAGTATGTCAAAAATTTCATTGCTATTATCACTAGTAGCTACAAAAATTTGCCCGACCGTATTTTGACTTAAATTTAATAAATCGGGGCCACTTCCAGGACTGTATTTGCGCCCCAATGTAAAAAATTTCAGAGGTAGGAGAGTGGATTGTATTGAGTGTTTGGCGAAATATGCCATGAAAGAGTACAACGAGGCGCCCCCGACCACATGTAGCCGATTTATCTCGTTGTTTGAACCATCCAAAGTAAAAATTTTATTTTTGTCCAAATAATCGGTCCCGCAACCCTCGACAACGAGACTACGAGCAAAATCAGCGTTTGAAAATTGGGTGAATCCTTGATTTAGTAAGGTTATCTGGAAATAATTTGTTATAGCAAATTCGAAAAGAGCGGCGTCTGATTTTAGATAACATAGAGTCGGGTTTGTGTATTCAATTAAATTGAGGGATTTACCAATTTGAATGTGATTTTCTGAAATCGGTTTGGGTTGCTCTAAAAATTCATGGATAATTGTATGAGAATCAAGAGGTGTTTTATGGTGTAATAAATTGGGTAAGGATAAAACACCCAAATTAGCATTCTCTTCAAGGCCGTAACTATATTCTTTCACGTTTTTTAGGTCGTCTTTTACTAATTTAACATGAACTAATAATTTCTCGATATCACTCTTATTTTGTTCTTCCCCCTCTTGTTTTAGTTTATTTATTAAATTATGTATTTCAGTTTTAGTGAATTCAAGGACAGTTCTGTGATCATCAATCATCTTAAAAAAATTCCAACGGCGCTCAATTTTATCTAAATCAATCTTTAACTTACGCGCTTGTATACTTTTAAGTAAATCATTTTTATTTTTAATTATTTCATCAAAATCAATATAAGGCGTGAGGACTACAAAATGACTTTGAGCTTTATCACCTGTTACATACAAAGCCGACGAAAATCGGCGCACAGTTTTTGAAAGCACTTGCATTAGTTTTGCCATTATGCAACTTTCAGTTTCTTGGCTTCAGAGACAACTTCAGGGTCAATCGTTTCAATTTTCCGTTTCTCCGGTGCTTTCCAGTTACCAAATCCGGCGGCTCGTTCGGATTCTTCTATCGTGTAGGGCTCCAACTCTAGGGCTTTCAGTCTGCGTTTGTGGACTTTGGTTCTGAAGTGTTCGTGCAGAGCGTGGTTATCAATGAAATAACGCGCACAATGAACGCAATAAAATTGAGCAGTGCCAGGCTTATCGTAGTCTACTTCTTGATTCACCAATTTTTCGGCATTTTCGGGCTTGATGTCTTCATCAATCTGTACGAATTCAGCGAACACGTGAGCTTTTTTCGAGGTTAGGACTACTAAGACGTTACCTGATCCAAATCCTTTGTTCGTCGTTTCGTACGCCACTTTTTTTTCAAGTGCGTATCGCCGTAATGGTACTTTTTGCGTTTATACACCATTTAAAAATAAATTCGTTGCAAAATTAAATAAACACTTTTTGGCACCCTGGAAGTGATCAAGGTTGCGCGATGTGTCAAAAAGAATGTCAATTTTGCGCGGAAATTTCAAACAAAAAATATTCACATAACTTTTATTTATGTTAATATTATAACATTGCCCAATCTTTGAGTGTGTGTAACATTCGTTTTTTACAAACCGTGCAATACAATACTATTATCTTACAACTTAACTGATCAAAGATGTTTTTACAAGGATACAGACGTCCACTGCACTTTTTAGAATGGTCAAATTGTAAGTTTAATGCCCATTCTATTAACATATTTAAGTCATTGTTACTTGTTCCTACAAAAGCGTCACTTTCAGGCTCAACAGATTCTTCTTGTTTAATACTGAAACAATGTGGTGTCTTTAAATGAAAAAATAAGCGTGTATATTATAGTTACCTGTCAATTTCTAGAGTCTCAAACTGCTCAATTTTAAGGGGTATGTTTATTTCCTGACCAAAATCTAAGTCTTGGTTAGAATCCAGCTCCTCTTTGACTTCAATTTTCTGTAAACGATAAAAAAATAAAGCTGAAATTTTGTAATGCAATTTTTACCATAAAGGAGAGCAATGGGTCATTAACAACAGTCTCAGAAACAGATTTGTGATTATTTTCCTTGTCTCTCTGTACAAAATTAAGTTGCCTTGAGTCCACTTCTTTTTGAGTTTTTGTAGGTATTAGCCGTTTTAAGCCTCTTGAGGTTCGCCGAAATTTCGGCATTTTGTCTAATTTTGAGTTGTCGTGATTTAGTTATGGGTGTTTTAAATGGTGATTTGGGGCATGGGTTGGGATATTAAAGGGGGCGTTTCTGTGGTGCTGCAAAGATGATTGGTTAATTCTGGCATGTTTTTTTGGTGTAATAACTTACTTGTTTATTTTTTATCGGTCGTGAAATTTGTTGTTTTTTTCATTTCGTGACAAAACTGATATTTTTGTGAAATTGACGTTGTTTTGGTTGAGATAGAGGGCGCAATGTGGAGTAGATTGCCCATTTACCGGCAGAGTGTTGTGGATTGTAGATGGCGCTGTGTCGAAAAATTGGCATTTGAACTAATATTTTGTGTTGTCAAAACTTTGTGATTTTTTATAATAAAGAGTCGGTGTTAGAGTGGCGGTGGGTCGCGTAAAAGGTCGTCCGTGTGGCGGGCGAGTGTCGACGTCTTGGGGCAGCTTCGTAGGGGGCTGTTCCGGTGTCGTACGTCTCGAGTAAAACCCTCCTTCGCGCCTTACAATAACGGGGAACCGGCCGCCATATTGGTAATAGTCTTGTCAAGCATCATGGGTTAGCACGGTGCATAATTTGGAGGCGAATTTGTAGTGAAAAATCATTTTTCGGTAATGCAGAACGTTGAGAGTTGTTTATATTCGGTGCATCTTTGAACGTTGTTGACGGTGGAGCGTTGTGCGACCGCGGGTGCGATGGTTCTGCGCATTAATACGGTCAGAGTGAGTGCAACGTCGTGCTAGCGCAGGGAGTCGTCAACTGCCTGGCCAGCAGCTACCCCGGGAGGTGCAGAAATCGGCGTCGGGGCCGTCGCGGAAATGACACGTGCGTCGCTTTAAACGCGCCACTATGGCCAAAATTCCCGACAAGAATGCGGCCACGTACCCCAAGGAGCGCGACGGCTTCCTCCGGGACCTGCACCACTTCCACGAGACGCGCGGGTAAGTTACAGGAACGCTCCGGGAGCCTCTCTCACGTTATATTCCAGGACGCCGTTTAGAAGGCCACCCATACTCGGCGGCAAGGAAGTCGACCTACACCTCCTCTACACCCTAGTGACCAGCCAAGGCGGATGGATCAAGGTATGTTGAGTAGTCAGTCTTTCCGCGAAACCGTGCCCCACGTCCACCGAAAGGGAAACCGCCGGTGGTGGGGTGACACGCCGTGACCGAGGCCTTCTTCTCGTCGCGTACGAGTGTGTGTATGTCCTATCGGGGGGCGAGGCGGAGACCAGAGAATAGGAACACACAGACCCTGACCTAGTAGAACGTACCGTGTCCTGCCATCAGTGTGGTGTCGACGGAGGCGGCGAATGCACCGAAATAGTGATGCGCGATCCGGCTTGCGATACGATACATTCATGCGAATTTATGTCGGTTTCTGTTTGTTTTTCGCATTTTTTTCGGACGGGTTTTTTCCATTGCGTACTGTCGTCAAGTGGGAATTGATGTCGATAGAGCCATTATTAGTTATTGTTGTAGACGAAATGACTTTCTTATAACTCATTGATTAACTTGAACTGAATGTTGACCGTCGACAAAGAATGCCCTTATATACCAGTGGCAATCATTGATTTTATTTCGACAATTTTGAGATCAAGCAATAAATTGAGATGTACGAGAAAATGTTGGCGGAAGCGGTTTTAGGGGGGATTTTCAATTAGTTACCTAAATATTTTCGGATTTGGAAATCAAGAGGAGGGTTTAGTTGTTGTTTTTCATACTTCTAAGTTTTACATGTTAGATTTATAAAAGCTTTATTTTTTATTGAATACCGATTAACGGAAATCTTTATCCCTAAAAGTAACTACAGTGAAAAATAGGCTATTAGCGAACAATTTACGATTAAAAAGACAATATTTTTTTAATTTGTGGCTGAATGTAGGATGGTAATATTTACGTGAAAGGTGTGAAACATTAATGAATTAACTTTCAAAATGTATTGAGTACTTACTAATAAAATATGCCACAAAAGTCCTGTCCAAATCTCAAATTAATACCTGTTTGTTAATGCCATAGGCTAACCACTAATCATATTTTTATTAGAAATAATAATCCTAAAAGCAACTTTATGCACATATAATTTGTGATTAAAACATTAAGCAAACCTATCCTAAATTTTAGTTAATTTTAATTCTGCGTTTTTGTAGAGTACAATATTTATTTATTTTTTTAATTTCGTAAGTTCCGTTTAGCTATTATTAATGTATAATTTGTATTGTCGGTATGTTTTTAAAGCTCAATTTTTAAATTAAAATTGGCAAATGAATCAATATTATAGTAATAGAATGTATTTCATTCAAAATATGGGAATATTGGGAAAATAAAATAGCTGTTATTACATTGTTATGTATATCGAATATTTTTATTTACGTTTAATTTTGATATAGCTAATTGTGTCATAATAAAAAACGGAAGTTCACTCAACTGAATACTACTATTCTATTCAGAAATGCTTTATAATTAGAAGTCATGCTGGTTCACATTATTTTCCTTTAAAAAATCGATTTTGAAAATAATTCTTAATAGCTGTTGTTGCAAACGCTCGTATTTGTTTTTCGAAGCCGTACAAGGATTCAACTAATTAAATGAACAAAACAATTACATTCTATTTTTCTTTACTACCAAGTACGATGGCGACCATAAAATTTTGGTAGGTAATGTCATTATGGAACTTTATCTTTTTGTCAAAAAAAGTTCTTTCCCTGTGTAATTTTGACAAGAGGGTATATTAGGGAATGACATTGACTACTAAAATTTAATACTCGCCATTGTACCTATTCGATACCCAGATATATATACTATATACTACATTTCAGTTCCATGCAATAAAGAATCTTAGGAGAAGGTGTGGATAAAAAGTCTGTAATTGCGCCAACTCGATTAGCCACCATAAAAATGTGTTTGAGATTATTCTTATAGGAATGAAAGACACCAGTTGGTGTTTAAATATTTGTAATTTATGTCTACTTATTTAAGAATCTGTGTTAAAATGTTAAAATTACTTGTTAAATATTCATACTTGTATCTTATAAGAACAATAATAAGAAGAAAGTCATCGGTGTATGTGCAGAGTTGGGAATTTATAAATAACTTGGGAGTATCTAGTTTATTTAAAAAAAGTCGTTTGTTTATCGTTGATGTGCGCTTCCTATCAAACAATATCCGGAAGAAGTCGATTCGTGACTCGCGAGGTCATACGTTATAACCGCTTAAAACAATCGCACGACGTCTTCGCCGACGTCATCACGATGTAACTCGATCGTGCCGTTGTCGTTCTTCTTTGAAAACGAACGAGTTTCTCGGGCCGTGTACACCACACCGCAATCCACCGTCGGTCGGTGAACTTGCTGCGGGTGTCGGCAAGCTGGCAAACCGATGTTTATTATATGCCCGTTCGTTTCTCGCATCTCTCCCTTCTTACTCTCTTCCGATCTATATCTATTTTTGTCTGACTCATGAACGTAAAAATCGTCATGTCTCTGTTTAGTCGGCCAGCCGGTTGTATAAGCACGGTACGGTGTTGTCACGATAAATGCAAGGTTGCCAAATCGGATTATAACCGACTGACTCAGCGATTATGATGTGGTTTTGTCAAGGACGAGAAGTGTGTGGTTTCGTCGATGATTTTTCGGCCGGAAATCTGTAGGAAAGCTTGAGGGTTTTTGAGAATGCCGAAAGAAAAGTTTTTCAACGGTTAAAAACCGTTGGGAAATTTTCAGTTTTCGACATCTGGAGCACGTGGCATTAGAACGAACCGTTAATTGTCACGTGGTACGTAGACCAGGTGTCTAAATTTATTTCGGGAAAAATTCTAATAGGAATAAAGTTTTAAAGGGATTTAGACATGGAATATTGAGGTTTAAGCAAATTATTTTCGAGTTCGTTGCAGATGTTCAGGGTTATGGTTTTTATTCGGAATGCATGCGATGACGAATGACAAAAAATTAAAAAAAAGGAAGCTGTATTTGCGGTAACGGTTATTTGATATTTCAAGTGGCTATTTGCAGAATTAGTGTTGGAATCTATTTAGCTATGTGATTCATGGATCTTCATTATATTATATTTTTTACTTTCTGATGTAACAAAGATTGTTATAGATATGTGACATCAAATTAAACACAAATCGTGTTTTATTTCATTCTTCAAAATCCTGTAATCCTAAACCAAGTTAAAACCAAGGTCGATCAATAAAAGCCGGATTTAGAGAAAAATGGAGGTATTTTTTAGATAGTAACAAAAAATTTCAATAGAAAGATTGAAAAATTCTTCTTCACAAGTGTTTAATAGCTTCGTCCTTCATGAATATTTTGGAAGGAATTGAAAATAAGGTTTTCTGTTCAATTATTACTTTTCTAATCGAAATTCAGTTGATTTAATTCAATTAGTTTTGTATGATTTTGATTTAAATTTAATTTTCAATAACAATACGTACACATTCGATTTTGCATTTATACCAAGAGTTTGTCAAAGGTCTATCTTCAGAGTTTCTACAAAAATTCAAAAAGTTTATTAAAAAACATTTTTTTAAGTTGCATAAAAGTTCAGCAATGTTTTACATTGTCTTGTAATGATAATTAACATAAAATAGGTAACTAAGAGCGTAATAAGAAATCCATACTATTTTTAATTTGTATTATAATAATGGAACCATGGAGGTAGACTATACTAGGTCCATAATGGAACACAATAATGTATTCAGATATTGTCACTAATTTATTTTGGTTTCGTACTTTAGTAGGGACTCTTAGTTATAATGATATAAAATGGTATTAATAAAAAATACAAATTTTGACAATAGTTTTTATAATATGTATACACATACAGTTAGAGACAATGTGTCAATGTGTGTCAGTGTCAATGTCACTTGAGTGACATTAAATTGTAAAGAATACTTTAGGACTGTTAATCTTATTTTTAGTGAATATTAGATCATATGAATATCAAATTGTTGTCATTCAGAACAACTTTTTACAATTGACATCTTCTGAAAGTAATTTTAATTTATTCTTTTGCGCCACCGTTACGTTCCCGACTTAGCCTTCTTAGAGCGACGAATAAGCTGTCGGAACACTGACCCTCTTCTAGCGTTTTATTTTTAGCAAGTGCATGCACGTTATCGCCTTTAAAAAAATTCCAAATAAAAATAAATTGCCCTAGTAAAGATCAATAAATCTGCCTTACTGATCGTCCGCTAAAACGCTTCTCTGCAAATTCGGTGCCCCCGAACTGTCTACCGCATTTTAAATCGAATAAAACACGTCGTTGGCGACGGTGTCCGCATGATTCTGCGACGGCGGCAATGATGCGCCGAATCCTTTTGTCGCAGGTATGCGTAGATGCGATCCTGGTAGCAGGACAGCAGAAATTTTGCAGAGGTCCCCATCTATCAAAATGTTAATTGTTTGGTGTTTTTCTTGCAGGTGAATTCGAAAAACGGCTGGACCGAGATCTTGGACCAGTTGCGTCTGCCGAAGGAGTGCGTCAACGGCAGCGTCGCCCTGAAACAGATCTACCTGAGGTGAGTTTTATCATACTGTAACAAGTCGCGGTCTTGTGACGGCGTCGCGAGACGCTCACGTGGTGCGCTCATTCACGTGGCCGTCTCTCGGTGTCGTAGGTCAGTAACGAGTGACGGAGGTTCCGGCGTGACCTGCCGCTCTGCTTGCTATGGTGCTATGTACCGGTCTGCTTTGAGTGCTGATATGTGGTTTGCAGGTACTTGGATCGGTGGGAGAAAGTGCATTTCTTAGGAGAAGAGGCCGACAGAGGCAGCGACGACGATGAAGAGAGCAGACACAAGAGGTGGTCGGCGAGGGCGTTACATTCCGTACCGCTCACGTATAATTATAATCAGCACGTGATAGCAGGTGAGGATTAGGAGAAGGAGGAGGAGGTGAAGGAGGTGGTGAGGTGATTGATGACACGATGGGATTATAAAGAACAACGGGTGGAGATGTTTAGGTTTAATTGAGACTGTGAGTTTTGTTCGGAGAGAAAAGTAAATACAAAATTATTACCTTATCTATTCATTTTGAATTTTATTATTACAATTTAAAATATTTTGTTAAGTAATAGCTAAAAACTAATAAGTTCTTATGAATGAAAAATTGTGTAGTTTCAAAATCGGATGAATATTTTATTTCATCGGACTAATAAGCAGACTATAATGAGAAATAAAGAAGGAATAAATAATGCGTATGTGTGAGTAATGTGAATAATGAAGAATTAAGTAAAATTAAATTAAATGTTTCAAGTTAACTTTAATACTTTTCTCTAATGATTTAATCTCTAACGTTCCAATAATGAGTTTTGAAACGTAAAATTAGAAAACACAATTAAAGAAATGTGTAATGAATAAGCAACTCATTATCTGATGAATATTTTAATGGTGGGGTTGTTTCAATGGAATAAAAATAATTCCATAATAAATTAATGAGCAACTCTTAGTTATTACTGTTTAGAAAATCAATGCAAATAGTTTAATTTCTTATTAAAGTTTTATTTATAGGATTGAATTTGTTCGATAATGAACAATAGGCGTTCATACGTTTCGTTAAGAAAAAAAAAACAAAAACTTAAAAAAAAATGTGTAAAATTGTGACTGCAGTGGAGAAATTCTAACTTGAAAGTTTGGCCGTGATTTTTGTTGTGTGGTTGATGTTAATACAAACTTTATCACTTACAGTTTATCAGTTACAGTTACAAGTTTAAATGAAAAGTCATTTTGATGAAGAAAAATCTGACAATTCTAATATAAAATGAACGATCATTACTTTAGGTTTTTTTACCATAGCTTCCCTTTGTTTAAATTTTATGAATGTAATAATTTAGTGTAGTGTTCATAAATTAAAAAATACGAAATTTGTGATATCGCAAAAATCTAATTTTTGGTAGAGTTAAAAAAAAATATTTTCTTCTTTTTAGCATACGATGTTTTAACTGGGAGACTCTGCTTTATGATAATCAATCAGTACAATATTTTTCTCTTTTTAGTTCTGTATGTAATTTGAAATCAAACGTTTTAGACTAATGGGTCATTCTGCGTTTTTTCTGTTTCTTTATTTGCGTTGGTAATTAATCTTTGGTCAAAAACAACTATTAGATCTATTAATCATTCACAAACTCTTGGATGAGGGTTGACTACAAATGTATTTATGATTTCAAGTTAGACAAAATATTGGAATACGCACAAAAATGTCAATAAGCAAAGTTAGTACAAAAAGTTAGAGAAAAAAGGTTATTTTCTTAAAGAGATTGTGAATTAGTTAATGTGTAAGGTAACAAAATTCCAAATCGAATTGAACATTGAATTTGAATTAATTTTGATTGCTTATTTATCGTCATTTTTGATTCTTCGATAACAGAGTCGATTAAAAAAATTGCGCTAAAGATTAAGTAAATCTCATATGTTCCTTTTTTAGACGCCTCAAATTAATGTAAAAAAAAGATAAATTTCTCGCGACATTTGACCCTATATGTCGGCATTTAAATCTTTGCAATGTCCGAACGTGTTTTTAGCGACCGTTAATTTCTATCGTAATTTTCCGCCGCCGAAGTTGAAAGAATCTCGCCGACACCGCCTCTCTTTTCGTCACGTGTTGCGTCCAACGAGACAAATTATAGATCAACAAAAGCGAAGCAGCGATCCATTGTTGTGATTGCGCAAAAGGTGGTTGCGCGATGACAAATGTAATCGGAGGGCCCAGGCGCGAAATGCTTCGTCCTCTTTTATTATGATATGTTGATCAATAGACCTGCCACTGGACATATCGACGAAAGAATCCAGTTGTACAAATGCCCAGGAATTGCCCGATCCGGATCGATTTCCCAGGATTTTTTAAAAATGAGCGACTTTCTCTTGAAATGTTTTAACGGCTCTGGTTGCGCTGCTATTTTGTTTTTGGTGTATTTTTTGCGAACACGCCTCGACGTGGATATGTTGCGCATTTTTACAGGTGTAGCAGAATGAAATATTGATTTGGATTCGGTCGTGACGAGCGAGATGAACGATTGTATGTTCCTCTTGTTGCAACTGAGGAATGCGTTTCATACAGGCTGATCCTGCATTATTGATTTTTTTTTAACTGCAATTAATGGACCACCAGTGTTTAAGCCAGCTATTCCTCTCTATCCAATAAAAAAAAAATGGGGATACTTTTCAATTCCTCGGAAAATGCTGACGGGAAACTATTTGTAGCAATCATTTGACACCAAGTTTTAGCAAAAAAATAATAAAAAATTTATAAATCCTTTTATTTGTAAAGAGAGACTTTGTTTTGAGGTATTTCTTTTACAGATACGAACCGAGAGTACAACCATTTGTCGACGAATATATACAAATCGTCTGATTACGACAGGTTAGCCTTATCGTTGATATCTCCGTTACCCAACGAGCAAGATTTTGCCATAAACGTTTGTACTTTACTCTCCAACGATGGCAAACACACACTCAAGCTCGACAAACATCCGAGGATCGTCGATTATCTTTTGGCACATGCTGGTGTTTTTTGTCATAGTGAGTATTGCATATGGTAAAAACGCCGTTTAAATAAATTGTTTATTATTTAGGCTCTCTCCGACGTCTCTTCGTACACAGTTACTCGACGATCAGAAAACACCCCATTCACAATTTCTGGTCGGAAGTGCTCGAATCGAAGGAATTTTTGGATCTCACCGACGAAAACTCTGTCTTTATAAAATCTGAAGGTGTCGATAGTAGTGAAAGCGCGAATTGCGGACTGCCGAAAATCGTAGAGGAAAAATGTGATTCTGATAGTGACTGTGAAATAACGGATAATAAACGATTTAAAATAACCCCAAGTGATCGTGAACTGTTCTGTTTGGAACGCGGACTCGGTACCCAAGACTATATCGGCCAGAGAGTGCTTCAAGTGACTACAATTTTGAGGAATCTCAGTTTCATCGAAGAAAACGTATTGATTTTATTACAAAACAAGACTTTTTTGCGGTTTTTGTTATTGTGTGCGTCGTCGAGGTGGGGCTATTTGAAGAATTTAGGCTTGGACATGTTGGGTAACATCGCGACGGAGTTTTTAGTCAAGGATTATCCCAACGATAGATTAGCGGCGATTTTATTAAAAATTATTGTTAAAGGCTTGAAAAGTGAAGATCGAGCATTGTGTATTTCTTCACTGGAAGTTTTAAATAAATTAAGTCAGAATGAACTGAACGAAGAAACACTTTTGCGATTTTTAGAAGTTGACGTTTACGAAAAAGTCTGTTCGTTTTTGACGATCCACGATGTGATGTTACTCATTTACACTTTGGAGTGTTTGTATTCGTTATCGTCGCTTGGGGAACGTTCCTGTAATTTAATTGTAAGCAATCACGGCGTGGTTGACACTCTTGTATCTTTAGTAACAGTCGAAGGGAAAAGTTACGGACCGAAAGCTTGTATCGGGATGAAATTAGTGGAGACACTACCAGGTGGTGTTAGCACGACGGCTAGTCAAGCGATAACGACGCCGGCTGCTACCACGACGAATTCTACTGTTGCCAATACCTCGACGACTACGACGGCCACCAGTGCGGTTTTATCGACAATTACGGCCGTCAAAACAAGTGTACAGACGACGCCAGTGAGGACGGTCCAAATTACACCTCAAAGGCTCTTGACTATTTCGCCGAGTTCTTCAACCGGTACGTTTTTACTCGGGACAAAAGTAGTTTTAGCTATGCAAATTTGATTTAATTTAATATGTTGAAATCAAATACAGCGGATTGGCAGAGGAGAATGTAGAAACTGGTTTTAATTTTGTGGTATCTGTTATTTTAAAATCCTAAATGATTTGTTAATTGGCTACAAAGGTTGTTATTTTATGATTTAGAAAAAGAATAAATTGATAGTTGTAGCAATAAATGAAGACGACTCCAATAATAAAATACATATTTATTATTATTAATTTTTTTGGGAAAAAGGCACTTCTTGTAAAATGCATTATGTAAAAAGGGCAAAATCACGAGATTATGGCCCGAAGGAATGTTTAATTTTATTTTTTCGAGGGCCATTCTCGACTACCGTTTTATTCTGTTTTTTCCTAAAACATTCAAAAACCATTTTGATATTGTTAGGGATATTATTGGGTATTGAATCTTATTGGATAATGGAATTTTGATTAGTCTGAGCCATAAATGGCATTATTCCAATAAAACCAGTTTCAAATTTGAACTTAGTCGGTTTGTTTTTCTTAATATTTTTTATTGTTTTAATTTTAAAGACTTTCTGAATTACTCTTCTACAAACGAGAAAAATCAATTGCTGTTTCAAAAAATACTAATCGTAAAAAAGATATGTTTTGTACATTGCTTTTATATACTTTTTTAAGAGAATTTGTGTGAATGTAAGCATTTTTTGATAAAATTTTGTTTTATTATCTTATTTACATAGCGTTGTTTCTCTACAAAATTATTATGAAAAAAAAGGTGTGTATTCAAGTCACAAAAAATATGTTTTCAGTAACAACGACTCCTACGACGCCAGCACAGACCATGACTCCCCAGCAGCTCATCCAGCAACAGCACGCTCATCAGCAGGCCATCCACGAGAACGAGCAATTCGCTTTGGCGTGGCTGAGGGCCACCTACGAGCCCTGCGTCAACGGTAAAGTTGATCATCAGGAGTTGTACAAACAGTATCTTAATTCGTGTTCGAAAATCGGTCGACGAGGGGTGATTTCACCCTTGCATTTTCCGAGATGCGTTAGGTGAGTTGGTGATTTTGTGAAATTTTTCGTTATCTTCATTTGTTTATGATGCAGGTCAGTATTTGGCGGGACGGTTGGCCCGAATCCGATGAAGCCGTCCAGCGCGAACGAGCCCCAGTATTATGAAGGGATAAAGGTGCGAGCTCAACCTCTCATTATTAATATCCAACCGGCTTCCACCAATCCCGTCACCCCACCACCACAGCCCACAAGTACTAAAGGATCAAACAGGCGAAATAAGCAAACGGCCACAACAAGTCCCTCACAAACGCCAACTTTGACGGTCATGGCCGACAATAGTAATTCCAACGACACTATGAATAACCCACCCGTCTCTCCCGCCTCACCTATCCTCAAGGCGCAGCTAAGTGCTCCCCCCAAACAGAGGGACGCCACTGTGGCTTCGCCGCCCACTAGTAAAGGCGATATGAAAAGTCAGGTAATTGAGAGACACAAAACGGCTGTCAGAACTTTTCATTTCATTTCTATCGCTGTTTCTTCCTTTTATAATAATTTCTAACCTTCCCCTAACACATTATCATCAAATAAAATTGATTTTTTTTTGTTATTAATCTGATTGGGTTTTTGGGCGTTAAGGTCATGGCACATCCGCATTTGAGCCAAGCTTTATTGGGCAGTAATTCAGCGCAGACGACCGCCGGCTCAAGTAAAGATAATCAGGCAGGTCAAAGCAACACGTCACTCATCAAAAGCTTACTGGCCACAAAGGTAAACGATTGCATGACTACAGTGAGCATGAGGACTGCAACAGACTGCCAAAATGTAGCTCAGGTAACACACTAATCAAATTAGCCTAATAAAAACAAAACACGAGAAAATAAATAATTAAGGAAATTACGAAACCTTCCTTAAATATTTCCTGCTTCAGATCTTTAATTGCGTTTTTCAAGTACGTCGCATGTTTTTAGTGTTTTGTAATAAAATTACTAACAATTTCTATTAATGTGTTTATTTTTGTTACTAATACGACTCGAATAACGCTTATTGTGTTTTTCTAGTAATTTTCTATAATTACGCTGTATTATGAACGTTAATCCCACTTTTGACTGATGTGCAGAGCAACTTCGAAATCTCGAGCATTAAAATTATTTTATATTGAATTATTAAACATTGAATTAATGTTTTAATTTTTATTATCACTTTAAAAATTCAACTCAAGTAACTTAATTTCCAGCAAAATATTGGTAGCGGTACCTCGTGAGATAACTCTGTATAGAAATACTTTTAGTTTTTATTAGGCGTAAATGTTATTAGCGAAATGCTGATATTTTTAAAATCGTTTCTCTTGCATATTTAGGTCGTTGCGCGTCAACAAAAACTCCTGGCCCAACAAGTGAACGCGACTACTGCCACAACGACGACGACGTCTACAACAGATAAGACGCCAGTCAAGACTGAAAATCAAAAATCACGATTGAACGGCGCGCGTCAATTGTTTCCCGATGGTGAAGTGGGCGACCCTTCCGTTTCATCTACGACACAATTTACAAATATGTTCAAGGGTAAAAAAGAACCACCTCAACCACCACCTCCGTTGGCTCCTTTAAGCAATAATAAAAAATCATCGCGTATAGACAACGAAGATAGCGATTCTACCGGTAACAATTCGTTAGCATCTAGTTCGGGTGTGGGGACGATCTGTATAGGGGGGATATCGTCGACGGAAGATGGTGATAATTCCTTGACGAGTTTCGAGGGTATTTTGAACGGGATTCCGAATATTGATAATCCGTTAAACGAGGATAGCAATTCGAAAGATTCGATAAAAGTCGGTGGTGAGATTTTAAAAAATAAGCCATTGAGACTTGCCGATTTGTTAGAAAAGAAGGTGGAAAAGACACCCCCGACAATGATGAACGGAACGCTAGGTAAAGAGTTACGGTTAGACCTGGTTGAGAATCACATTGAGAAGGCACTAAGTCGCGAAAATGAAAACCATGAAGAGGATAAGAAAAGCGTTAAGCGAACCGCAAGTGAAGAAATCGTCGAAAGCGAACCGAAAAAAGCCAAATTGAATGTCAATGGGTCCGCGGGGGCGGATTCCCCTGCACCCGATTCGGTTTCAAGTTCAAATGGTGACGAAAGCTCGACACAGGTGTCTACAGCAGCGGCTAAACTTTTCGCCGACATTGCGGCTGATATTCTCGAAGGAGAAGATGAGGAACAACTCATGCAAGAAGCATCAAATCCTCCACCCGTTGAACAATCACCAGTGGCGACGCCCTCTACACCGGTCCAACAATTATTAGTTGATAACAATCAACAAGTATTATTGACCCAACCGAGACAAATAATTGTTTCACAGCCGAAAACTCAGACTGGCCAAACTGTGATAGTACAAAATGCCGGACAACAAAGAACTCCAATGGTTTTGCAACAAAATACGGGACAAATTCTGTTGTCTCAAGGGTTGCAAGGCCAAGTCCAGCTAGTCGCGAGTACGACACAACCGGGGCAATATGTGCTGCAAACTAGTGGCACGCAAGGGACATACATGGTGGCGCAGCCTCAAACAGCAGTAGTTCACGGACAGCCCCAAACCGTCTTGGTGGCCCAAACGGCACAACAGCAGGGTAGTGGCACTAAAACTATAATTATTCTTCAACAACAGCCCTCGTCCACACAGAAAGTAGTCCTTCCCCAAGGACAACAAATGGTCGTCACGCAAGTACACAGGCCGGTATTGCAGAGTTCTACAGTGACTAATAATGTGGTACCGACGACGTCAGTGATAAAGACAACGCCATCGTCGGGGACGAGTAACGGTGTTGTGGAAAAAAAGGAGGAAAAGCCGAAAATTATAAGGGATTTAACGACGCCCTTTGTGTGCGAATGGGGGGATTGTAATGTGTAAGTGGTTACAGTTAACGTGAAGGTGGTTTTTGATTGGTTCATTTATAGGGATACTAAGTTTAAATCGGCCAATCAGGTGTATTTACATGTGTGCGAAGCACACGTTCCTAAAGGTAGTGAAGAAATTGTCTGTCAATGGGACCGTTGTGATAATATGAAAAGGAAGAGGTTTTCGTTGATGACTCATCTAAATGATAAGCACTGTAATACTGAGGTAAGAAAAAGTGGATCTTTATGAAATGTCGATTTAAAAAAAATTTGTTTTTCAAAGGCTATGAAACAAAGTTTAACGCGTCGAAAGCAAGTATCACAAGGAGGTAAAGTAGAGCCTCCTCCCCCCGCTCCTACGTCGCACCCTGGTTACGCTCCTGACGCGGCATTGCATGCCATCAAGAGGCACGCGTTGGAGTTTGTTAATCCCAAAGAATTACAAGTAAGTAGAAAATATCGCATTTTGTGTCCTTTTTTGTCCGGGTTAAATCGGTTTGTACAATTGTTCGTTTTGTGAATAGAAAACGCCGGCAAAGCAGGGCACACCGAGTGTGCCTGCTCCTCCGCCCCGAGCCGGGCCCACTCCGCCCGAACAGGTGAGGTGTTTGTGCGTGTTTGAACACAGCTTGAAATTTATTTTTGCGGTTTTGTGTAGCGACAATATCGGTAGTTTGATGCCTGTGATGATTTATTTTCTCTTGCACGTGTTTTTGAGATGTGTGGTTGGAGAAGAGATTTTTTATTGGTTGGTGTTTTAGGATGACAATGAGGGTCCCGTGACGAAGAGTATAAGATTGACAGCGTCGTTAATCCTTAGGAATCTCGTTATTTACAGCAGTAATTGTAGAAGGTGGGTGTTTTTCGGTTGGAGGTGTTTAGATAGGTTTTATCGTGTTTTTTGTGATTTTTTTAAGGTACTTAAAGCACTACGAGCCTCATTTAGCGAATGTAGCCCTTAGTAACGTAGAGTCGTCGAGGACGATAGCACAAGTTTTGTACGATATGAACGAAGGATCGAATCACAGGTGACCGGCACGCAAAAGGACGTTAGTTGTTAGGGACGCCCAGTGAAAGTGTGTGAATTTTGACAAAAACCTGTCTGTAAATTATTAAGTGGAAGTGTACAAATGTTTAGATTGATAGGTACTAAAAGCCTAATGATTGTTATTTTTATATTATTTACTAGTGTAAACAAGCTTCTGGAATTATGCAAATTTTTATTTCAGTCATCGTCGTAAATAAACAATTTTCTATCTGTGCAATTTATTGAATTTGATCGAATTGTAGCTACTGTAAATAATTCCAAACATGTACGGTGGATGATCATATTAAGATTTTTTGTTGATACTTGTGATATATAAAGCACATCGTTTATTTATCAGTATTATCTGAACCTGTAACTTGGTATTGTTTCGAAATTTCTGTGAGGTAACAGAATCTCTAGTTGACTGATTTTGTGTTATACATGAGAAGAAGTGTTATGGTACTAATTTTCATGTGCTTAGCATATCCACATCTTAACTTACCAGTAAAACTCTGTAAAATGTTTACTATTATAAAAGAAAATAAACTGCATTTAATGTGATTATATTTCTTACAGCCTTTTCAAGATTTTTCCTGCAACGAACGTAAAACTATGAGCGTACAGTTTGAATTCGACGCTTGAAAGAAAGTAGGAATACTTGAGAATCTTGGTTGGCAAGATTGAGAGCGGTCATTTTTGAAGTCTTCAAAATTTCAAGAACATCTCTGACAATTACATCAGTCGCAATGGTACCAAACTTTACTCCAATAAAAACTAGTAGATTAATAAATTGTAATATACACCATCAGAACACATCATCATTTTCTAAAACCGACTTTGCATCTGGTGGAAATAACCAAAGGTTGGTAATGCTAGGGGAATTCTCATGAACCAATATTCTCGCGATTGTAATTCTCGCTTGCGCATTGCTATTTTTGCTGCACACGTGAAGTTTTAAACCGTTTTTGTAGTAATTTTGCGTAATAATTCGTAAGTTGACAACCTACAATGGGTTTAATTGACGAAACAGTTACTACTTTTTATGATAAAGAAGCGAGTTTTGCGGTAAGCTTTTAGTAAATTTAGGTTACCTAACTCATTGTTCCTTATTCAGGAAGACCAAATAAAATCTTTGAAAAAACAGATAACACAGTTGCAGCAAAACATCAAGAATAAAACAGTTGACACATCACAGAATACTGAACTCCAAAAATTAGTTACTGAAAATACAAAGTTGAAACATCGTCTCACCATATTGAAGAGGGTATGTGGCATTTTAGTGGTTTAAATTTGAATTAAAATTATGCTGATTTAGGCTATTTCGAATTTGAGTCATTCGCATACGCCCCGAGACCCCACCAGAATGCAGAACATTCAAGAAATCCTTGATGAGATTTTTGGCACTGCTATTTCATCAGCCTGCCCTGATATCACGGACCCCCCAGTTGTCATCACTCTAAGTAATAACGCGAAATTCGGTGATTATCAGTGCAATTCTGCTATGCAAATTTCTAACGTTTACAAGCAGTTGGGTAAAAAAGTTTCGCCGCGAGACGTCGCGAATAAAATTATTGAGAACGTGAATCCACACGAATTGATTGAAAAGCTAGAAGTTGCTGGTCCGGGATTCATTAATGTTTTTGTGAGTAAATCGTTCGGTTTGCGTAATTTAACCACAATTTTCACGCATGGAGTCCGACCGCCCCCATACAAGAAATTGCGAGTTGTTGTTGATTTATCATCGCCGAATATCGCGAAAGAAATGCACGTGGGGCATTTAAGGTCGACGATAATCGGCGACACGGTTTGTCGCTTGTTGGAATATTTAGGACACGATGTTCTGCGCATTAATCATATAGGTGATTGGGGAACGCAGTTTGGGATGTTGATTGTCCATTTACAAGAGAAATTTCCCGATTATTTGACTAAAGCGCCTCCAATTTCCGATTTGCAAGCTTTCTATAAAGAATCGAAAAAACGGTTTGATGAAGATGAAGACTTTAAAAAGCGGGCCTATGCCGGGGTTGTCAAGTTGCAGTCAGGGGATCCTAATTTTATTAAAGCTTGGCAGTTAATTTGCGACGTTTCCCGTAAAGAATTTCAAGTAATTTATGATCGCTTGGATATAAAGTTAATTGAACGTGGAGAGTCTTTTTATCAGTCTCGAATGAACGAAATTGTTAAAGAATTAGAAGATGGGGGTTATTTAGAAGAGGATGAGGGACGTAAAGTAATGTGGGGTGATAAAAATGATGGGAATATACCATTTACTGTTGTTAAATCGGACGGTGGTTACACTTATGACACCTCTGATTTGGCTACTATTAAACAAAGAATAGTTGAAGAGAAAGGCGAATGGTTGATTTATGTAACAGACGCTGGGCAAGGGAGTCATTTCCACATACTGTTCCAAATTGCTCGAAAAATTGGTTTATTGACTGATAATATCCGGGTCGATCATGTCCCGTTTGGAGTAGTTTTGGGTGAAGATAAGAAGAAATTTAAGACACGGTCCGGAGACACAGTTCGACTTATAGACCTTTTGGAAGAAGGTCTCAAGCGTGCTTTGGATAAGCTTAAGGAGAAAGGTCGTGATCAGGTATTGACTCCTGAAGAATTGAAACAAGCACAGGAATCTATAGCTTACGGGTGTATTAAATACGCTGATTTGAGCCACAATCGTCACCACGAGTACGTTTTTAGTTTTGATAAAATGTTGGAAGATAAGGGAAATACTGCCGTTTATTTATTGTATGCCTATACACGTATAAAGTCAATTGCGCGTACTGCGAATTTTGATGATAAGAAAATCGAAGAGGTGGCGAAAAATCACACGATTTCTTTAGATCATGAAAAAGAGTGGAAATTGGCGAAAGTATTGTTGAGGTTTCCAGAAGAACTTGATAAAGTTACGAAGGATTTATGTCCGCACCATTTGTGTGAATACGTCTACGAAATAGCAACGACCTTCACAGAGTTTTACGATTCTTGCTACTGTGTAGAGAAAGATTCATCAGGGGATATTGTGAAAGTGAATCACGGGAGGATTCTGCTAGCGGAAGCTACAGCCCGTGTTATGGAGAAGTGTCTCAATATTTTGGGCCTTAAACCTGTTGCAAAAATGTAAAGACTATTTATTGTATGTTTCAATAAATTTGTTTCTGAATTTAATAAAAAAAATTCAACAGTCAATACATATTTGAGTTTTTTTCTTATAATGGATATTTACAATTAAAATCTGGGAAGACAATTATCTTCAAAGCAACTAATTCGTAATATTTACAAAAAAAGTCTTTGGTTTTGAGTTGTCAGATTCTTGGCACGTTTCTTCTTGGCAATGATATCAGCGTCAAGAATTGAGATTTAATCCCAATCTCGCTAACACCATTTCCTTCCTTAATCGAACGATCTCCCAATAGACGTCATGTGCTAAAAAGATATCAAATTATTGCTTAATTTTGTAACTGCAATTTGTCTAAATTACCGGAACTTTTCACGAGACCACGTTCAATATATTTGAGATAGTTTAAAAAATCACAAACAGCAATTAACTGAAAAAAAAAACCTTTAATGATTTACGATGCGTTAGATGAAACCAGCTTACCCTATTTCTACATATCTGTGATATGCTGTACCAGGTATCCATCTCTCCTATGTTCATTCGATAGAAACACAGCCTTTGCACTTCAAGTAAAGCGCATTTTCTACAAAAAAAATACTCAAATATGTCATATGAATACCATTTAAACCGCGTCACGTACTTAGGAAACATGGCCTTAGTTTTGTCTCCCACAGCCTCGATGAGTATAGTTCCCGCTTCAACTGCCTCTCGTACTTTTTTCGACAAATCTTCATTACTAAACGTCAAACACAGATCGATATCTTCCCGGTAAATTCTATGCACGAATGGATCGCCTTTGTCCAAACATGGTTTTTGCCTCCATGCCAGAAATTCCCGATGAACGTTCGGATCAACTTCCAACCCCTCCTTATTCTCAACTTCGCACGGTATGTGGTACACCTCCTTCACTGGTGACTCCGGCGGCGAGTTTTCCCGTCCATATTTCAAATTGAAATGACTTGGCGACCTGCGATGCTTCTTACTTTCATCTTTCATTCGTCCGTCGATCTGGGGATGCAGATGAGGATTTGGTCTGCTCGGAGTCGATGTCAAGACCAACGTCTTCAACGCTGCAACTTCAGCTGTTAAGACATCGACCTTCATTTGACTTTCTTTCAAAGCCTTTTCAGCAGTCGCTTGTTTCTCATTCGCCTCCCTGACCATGTTGTGAGCTTCCTGTCAAACAAATAAAAACAATTGATTGCTATTTTTACTCACTAGATCTCGGCAATCAGTCGAGATTTTTTCAACTTCCGCTCTTAGTTCTAGCAAACTACGGCTAAGACGTTTTCGAAATGGAGTTTTTAGTTTGTTCGCCATTTTGAATGGGTGGAACAGGAACTTGTAATCTTTTTGTCCGTTTTTAATCTACTCGTAATTTACTCAATAATTAACCAGACTTTTCTAATTACTTTTCCTTTATTATTGGACAATTGGATTTAATCCAAGACAAATTTGGCACTAATTTCCGCATTTATCATTTGGGAAGTCTTACAATGTCGACATTTCTTGGCGCCGGAGAACTTTAAACGCGCAGTTCTCAAAATAAAACATTTACTTAACAATTTCACGTTTTGATAATATTGATTTTCTTGGGAGAAAATGCATGGAAATAATTATTTTTGCGTGCTAACCCGTCAAACTATAAATTCCGACAAATACAAACAGTTCTGAAAACGATTAATATTATACTCAGCAGGAGGCTATCTCAGTAACAGTAAAAAATAACAAATTACCGTGTTTATATAACAAAAATAAAAATGAAATGTCATGTTTCGCTCCAGTTGTGAGAGTCATTAAATTAAGAGTGACAAAATTACGGAGAAATTTTTCCTTAAAAAGGTTCCCATTATCGCGTCACAAGTCGGCCAAGACAAAAACAATAAAATATGAAACAATTGAAACAATAATCATCAAGGTGAAACGTAATTTGACCCACCTGTAAAGAAAATCGAAAAAAACCCGTAAATACTCGATATTTTCCTATTTGTGTCAAGGGTAATAAACCTTTAATGATTTGACGTCACGCTTAACTTCGCTTTAAATTCGGAAATAATTTCTCAACGAATTAATTTGGTGTTTTCCTGTCTACCATCGTTGCTTTCACCATCAATTTTTCATTAAAAAAAACTTTCACGGCCGTACAAATTTCGCGTTGTGAATCTGTCTTTTTTAAATCTCCGGTGAAAGTCTAATAGTGCGAATCTACCAAACACAAAAGCCTCCACGTTCCTGCATAACCTTGCAGGTGAACGACCGGTTCCAGCTATTTGCTACATAGTTCAATCAAAGTTCACCTGAAAGAGACTCGCAGTCAAGTCTTCGAGTTCGGCCTCCACATCCTGTCTAATCCGCGACAATCTCGCGACTTCTTCGTCTTTCAACTTCAACTCTTCATGGGCATCTCGGAGTTCATCTTGAAGCCGCGTAAAAGTCTGTTCTTTTGCTCCTACCACTTGTCTTGCCCAATCTGGCTGATCTTCTCCTTTTTCCAATTTGTCTAATCCCAAATCACTGTAGACTGAACTGTCGGAACTGTTCCGATGCATCACCTTATCGGTGATGGTCGCGATGTCTGAAAACGATCCAAAATCACTACTGTCATGGTTGAAAAGTTTCGTAGGGTTTCGAAGGTCGGGTTCGTCAATCTCGACGTTGTCTTCTTCATCGGTTGTATAGGATTCGTCTCCGGTCGTACCCGTCGAGCCCGCACGTCGATGTTGCAAAATCGCGGCGTTTTTGGGTACCATTAGGAGACCCTTGCTTAGTTTACTCGGCGACGACTCAGTCGCCGTTTCTTTCATCTTCACGGAGAAATTTCAACACTTCATCGTTTCGTTTCTGCAAATATGGAAAGTTTTTTATCCCCAATTGTAAAAAAAAAACAAATTAATTATTAACACGTGAAGGACTGACATTCGCAACTTTTTTTTCTTACTTTCTGACAAATTACAATTTTTGCACATAGAAGATATTGCGGATTCAACGACGATTTATCGATTTCACTTGCGATTATTGTTATTTTTCGCTAAATTACACAGACACGGATTTATTAATGTTTTGTTTTTTGAAGTAAATTATGCGAAGGATAGAGAAATCTAACGGTGCTTTCCACCGATGTGGACTTTGACGATATTATCCATAATTAATGAGGTAACGATACAGACAACGTTACTGCTATAATAGGAAAGACCAGTTGACGTCAGAATTTAGTATCTGAGAGAGTTTAGTTTGGAGACGTTATTATTTCAAGATTTGAATGAATTACCTCAACCAAATTACCAATAGTAATGTTAATGCATTATTAACGAAAAGAAAATGGTAACTTTCTCAATGAAATGATTCAGGCAACGAATAAAAAAGATGAATAGTAAAAGTGCTCTCATTGCCCTCAAAAAATGCATTCGCTATAACAATTTGAAATAAATTAATCTAGGACTTCCTTTTTACGATAATTAAAAATCAAGTTCCATATTATTAATATCAAGGTTAAAAACGTAAAAGATTTAACAATCAATGCTCTGAACTAACTCTACGATTGAAATCGAATGCCTCATAACAATTTTATTAATTAGTAACTGCATTGTGTTTACACTGAAAGTCAGTCAATTATAACAAAAATTTCCACTATTTCATTTTTACCATAAAATTCCCAACACAAATTATTTCCGCATCATACGTAGGTACGCTAAAAATACGATAACTGTTAACGTAATATGAGAAGTAATTTTTCAAGGGAAATTATTTTATACAGGTTACATAAAGTTTTCCTCGGTCAACCAATAAAAAATTATTTTGGCAAAAAATATTTAGCAAAATAAAGAATTTAAATTTAACGAATTGTAAAATAAAAATAGCTGTTCCTATTTCTTAAACTAATGAAGTTATGAAACATTCTATTGATAGAAATTGGTAAGTGTAATGTTTTTATTTCAGGAAATATCTGTTACAATGTAATAATTTACATATCTGTATTTTGCAATTTTGTGAACTTATGGTTATGTAATAGAAAACATTACTTTTTGTTTACCGGTAACAAAGATAATATTGACCAGAGAATTCTTATGAGCCAAGTCAAGTTTTTCTCCACATAAAAAATAGCATTACCTGAATTCAATCTGTTACGAATACATGATGAATTTAAATTGTTAGTCTATACGCAACGCCCACCTTATTATAATAAAAATTGTTCAAGTGAAATTCATAATACAATTATTACACAACCAAAAAAAACTAAAAATTCTTACGAAACGCAGCCACCATCACGGCTAGCGAAATAAATATTGAACGTGGCAAACATCCCCCTGATCTATTCTGTAGTAGCCAATAACTCACGAGAAGCGAATTGCTTCTGACAAATTTAGGAAAGGTTAAAAGTATCCTCGGGATATTACGTAATTCACGCAAACCCAATTCCGAATGTTTATTTAATTTGAAATCTAGTATAACGCAACGAGTACGAAAAATATCTACACGTTAATAAAATATAGAACGTAACGGAACATTTAGCAACAGTGAACTAGAATAATAAAGAAAACAGATACATAAATAAAATTCACACGATAATAATAATTTTCTCAGTGTCAGTTGCGCCTACTTTTCAACTCATGTGAAACGTCGAAAAATCCAAAACGATTTCCATTTTCAGGTCACGTCTGGCAATGTGCAATAACATTCGTAAAACTCCCGAGTAATAAAAGCACAAAAATATTTCAACGATGCGTTTATTATAAATTCCATACATGACGTCCATACCAAGTAACATAAACAAAAAACATTTGCTACGGTCATAAACGTGTGTTTCTTTTACGTCGGACCGGACTCAACCGGAAAGCCACAATTTTGTAATCTTTCTCAATGACATTATTGTTATTACATTCATATTCCATTCGCGTCCACTATTATTACATCTTGTTAATCCCTTTTAAAGTGTCACGTACATCACACTCACCCTATATTTAAACATCCATAACAACCAGAAACAAAACACTCACAAACATCGCAACAACTCGACTCTCACTACAGCGCGTTGTGCGCTTTCTACGCGGGATGCGAAGAACGACGCTCGTTGCTTGGCAACGCTCCTTGTTTTGAGGGGGACTCCCCCATCCTCCTCAAACAAGCATCGATATTTTGCGATTCGTACGGTATTTTTAGGCGATTACGTTCGATTCGTTGCAGTAAATAAAGCAATTAATTAGGTATCCGTCAAGGTTGTTTTTTTTCTTCTCTATATACACCTTGAAACAGCTCTTATCACGGTATTTGATGTTAAAATGCGCTGCGGCGGCTTTGTCCTAGATATGCGGAATCCGGTGCCTGGCACTGGCAGCGCGCTGTACCAGCAATTAGTGAAAGGTAAGCGAACATACGTTACATTGTATTGGAATCGAGGATGATTGAAGATAAAAAAATGAAGAATTGTTTTCGTGAGGGGTATGGATTGAAGTGTCTGAATATGAGAGTCATGAAAAATTAATAAAAACCTATAAGGCCATGGTCGCGTTATGTTGATGACACATCCAAGTGTCAATTAACCCACATAGATTTGTGTAGGATGGACCAAATTTGATTTGATTCTCGAAGGTTTTCTTTCCTTTGTGGGAGAAAAGTTAAATCTTAGACAAACTGGCGGGGTAAATTAATTATAACAGGTTCAATATTGTAGGTTTCTATGATTTTTATCAGTAGATCTACAGATTGCAAATGAATTTTCTGATAACAATTGCAATGAGATTAATTTAAAGTATTTCTAGTAATATGTCATATATTATTATTTTACATCGTATTTGTGTCCATTATGTGATATGACATTATCACGTCAATAATTATCTAAATCTACCACCAAAAAGTATTTCAGGCAGGCAATAAGTTTTGTAAACATGTTTTTTCAAGAATTCAATTCCATGGAAAATTTATAGGAGACTTAAATAACTGTTTTAATAGATTTTTTTTTGCAAACATTTAAAGAAAATGTAAACTTATAAAATGCATAGTGTTAATTATTCTGCATTAAAACTATGAAAATTTGTGCGGAAATTAAATTGTCGTATTGTTTAACACTGTAACAAACTATAGAGTTAACATATGGGTGCAACAATAGGGAAACAAAAACATTCCGCATGCAATTAAAGGAATGTTTTATTGCATTATTAACAACTATGAAATTTTTATATTTATTTAATCAGTGCTTTTTTCAGGGGCAATTATACCCAGAAATCCGTGAAACTGATTTTTGTAAATTAGCAAATAATGTAAAACTACTCGTATGTATGTACTAATTAATTCTGATAACAGCACGATGTACAATATTGATGATCATCACCGTGTGCATGTTATTCCGAGATGTCAAAAAACTGTTATTTACCTATTTTGTTTTGAGGACCAGTATTTTTTTTTTTTAGTATAAATTTGAAAGTCAAATTACTAGTGTTTATTCCTGATTGTATACAATTTGCAAACTTAATTCCCGGTTAAACGCAAAAAAATTAATCAAAATCTAAAAATTTTCCTGATAATTAATCGTAAATCACAAGAGAACGTCAAATTTAATTGATGTTAAATTATTTACCAGACATAAACACGTCTTTCACTTTTCAAACAATTGATATTCTCATAATTCATGGAATTATGAATTTGTATAAAACGCTGAACAAGAAAACCTTGACATTTCTATTTTATGTACTGTTCACGACTAAACCAAAATAAATTTCAGATGCCCTTAAGACCCTCCCGATAACAATGTCCATGTGTAAAATAAAAACAAAAATGTGAATCACTTCAGAAACATTAATAAATCACTGATAAGAGTGATAAGTCTAAGCTTTATCTCTCACACGATCAGCAAAAGAAGACACAAAGAAAATTAAAACGACCGGAAACACATTTGACTTTCTCATGAAATTATCTTTTGTTCTTGCTCACCCGGAGCTAAAAATTTGCAATTCCGACTCACAAATCCCTTTAAATGCCCTCACACTGTCGCTACGCTAATCGCATTATTAAACAAACAACCGCACCGAAAAATCAAATTTCCTTATTATCGCTTTGCAAACAATGATTAGTTATAAACATACACGTTTCTCTTAACCTTGATCCATGCAAATTGAATGAAAAAGATGGAATTGTACATTTTTTTTATGTGAAATTTATTCAAAAATTATCAACAATCAGGGTCAGCGCGCCTGCGTCATGACCCCTGCTATTTTTTTTACACAAGTGGGAGTCCGAGCTCTAATCCGAATGGAATGCGGAGCAACAGGAAACCAGATTTTCTTATCTATTTATCAAATTTGACAAGAAATAAATATTACGCAGACGACTATGTTGCGATTCCATGATTTCGAGACAAGGGGGAAAAACTGTTTGAGATGACAGAAAAATGATTTGGGCGCATTGTTTACATGCCAATTACGTGATGAGAAAGCATTTACTTACCCGGGGAGGTCAGTAAACAGTAATTTCTCAAGAGACACACAATGCTATGTTTACACACTCCTCGACACGAACATATTCTGAATTCTGATTGGATCGGTTTGACACATTCCGACGTAACTCAGCAAGCTTAGTTTAAAACAGCGGGCGCCATCTTCTCAATTTTCATTAAAGCTGTGTTACAGGTTTCTAAAAAAAAAACACTCATGTACTGTTGGTTGCTGAAGAATATAAATTTTGTTAAAATTGTATTGACTAATATGATTAAAATTAGTTATAGGGTTCAAAAATAAATATCGATAATTCTTTTATTGTATAACATGTTTATTTAATAAAAAATATAATTACTGGCCATTAATGCACTGCTTCAGAGTAATTCTGCAAAACTTTCATGAGCGGTTTATAGACTAGTTTGGCAGCATGTTTGCCAAATAAAAAGTCAACGTGATTGAAACTTTCTAATGGCACTTGATACATGCCAACATTATTTGTCAAATTCTGAGACAACCTAATTACGTCCTGAAAAAAACAGGATTACTTCACTGAATTACCCAATATTGATTGCACTTACGATATAACTCGCTAGAAAATCATTAAGTGCGTACATTAAATACGTCTTAACTTTAATATTGAGTAATTTATATTGGGGTGGCGTTAGGGTACCATATTTAATTTTATTCCCATCGGGACCATAATCATACTGTTGGAACTTGCCGTCATATTTTATTTCCTGCGAATAATGTAGGACTGTTTTGGTGGAAGATCCGGCGGGATCATGACTCAAAACAACTGGCAAAAGCTCTTCGTTGAACTCCTCTTTATCAAAACCACACAATGTAAAAATAACATCTTCGCAAATTTCCTTATCGATTTTCAACAACTCGCAGTCATAGCCCAAAAATTTCATTATTTTATTGTTGGGTAGAAATTGATTTAGACCCAAATATCGTGCTAGCCATTCGAAATCGTAAGCGAATGGTGACAAATACCGGATTGGGGACTTCACATGTGTCATATAAGCCACCGGTGCTAGAGCTACCATCAGTTTTACGTTTTTAGCAACTTGTGGCTTTGTTGATGCCAAAACGAAAAACATAGTAGTACCCATTGAGTGCCCCACGTAGATTATTTCGCCCGGTTTGTTTGTTGTGTTACTGACGTAATAGAGTGCAGCTGGTAGATCGTAAATTCCCATCTCGTGCCAACTAAAGTTCCAATATTGGGGGCTTTGGATGGGGAGAGTCAGATGAGCTTTCGAATAAGTGTTACCTCGAGCGTTACCCATCCAAACATCATAGCCGGCATCGGCCAACATAAAACCTTATGAGACTGTAATTCTTAAGTTAAAAACAAAATACTACGAACCTAGAGACTCATTTCCTGCTATTATCCAATCGGCACTACTCGAAAGTAGTCCGTGTTGGAGAAAGACAGGTTGGCCCCCACGTTCGCCGGTTTTAGGCCCTGGGATTCGATGAATAGTAAGTATATAGCCGTCTTCGGTTGTGACGTAGTGAGATTCGGCCGGATAGCCATGTCTTCGGGCGATTTGGGGCTGAGAGAAATTTTAATTGGAGTAATGTTGTGGATTTTACTTACTGTGTCTAAATCAGCGTCAGGATTGTAAGGACAAGCCGCAAGATTTTCAAACGAACATTTGACACTATCTATAACATTTTCACAAAGAAAAATAGGTAAAAATAGGACGAGGAGCAAAAATCGATGCATCGCTAAGACGATGACAATTAACCTAACTTTAGACACACCAAAACCAGTTTTACGGATCAAGGCTGCGAAACTGACTAAGTAATGAATTTTTTAAGCGATTAAAAGTAATTCTGCATTTAAAATGCGATAGCCCCAAATGAGTCATAATAGTAATGTAATTTCATTGGTTTTTACTTACCAAGGCCGATTATATCACTGACGTGAGGTACAAAGTCGGAGCAAATCACTCTATTTATTGTGATTAACTAATTTTCTTTAAACTTTTATCTAATTTGGGAGAAATTGAGAACAAAAATTATTGTGTTGCGGTTTGAATTTTGCGCCGCCATTTTGTTTGGTGAATTCCATGGGTAAATTGATGTAGTTACTTTCCAAGGAAAACACATTACAATTTAATTCAAATTTATGTGAATTACAATTACAATATATTATTTTGTGTACATTAATAACTCTTTTTAAGTAAATTGTAAAAATAGCTTTATAATTCAAAAATTAAACTCTAAAAAACACTAACATTTAAACTTTCAAGTTGGCAACGTGAGTGTTTGGCATCTGTCAAATGTCAAAATTCTTTTTCATCAATAATAACAATGTTTGTATTGTGTTTTAAAAATTAAAAACATTGATTATTCAAAAAATGGGAAGCGAAAAGGTATATATTCCCCTTATATTTTTTCTAACCCATTTCTCATTTAATTACAATTTTTACCGGTTATTTTTAACCTGTACAAACAACTCATTTTTAGCTTTTGTTCCGCTTGGAGCAGCCCCACGGCACTGGTGATATTTACACGGCATGGCAAAATGGCTCTGGCATGTATCTCGCAACGACCGGAGTCGACTGTATAGTAAATATTTTCGACCGGTATGGGCAAATCCTGGACCGTATTCGCTTGCCGAGGTATCCAATTCCTTCCGATTTTCTCCTAAATTAACATCGCAATTGCAGTCTTTGCACCGGTTTTGGGTGGGATTCAGATGGAGATCTTTTAGCGGTAATTTGCCAATCACCTCAACTTACACTGTGGGATGCAAACACTCAGAAAAAGATTCAAATTGATGTCAGATTGAAAGACCAAATGTCGTGTTTAATATGGGCTAAGACTGGCCCCATGCTGGTTGTGGGGACCATCAAGGGCAATATTTCTATTTATAATCACAACACATCAAAGTTGAGTCATTCTCTAATTGTCTTTTTGCCTATTGATGATTTTTAGACGCACTCCTGTTATTGGTAAGCACGCGAAAAAAATCACGTGTGGAGCTTGGAACACCGAGAATTTACTTGCATTAGGATCTGAGGATAAAACAATTTCCATCAGTAATGTAGACGGGGATACTCTCAGAGTGATCAATTTGCGAGCGGAGCCCTCTGAAATAAATTTTTCTGAAATGAAACTCGACGAGCGTATGGGAGGCGAAAATACCGTAATTTATTAATGTTTTATGTTATTTCGCTTTAATTGGATAGTTTCAGGTCAGCGTAATTGTGGGAAAACGCACTCTTTATCTTTACAATTTGTTAGATCCTGACAATCCTATTGAATTAGCTTTTCAGCAACATTATGGTTCAATTGTCACGTATAAGTGGTTTGGAGACGGCTATATCTTAATTGGTTTCAACGCCGGTTATTTTATCGCCATCTCTACTCACATTAAGGAAGTGGGCCAAGAGTTATTTCAGGTCCGTAATCACAAAAATACCCTTACCGATATTACACTAAACGAGAAAATTGGAAAAGCTGCATCGTGTGGCGATAACACGTATTAATTTAAATCAAGCCAAGTCACTATTTTTACATATAATTTTTCAGCGTTAAAATACACGACTTGAGCAACCTCCAGGAAACATCAAGTGTCTTAACTTTATCACAGGAGGCCGGTTTAGAGAGGATAAGTTGGAGTGTTGATGGTCAGTTGTTTTCAGTGTGTACACGTGGCGGTTCTTTGAACGTCTACGTGTCACACGTGCCGTTATTAACTTCAGTTTCAACACCTAGAATTGCGATTTTGTCGAGTTTGACCGAAATTAGCCTTTACAACTATTCGTCAGAAAAAGTAATCAAGTGGAAATTTGAAATAAGACATAAATCATTTGTTTTAGACTAAATTGAAACCGATTCCTATAACATTGGAAACTGAGCCTAGTTTTATCGCCGTCGGCCCTTATCATATTGCCGCCGGTATGAATAACCGCGTTTGGTTTTATGACTTGACGCGACCCCAACCGGGAGTAGATGACGCTCCTTTAATGCTCAAAGATCGACAGTATTTAGGGGGCGTCACTAGCATTAAACTCAACCCTGAATACGCTTCTGTTTTGTTTGAAGGAAAACTACAGTTACATATGGTGATAAGTTCTTGCGTTTTTTTTGCTGTATTTAATTTTTTATTACAGATTGAACAACCGGAAGTTTGCCACGAAGATCGCGAAACGATAATGTTTCCCAATGCAAATTCACCTAATTTATACATAACTTGCCATTTTTTAACAACCGATTTTTTAATTTACGGCACCGATATGGGAAATATTGTTTATTTCCACATTGAAGAATGGGCTTTGGCACATGAATATAAGCATGAAGTTGGTATCGTGAATATTTTTGCCGATCCCGCCGGAACTAGATTAGTTTTTGTTGATATTAAAGGCCAAGGTTACGTCTACAATGCTGTAAGTAATTATTACTCTTCAAACATGGAAATATTTTTTTTGTTATTTGAGGTGATAAATGAAGTTGTACACATACCAAACCTACCAAATAAAGTATTAGGTGTTACGTGGGATAGCAATATAAACGATCGCAACATTTTCATAGTGTATGATCGACACGACATTTTTACTTATGTTTACGTCAGATACTCAATTAATGGTTTGTAACACTTAATGTGAAAGAAAAGTAAAACAATTACAATTTTAGGTTCCTCGGTCCAAAAAGTCGGCCAAACTTCGCTCGTAACCAAACAAATCCCTTTATTAATGTACTCGGGTGAAGTAATATCAGCGACTCCCGGCGGTCAAATAACTCAACTAATTTTAAACACCCATGACTCGCCTCAAATTGGTATCACCGAACGTGATCAAACCATTCAAGAAACTAATTTTAACAAGCAGATTGCATTGTATAGGTAACAAATTATAGTCGTCTTCTATTTGTTAAAAACAATAATATAGATTTTCGGCCGCTTGGACTACTTGTGAGAATCTTAAATCGGAAGAATTATGGAGAAAACTCGCAATAGAGGCAATGAAACACTTGGAAATCGATTTGGCAATTCGGGTATTTAAACTCCTAGATGACGTCTCTATGGTGTGGTCGTTGGAGAGCATCGCCGGCGTAGAGGATCATAAATTGTTGTGCGGTTACGTTGCGATGTTTTTGAACGACTTTGATTTAGCACAGGAGTGGTTCATGGGGTCGAGTTATCCAGTGGCGGCTTTGGAAATGCGAAGGGATCTCCTCCAATGGGATCAGGCATTGCAACTGGCGAAAAAAATGGCACCGGAGCAGATCGCGTTGATTTCACGCGAGTATGCCCAACAGCTCGAATTCACGTAATTGTTTATCACAGTTATCTTTGTGTTTTTTATTGTAATTTTCTATAGCGGTAATTACTCGGAAGCGCATATACACTATGAAAAAGGTCTTCAAGAGGATCTAAGTCCCGAACATACGTTTATTTGCAAAGCTGGAATTGCAAGGACTGCTCTTCATTGTAATAATACTCGACACGGGATTAGTATAGCCTTAGAATTGGATAATAAACAACTTATGAAAGAGTGTGCCGAAATTCTCGAAAAAAATAAACACTTAAATGAAGCCGCGAATTTGTTCGAAAAGTGTCAGAATTACGATCGAGCAGCTTTGAATTACATTAAATTGAGAAACTGGCACAAAATTGGGGAACTTTTGCCTAAAATTACTTCGAACAAAATACATCTTCAATACGCAGTTGCGAAAGAAAACGAAGGTAAGTATGAAGAGGCAGTTCGAGCTTATTATACGGCAAAAGATTACGATTCCGTGATACGACTCCAATTGGAACACTTAAATAACCCTGAAATTGCCGTTGAACTGGTCCAAGAGACGAAAAGTTCCGAAGGAGCGAAACTCGTAGCGAAATTTTTCCAAAAGTTAAACGATTATACTTCTGCAATTAAATTTCTCGTGATGTCGAAATGTAACGAGGAGGCTTTCGATTTGGCCCGAAAGCACGGCAAAATGCAACTTTACGGCGAAGTTTTACTAAATACTTTATCACCAGATGAATTAAGGCCTCAAGATTTTAATAGTATTGCAACATATTTTGAGAATGAACGAAATAACTTGCTTGCGGGGATTTACTGGTTTCACGCTAAGGAATATTCCAAGGCTATGAAACATTTACTAAAGGCCGCCAAATCAAATTCGAAGGAAAATGAAGCTATAACGGCAGCCATCGACGTTGTTGCGTCGTCCAAAAACGAGACACTTTCGTCCCAATTGATTGAATTTCTATTAGGCGAATCGGATGGCCTACCAAAAGACCCGAAATATTTATTCCGATTATACATGGCAAGAAAACAATACAAGGAGGCATCAAAGTCGGCTCTGATTATAGCAAATGAGGAGCAAATCAATGGTAATTACCGAAACGCCCACGATGTCTTATTCGCAATGTATCAAGAGCTTAAACAGAACGGAATTAAAGTCCCTAACGAAATGCAAGCCAATCTTATGTTACTACATAGTTACATCCTGGTGCGTCTTCATGTCAAGAGAGGTGATCATTTGAAAGGGGCTCGAATGTTGATCAGGGTTGCCAACAACATATCGAAATTTCCCTCCCGTAAGTCCACGAACTAGATTAGTTTTGGAATTGTCTTGTTTGTCCGTAGACAAAGTTCCTATTTTAACGTCGACGGTTATCGAGTGTCACCGAGCAGGGCTTAAACACTCTGCTTTCAAATATGCGACAATGTTGATGAATCCCGAGTATAGAAAAAGTGTCGACGCAAAATACGCAAAGAAGATTGAAGCAGTTGTGCGGAAACCTCCAAAGTCTGGGAAAGCCGGTGATGGGGTTGGGGATCCAATAGAGCCGCTGACGCCATGTCCCTACTGTGAGAATTTGTTGCCCGAGACCGAAACAAATTGCAACAGTTGTAAAAATAATATCCCTTTTTGTATAGTTACGGTAATTGCTATTTCATTGTCTAATAACTGGTGTTTTATTCTGGAGTTGTAGGGCCGCCACATTGTTACAGCAGACTTGACCGCTTGTCCCGAATGTGATTTTCCGGCTTTGCGATCACAGTTTATTGAGTAAAAAATGTAAAACCTATGTTGTGATGTAATTTTGGGTTATTTTTTTCAGGATTCTCGATAGTGAAGATTCTTGTCCCATGTGTTCGGAAAAGGTTGATTCTCGCCGGTTACCTAGAATTGATGATCCTAAGCCGTACTTAAACATCGAATAATTTTATTTGATCTCAATTGGAGTATTATTTATTTATTTATTTTAGTACAATTAGATTTTAGAAAGAAGTGATTTTAGCGAATGAAACTTGTTCCGTCCATTTTTTTTTAGTGCAATAGACTATTGTTGAATTGTGAAATAAAAAATTAAATAGAAAGTGTCTTTTTATACCCAAAACCTACAAGCCTAATGCAATCATTTGCACAATTAGTGAAATACACGTCGAAAAAAAATCTCAATTTTGAAGTAGGCAAATTGATAGTTAAAAAAATACTTGCGGTTACAAAAATATCTATAAAACACACGAGAACACTATAACTACATCAATGTTTACAGTGTTTAGTCGTATTTTTAAAGTATTGAATACCAATGTTTGATTAAAATAAGTATACTTCTTGTTTAAACACAAGAAAATTACAAATAACTAAGATTTTTTTATCTGTGTATTTCTCGGTACTTATATCAAAGTATATGATAAAAATAATATTAAAAATTGAAAAAAAACTAAAATAATCGATACTTACTTCAATGGGATTAGATGAAATTAAAAGTAACAAAGTTTTCAAATTGTAAAAACCTGGTAAGTTAACGTCGTAGGAGTAACATGTTTCGGCAATCGAATGCCGTAAGTAATGTTAAATAATTTGATTCCAAATTGACTTATTAAATTATTACAATTTAGGGTAGTGACTTTATCTTCAACCCATTCAACTAAAATGTTTATTTTACTGTAAAATAAGTTGTAAAAAAGTGTGTTAATTCTTCTTAATTGGGCGTGACTGAAAAAAGTTAGAAAAGTGGTTTTGTAATATACACATTTATTTGCGGTAAATATTTTTATTACTTGAACAAATAATAATTAAATTCTAGTTGTTAAACTACTTTTAATATATATGAAAAGGCAATAAAAATCTCAATTACCCCTAAATCGTCGTTTTTATTCATTTGTATTTTGCAAATGTTAAAATATATTCCAATTTTTGGAGGTATTTTCCAATAAAATTGTGCAATTTTTTCGGGTTAAAGTTTGGCAAGTTGTCGATTTTGCATCAAACCCCTGTCCACCTCCTGTCCACTAAGTTTCTCCACGTAATAAACTGTTGAATCCTCTTGCTGTTTTGGCATCTACCTTCCAACTTCCTCTGCTATAAAATCCGCAATCGAAAACCTTCGTTCGATAAGTGATTTCCCCCTGATGCATCCCCATCTTTTAAAAAATCGGAAATTTAACTGGAAAAATGCGTGTTTGACGTTCCGTTTCCGCAACGGGGAGGTTAATTTTATTTTAATATAGCGGTCGCGCGCCGCATCTATCGGAAAAGAATTAAGGAACGGCGGCGGCGGAGCGTCATTTGGCAGTCCCGTGAGACTGTTTCGATTTCCAAACTATTAGCATAATTCCGAACTTGCGGCCTCTTATAATTCGATGATAAATGTGTTGGAAGACTTGGAGATATCCGAGGGTCACTCCCAGGAGTTGGTAATGGGCGTCGCGACGCCGCTCCGAGGCCCTTCCCGATAGATTACACCGTCGGGATTTGAACTTGGCAAGTTTGCTCTTAATCCGTGATTTGCAAATGGCCGATCCCGACGCGGCCTCACATTACCCGGAAACGGCCCGGAGTCATTAAAAATGTATCCGGGAACGCACGAAACTAGACCGATTTTTCCGAGGATCGGAAACTTGCTAAACCCATTTCGGTAATTAAAGGGGATCTAAAGTTTAAGTTATTGCGACAAACGTCTTTTATTTTGAGACAGAGTTGGAAAACGTTAAAGATATTTTTGAGAAAAAGTCGCGTTTATCAGAATTAAGACGGGTTAGGTAACGGAGTGGCGTGCAAATATTAATTAAATTATCTTTAATTATTGTTTGCTCTGTATATAAAATGATAAATTGCAGAATTCCAGAGTCAGAATTTAATACCTATCTACTTGTAATGAATGAGAAACTATTTCAATTATTTTCAATTTTGATTTAACGTACTTCGTTATTTCCCCGTTGTTTTCAATTAGCGAAGTTATTAATTAAATATTTTATTATTTTATGGACTCTTTCATGTACACGCTTCATGAACGTGTATAGTTTCGAATAAACAAAAAACACACCGAATTAATTTTATAAATTGATTGAAAACAATGCTGAAATGCCTTTGTTCCAATGGATTAGCAAAAAACTAATTTCGCACGATTTTACAACCCTCGTCAATTCAATAGATTTCATTTTTACAATCAACCAACACCGAATTGTTAAAATATTACACCGATACAAACAAAACCTCTGCAGGTCGTAATAAAGCACTTTTTTTTTGGGCTATTTAATGCGAGTTATTCAAAAAATTGCGCTGGAAAGGTGTTAAGTTGTAACCATGAGCAATAAATAGTCTACTTATTTATTTTATTTATTCCTCCATGGTTGTAACTTAGGCATTTATAGTTTGACAAATCAGACAATTAGAAACGTACAGTTGGAGACAAAATACTTTGGTAGTCAATGTCACTTGACTGACATTAAATTGTAAAGCATGTTTTAGGACTGTTAACCTTATTTTTAGCCACTGTTTGATAGGAAAATATAATAGCTGTCATTAATTTGAAATTGTCATTCATTTTAACGTTAAAGCTTGAATTACCTACATTAAAGTGTCGAAAATGTGACCACCAAAGTATTTTGTCTCCAACTGTAACCTTACCAATAAAGTTTATTAATAAGTACAATGACAGACTCGGAATTTCGGACATCAAGTTTATATCAGTTCAAAAAATGTCAATGTGAGCCACGCTTTATTTTCATTGAGATTGACGTTTGAGACTAAAATTTGAAAGTTGTAGTTGAAATATATTTTTGGCGTCGATTTTCCGAAACAATAATGGCAGCAAGATGTGTTTTTATATAAGTTCAATAAATTATTTTGATTTATTGACATTTTTTCTCTAGCTGTCAGGATAAAAATTACAAAAACCGAAACTGAGGTTAGTTGCATAAGGTTCGTTTTTATATCAGTCAAATGACAAATCTTCCAAAATTCTGTGTCCATAATTAAAATAAACTTAATTTTAGTAGAACGTCACTAATAAGGTAATAATCATTAACTAGGTTCGAGTATCGAAATAAAAATTGTTTATTAAAAAAATTGTTTGTTTTTATTAAAGGTTATAACAAAAATACGAATAGATGTATATTATTCATCTATACTGTAAGTATTCACGAAAATGAAGTTTATAAAACGAGTTTTGTAGTTATCTGAATGAACAAAAGCAGTTTATACAAAGTGCCAATTTTAAAACTTACAACCGGCAATATCTCTAGAACTGAACAAGTTATTATTCAAAACCGTTTTGATGGTTCCTAGGGGGTATAAAAATGACATGTTAAAGACATGGTAAGCACCTCCACCCACAGTTGAAACCACAGCTACCCGAAGTTAAAAAATTTAAATGGCACTACCCTACTTGTGATACATCGTCGGAAAGTTTTTTAAAAATGTCATACAACAGCCTATTTGGTACAGCCGCTTTCTAATTATTTAAAAACGAAGACTTTAAATTTTCATTTTTTTATTATATTTAAGGGTGAGTAAAGGTGTGTTATTTAGGTACCATGCCATTCCTAGGAACCACCGAAACGGTTTTAAGTGATTCTCAATAACTTTTTCAGTTCCAGGTATTGCCAATTGCAACTTTTTAAATTGACTCACTGTATGTTAGAAGAATATTCTTATTATACTTTGAACTTTGTTCATTAATTTTTTGGCTCGATTTTTGGTATTGAATTAGTTGACATCTCAATTTTATTTAAAAAAAGAGATATAATGTAATTTAACACCTTTGGTTAAATTTTGTTTACTTTGTGTAAAAAAAAGCTAATAGTATAAAAATTAACATAGTGGTTACAATTATATTATATTTTTATTTGTATAGGTGAACAACAACACGATTAAACCCGTCACACCAAATTTCAAACACAACGTGTTTCAACCACAAAGTGGTCATCCTCAGGTGAGAATATAACTGTATAGGTACCATTTTTTGCAGTTGTTACATTTTTAGTGTTACGCAGTAGGTTTTGGGCTACGGATAACGTGTTTATTTAAGTATTTTAAGGAAAGTTTTAGTTGGGATAGCCTTTGTTTATCGCCAGTTATCACATTATCGTTATCGTATCCGGAAATTTATCGTAAATGCGTTTCCTAATAAATTAACGGCAAAGCGAATTTTTAAATGAAATTATTGTTCAGCAAGTGTAAATGTAATATTTAATTAAAAGAAAAAAACCGTCGAATTGACATTCAATTTATTGATAAAACAATAGCTGGGGCCGCTGGTGAGCTTTATTCTTCGTTTACGGACACGCCATTAACCGTCTGTCATTGCAACGGCCGATAAGAAAAACGCGACAATTTATAAATTTCGAAGCGAGTCTGACCGTCCCTCCTCCGGCGGGCAAAAAAAGAACGAATCCGCATAAAGTTAATGGAATCTTAATTTTTAATCTCGCAAACACAGGGAGATTTTATTTTATCTCTCATAAACAAGGCAATTCCCGACTTTTACCTCATAACCTCCGGCTGAAATTTCTAATTAATGTTCTGTATGAAATTTAATTACGCATTACTCTCGAACACAACAAATCACAAGTTGTTTTTTTTTTGCTCTGGGATCGAATGTAATTTTAAAGCACGTGTCCGAATCTCTTAGACAAACACTGCGATGAGCGATGACTGCGCTATGTCATCGTTCAACCCCCCCGGACTTTATCGCAGAGGGCCATTAGTAAAGATTATGATAATCAGAAATTTTAGGATTATTGGACGCAGATCTGGCAGCGATAGATGGCACGTGACCGCTGCGGCCACTGATACCGACAGCTCACGTGGCCCATACCGAATATTTCACTCCATTCGGAGAAAAAAGCCGAAACACAATGACCGGATTAGGGGTGACATCGTGGGAAATCGCAGAGGGATGATGCAGTTTACACGCAATTCGCCACCTCATGCTTGTCGCCTCCGAATAAAAGAACGCCTTTTAATCGAATTAAACTCCCTTGGTGCGAAAAGGGATTTCTTACAACCGGAATTTGACTAATTCCGCGGTGCAGGGGGCATGTTTTTGTTAGTTTTCAATTCTTAAATTGAAATTTTGAAATTTCAAACTTGAAAAAAATATTTTTTTGGAAAACTATTGCCAACTGGAGTTTATTTTTTATACAAATTTGGATTTGGTGTATCTTTGAGTCGTTTTTTTCTCACGAAATCCCGCGAAAGGGGTGAGCTTGAGTGCACCCCTCGTTGCAGCAGCAAATTCCCGACTGAAAAGTAAACTTCGTCTCGGTTAATGTTTGCCGGAGGTTTATGAAGATATGCTAAACAGTCTTGAGAAGTGTACATTAATAGTCCACCAGATGCTAACTTACGGTTACGCTTCGGTGGTTTTAGGAAATCATTGTTATTCTCAAAATAGATTAACGTATATTTGCACTGAAAGTCAGAAACAGAAGTGAGTCCCTATTCACGTTTTCATCTCAATTTCGCAATTCCGCGAGCTTCTCTTTTATTTTTTTCGCAGACGTTATTTAGTTTGAGGCTTCGCTCTACAGGGGTCTGTTTTAAATAGTTAAAATGCGATATTTCACGCAACTTTCCTAAACTTTAAATGCACTAAAGCAAAGGCTAATTGTTATGAATTTATGGTGCCAAACGAAAGTTTCCTAAAACAAAAAACCTAATTATACTAAGAGAAAAAACGGGCTGCAATTTGAAGCTTTTAGATTAACAAAATAAAGTGAAAATATAATTTCAATGTAACTGACAAGAAATAAAAGCTTTTTAAATGTCTAAACCCATAACAGTTAGGGCATTCAGGAAAGGTCAGTAATAAAAAAGATGAAAAAACCCAAGTATGTAACTGGAAATGAAAACTATTTAATTAAAAAGCTTTTGATTTGAAATATTAACAATATATACATTTAACATTTATTTATATACTTTTAAGCCTTTACCATTTTCTTTACAAAAATCAAGATTACATTTACAATGCACAACAGAAGAAAAATATTAAGTAGGTATTCATCAGTTTTGAAATAAGTTCGTACAGTTCAAATTATGGTTAAAATTCTTGAGAGATATTGACGCCATAATAATGCTTTGAAATATAATTTCAACAGAAGTCTAGCCGATTTTTTTTTAACCGAATTGAAAAAAAAACAAAAAACTTTTGATTGCATTAAAACTTAAAACATCAAAAAAATTGAAATTATTTTATTTGCTACATTGTAGATATAAGAATTTAAATTTTATTAATGATCTTTCCGCTCTAGTTATCTAAACTGCAGTTTCTGCAACTCCAATAAAAATTCATGTTGGTTTACTTTTCAGGATGTGTTGTCTAAAATGAGTAAAATTCTACGTTTTTGTAAAAACCAATTGTAGAATAAATCAAATTCATATTTGGCTTTCTCCGTTTTTCTTACGAGTATGTTTACTTTTATTTTGCATCAAAAAAATAAAATTATTTAAATTAGATTTTTATGTTATTTGTTCGTTTATAATTTCCGCAATTTGTGATTCCGATCTCCGTTCAATCGGTGACAAGTTGTCCCACTCGTTAAACTCGGTCGTTGCGAGCGTCGCGACGTCGTTTCTTTCCCGAATTTACTAAACCGTTTTCGACGTCTTATCGTGTAGTCGGCATAAAATTGAATTTATCGTCCGCGAAACGTACCGTCGAAATTAATCCCTTTTATTACCGAAAACATTTAAAATTCGACTTTAATTAAAAGTCCGATTTAGACTCCCACATACATGGGCGATTTTCTCCATCTCTCCCATCGGCAAAGCTCCCATCGACATCAAACCCTACTTCGCGTCCATCTAAATATTTGACATGACGTATTTGACAGGCGGTGCGACTGTCTTCTGTTATTCCATCCCCACCCCTTTCCAAAAAATATCGGAGCTTTCGTGCGCGAAAGCTCGCAAAGCTCGCGACGAGACAGCGGCGGCACGACGCGCATTCCGAGTCCGGACGTCGTCGTGTGTACACGTATCAAGACTAATACGAGAACACAAAACACGATTTCGCGAGTGTTTGGTTCGGTTTGTGTTTCAGTGACGAGCTTTTGACAACACCTGAAAAGCAACGCGACGAAAGCTGTAAGTACTCCAAAAATCTTTTTTCAATTAAAAGCTCCGAATGACAGTTGCGAACACGTGTTCACGCCAGGAGTGAATCGGCCAAGAAACGAATAAACCAGCCAGATTTTTATCCCAACAGTTCGAGAAATGATTTTCCAATAATGGGGTTTTTTCGGTCTCGGCGCTAACTCATCCGTAAAATTACTTATTTCTAATCAATTTACAAAAGTGGACTAGAGAAAGCGCGACATTTGCATAATTCAGGTGTTTTCCTCGCAATTATGGGACAGTTGAAATTGTTTCATTAAATTATATTTAAATTGAGAAATGTTAATTAATTTTACCGTGTTTGTCTCCTTTTCCTTCTTTAATAAATTCAAACAATGATCACGTCATAAAAATTGATCAGGTTTTAAATTTAAAACGAGTTCGTCGATAAGAAATCCATTAACATTTTAATTTAATTATTTAATTACGAGTATCGAATGCAAAAATATATGGTGTGTCTGTAATGGTCGCCCCAAGTGGAGCAGAATAATCAGTGTAACGGGTCCACGAAAAAAATTAAAACGCTTTTATATTTGGACTGTGTTGCTTAAAGTTCTTGCTTAATTTGCATGAAAAACAAAACGAGAATTTTACCATAAATTTCGCGCAACGCGACAGTTTCTTGCGAAGGATGACAAATTTAGTTTATTGAACAGTGAATGGGAGAAAAAATCCCGAGTGTACGCCACTGATCCCATCTCCCTTCGTCCCTACATAATGGACTCGAGAAAAAACAAATTTGTTTTTTACGCTCAAATAGAGAAACAAAATTGAAAAGGAAACTGTAATAAGACCGGCTCGTCCACTCCCCGGTTTTCGTGTTGTTTTTACATTTCGTTCGATCATGCATACTTTTGTCCGTTTATATTTATTCTCCCTTATTTATTGTCGTGCGACACTAGGGCAAAAAAGCGGTAATTATAGCACCGGAGTGGCTCCGGAGCGCCCACTCTCGTTCCTTCGATCCCTTTAAAATAAAACGGAAACGGAACGTTGTTGACATAGGATGATTATCTCAATAAGTTTGGAGAGGAGACGAAGAAACCGTGAGCTTTGTCGATATTGTCAATCACTGTTCGATCTGTTTACAGAGACACGGCGACTTGACCGCACTTCTTTCCCTTCTTTTATTGCCGGATCGATCCCTTTTTAAATTCAAACAAACACGCGATTAATGTTTTACAGGGGAGAAAGAAACTGTGATTAGGTTAAACGATGGGCGGCGGAAATGATCAACTCCCACAAGGACGGACCGCAGTTCCGGGGACTCTCGGACATTGATCCAAAACAATCACATTATCTTACCCACACACACGATTTTTCGCTCATCAATAATTAAGGAAATTGCTGTTTGTATTGTGACCATCGCCGGGTTATCGAATGGATTCACCGATTGTTCTGATTAAATCACAATAAAACTAATTGAATTCGATTAAGAAAATTAAAAAGCTTCGAGTGACCCGCACGACTCCACCTATGGACCTATGCTATCCACTCCGTCTTTGGATAAATTCGTTAAAAAATAACAATCTCCATGCACCCCCATATTTTCCAAACAAGCTTATTCAATCACGATCCACTCGAAATTATATTCAAACCGAACACGGGCATAAACAAATCCAATTAAGTACGCATTTATTCTGACAAGCAGACCTCCCCTTTTTGACTGGTCGCATATGTGGAACAGGGTGAACTCGACGAGGGGATGAATTACGCGCGACAGGGTTTCACGACGAATATATTTCGTATCGTTGTATTATACCTGATTTATTTTTATTGTTGCATAATAAACTATTGTATGTGTTGGGTTTAAGAAAACGTGGCGAGAAAATTAAGCCGGGAGGGCCCCACGAAACGGGTTTTAACCCCTTTTTGTGGTGAAAAGAACGAGTTTTGGTTGAAGAAAGTGTTGAGTAATTGAAAGGAAACAAATAATCAACGATAAAATATTATTCTGGTCTATTAAAAAGCAAGAGAAAAGAACATGAATAAGAATAAGAAAAAACAGATCTGGTAATAATAATCTATGTTTATGTCATATTTAAAGAAATAAATAATTATATTTATGTTTTAATATTTTAAATTTAATACATACCTACTCTATTTTTGAGAATTATTGAGCTTTAATTGAAAAAAATCTTAAAGAAAGACCTTAACACTTTTTTTGAGAAATCTTTCAAGAGTTAACTAAATATAAAAAATATAAAATAAGTTGTGGCAAATTATGTCAAATTTTTCAGAGATTTATCTATACATAGTGTGAAAAAGGTTAGAAAACCATCAAAAAAAATGTCGTATTTGGTGGTATTGCCATCATAGTCAGTGTTAAAAACGAAATGGAAAAACATGGAAACATGGAGGCCAAATTACAATATAAAAAAAAATCAATTTGCGTTTTTTTTTGCACTCAAGTGTATCTAAAAATCTCACATTGTACCTCAGGCAATAAAGAAGCAACAAAAAGAAAACAATTCTTAAAATCAAAAAAATAAATTTGCAAAAAGACTGCTTGTAAAGCAAAATTTCATATTGGAGAATAAAAAAAATTAATAAAAGCAAAACAGTCGTCCTTTAGAATAAGGTAAAAAAATAAAGCTTTAAACTTCTGCCCCATCACAAAACTATTTGGTTTAGATTTAATAAAGTGAATGTATTATTTGTAACTGAAAAACTGTAACTTAACATTGAAATTAATACTTATTTTAAACTTAGCTTTAAATATGTATTTGTATTACAAGGGAGGAAAGTTTTCCTGCCGCAGGTGGAAGTACCTAAACACCAGTGTAATACATATAATTTTACCTACAACTCAGTAAGAAAAACTTTAAAACTAACAATTTCTTTTGATATCCCATGAAATCTAGCAACATGTTTTTCTATTTCTATGGAAGAGGTATTTTTTTTTATTTCTCTGAGAGGTTGTATATAAGTATATTTTTATTGTAATTTTGACAGATGAGGAAAGTAAAATGTTTATCTCTCTAAGAGGTAATTGGCTCCCTTTCTTTTCTGAAATTAGAGTGGAAAAACTTTTTGTTAGGTTTGTAGGAAAAATATTTTATCCACAAACGTCACAAGTAACAAGTAAAAGTTTTACTTTTCAGCCATGAAATCAAATTTTTATTTTTGCTCTTAAGCGTTTTTACTTTTTCCATGATATTTACTTGTGTCTTTCTTGTCTTTTGTGCTGATTTAGCCATTTCTGCAGAGGTATATTGTAGATTATCAGCATTCAACATTTTGCACTACTAACTGCACTAGTTAAATTAATAAACACTTTTGAAAATGTTGGTACTGACGCGTGATGTTTGTTTATAAACGTTGTTATGATTTCATTGCAGATCGTCCTGATTATTCGATTCAGTTACTTGCGTCCTAATTATTTTATTCATTTACTTGTTAATTATAGATAAAATAGTATATGTTATTCAGCTCAGCTGAGTTTTTTGCCTCACTACGTTTGACAAAATAAATGTTTGGCTTCGCCACATAAATACTCACTTTTACTCCTAATAAGATGATATACCATTAACAAATCATCTTTTATGATGAAAAAAACGGACTAAAAACTACTGGCAAGATTTACGAAAAAAGCTCAATATTTTCTCCTACTCAATTTTGGGAGTGTATCTACCTTTACGAGCGAAAGAGATTTAATGATGATTATTCATGAAGGCAACAAAGCTTTGATTTTGGTGCCACAGAATAAAAAAATATTGTACTTCTAGATTACTGATACATAATTGTTTAGAGATTAGAGAGAGGCATGCCTATTGAAAAAAAAAATCAAAGTTCCGTTCTTCGTAAGTTTGCTGAGCAAAAGCGTAACACAGAGATTAAAAAGATGCGGATGCAAACCTTGCAGTTTTTATTATTTTACTGCAATTAACAGATAACCTAATAAAAAGAGTTTGTGTTCTGTTGTGACTTGAATTACAATAATGTTTGCATAGAAAATGCCTAGAGTAAGTATCAAAAACCGCTTCAGATTTTAATTAAATCCTCTCGATTGGCGGCGACTCCGCGTATGAATAAACCACTTCCCCGTCCGTAATTAAACAAGACACGCGTCAGGGGTAGGTACCCCCCCGGATTCGGTAGTTTCGATCGTGTACAGTTTCCTCGCCGGCTCCGTTCGACGAAGGGGTTGGAGTTATACTTCATATCTGTAGTAAATTGCATTAGGCAGCCATCAGACAGATCTCCCCGATGATGTCTGAGAGAGAGGCCGAAAAGTGGCTTCGCTCCTACCCCGAAACAAAGCAATCCCATCAAGCGATACCATCGCACATTATGACGTATTATTAGCGCATTACGGCTATTGGAGAGCGATTCAATTATTGGAATAGCGCCATTGCGGCGAGCCGGCAAACTACGATCAAATATCGCAGATTTCGATGGGAGATTACCGGATTTTCTTTCGGGGCGACTCGATTTAATCAAAGAGTCGTCGCCGAAAACAGACGCGAATAACAAACATTCCGACACGTGGTGTGCAATTAAACGCGTGCGGTCACGTGGACCACGCCACCCCCGATGCATTCAAATGCAAATTTTGGAATGATATTTTTTAATAATGAAAGTTAAAAGTCGCATTCTACCGGCTTGTCATAACACTGTCATTTATATTACGATCTTTTTTAATTTTAAAAAATCTTTAAGAAGCGAATTAAACTTCCCGCCAGGATATTACGCGAATAAATCAAGTGGCCTGTCAGTTCTTCACTTGTTTTAATATCAATAACCCACTTTGCGTTCAAAGTTTCTTTTTATTAATTAATTTCTGCCGCTTAAATAATTAACTATTGATTTCTCAACTGCTGTCTTGCTCGATATCGGAGACTTCTCTCTCACGCAATGCCAATTTATTGCTCGGCAGATTATTCGACAACCTTTAATTAACGATTTAATTCCTGTATAAGGAGCAGAATTAAGAAACTGAAAGTGAAATAAATGCCTTCAGGAGACGCTCTACACACACTCGATCGACAAATTACAATACCATTCACCGAATTTAACAAAATTTGACGGCGTGCCTACAACCGATACTGAAAGGGAAGTCAAGTTTCAAGGGCCACCACAGAAAATTCACGAGAGTTACTAAAATAGAAGAAATGAAGATATATTTTAACTCAATGCACTTGGACGTAAAATATACAGGTTTATTTATAAAAAAACGGCAGGCTCTGTCGAATTTTTTTTATTTATGGTCCCATTTGAAAAATTAAAAAAAGGAATTAAATGGCTTCTATTATACTGTAAGCTGACAAATTTTGAATTTTTTTAAATGTTAATTTAATTTTAATATAATGTTAACTAACCCACTAACTATGAACCCACATTTTTTTATAATTTGAAACATACTAGTTTTCTTGGTACAGACATGTGCAATATGTTCTACTTTTACTAAAAATTATTGTTTAAAGAAATCAAAATAAAAATTAATAAAAGTTAATAACATCTAATTGCATGGTGTAAATAAAATATTGACGTTAACAATAATCTTATTAAAAGTAAACAAAATAAATAAATAGATAACAATAAAAGAAATTAATAACACTAAATTAGATGTTTTTCTGATTTGTTATAGGTAGTTATTATTCAATTTACAAAAATATTCGCAATATTTCCTTTCATTTGCTACTTCTTGACATTATAGTAATGGCACTGTCTTATTTGGCACCATGCAACTAAATTCTATTGACTTTTATTAATTTTTTTTACAGCTTTAATAATTTTTTTAAACAATAATTTTTAGAAAAAGTAGAACATATTGCACATGTCTGTATCAAAAAAACTAATATCTTTCAATGAATGATGAAGAAAAAAATATGGGTTTCAATTAAAAATTGGAAAGTTGAATATAGCTCAAAATATACTATACATATGTATAACACTTAGAAAGATMCTAAAATTGTCAGCTTATATATATTATATTAAAAGTTATTTAATTATTTTTTTCAACTTTTAAAATCGGATCATAAATAAACATTCTGCAGTGTCTGCAGTTTTTAAAAATCATACTGTATAACTAGAGATGTTTTGTTTAAAAAAATGTCACTTTTATTTTTTAAAGTGAAAAGTATATTTATATCAAATAAAAATAATGGAAATTATTTTTGTAAAAAATATTTGACGCATTAGATTCAAAGTAACTTTTGTAAGACTGTTGTAGAAAAAGCTCAATTAAAAAAGAACAAGAGTTCACAAAATTGTGTGTATGAGAAAAGACTTTCAGAAGTAAAAAAATCGAATGTTATACGAGTTTTATAAGACGACCTATTATCGTATGAAAAATTGAACAAATCATCGTAGCTTTTTATTATTTTTTTGATTTATTGATATTTTTTTTGAAAAAAGTTTAAACTAAAAACTAAGGAGTATATCAGAGTTTTTCAAACATTCCTTGCAAGATTGCAGATGCTTTACTTTAAGCATCTCTATTTTTAATAGACTTTGAAGTAAAAGTTTTTTGACAAAAATCTTCTAAATATGTTTCTTCACAATATATTTTTCCTAAAATTTCAATGTCAAGACCATGAACACCCTGTATAGTCTTACGTAAAAAAATTGATATTTAAACAAAATTGCTTTAAAATTTTAATTTTTTTGAAAGAAGTGTCAATTCTTGGCTACTCAGACTCATCCACTCTCACTCCTCTGTGTTGACATACTGGAAGAACATAAACACAGATGTTGATTTTTGTAAAAAATCAAATGTAAACACACTTAACTGTGTAAACGCGAAAACAATTAACCATGATGTAATGATAATGAATGTTAAAACAAAGTTAGAGACCTCTGGGGATCCATAAGCAATCAAATCGAACAGAAAAGCAATGTAATTAAGAGTCATGGCATATGTCAGATAACGTGATTCTTCGTGTAATTGGTATTTGTTTTTTGATTGGTAATGTTATCACGCGATTGGTCTAATTGTTCGCTTTTTTGTTGTAGGTAAGTGTCGTCCTCGGTCCGGATGAAACCCCCGCCAATGAAGGTAAACCAATTAAATGCCATTTAAGACGTCGCGCCACTTGTTTTTCGCAACTGCAATCGATAATAAATCATCGATGACAATCAGTAGTAGTCTCGGTCGTAAATAATAAAACGGTCAATTATCTCGACGGTTCCAATTTGCGTGCTGGACTGAATTAACTCTGCCTTGTTACGTTTATTTGACTTTTTTCGCGTAATATGCAAATGCTCCAAGTCGCGCGGTGTTCTGCAGGGATGGCTTTCGGGTTCGCGATTGCACGCTTATATAAAAATTAATTAACTCGGACGCATTTCGAGTGTCCGTTTTTAATTGAAACATTACATTTACATAGGAGTTGTGTCCCGTTTCCAAGAACAATTGCAGATAATTGGATCGGCTAGTACACAAATGACAATTAAAATGAAACGTTGCTCATTACCAACGCGAATAAAATATCATATCACAAAGATTAATTAAAACCGATTCCGCGGTCTAAAGGCGCCCACACATGATCGCGATTGATTGACCGAACGAACGGTCTTGCATAGAGGTCGACGCTAATTGAATTCTGTGTTTGCGGATGCTTATTACCAAATTAGCAACGCTTAATTACCGATGTGTTTTATTAGTAAACACAACTACTCGCTTACATTAGGCCGCATTAACGTTCAAAGCTTTACACTTCGACTAAACGAGGCCCGCTTTATTTAGTTTGTCGAACAAAGCGTTTCTTAATCTAAATATGTGCATACCCGGTTGAGACGTAATTGTTACCAGGGTGGGTGGGGCCGGTTCGAAAAAGTCATTTTTACAAACGAATAGCAACGAAAAGTGATGAAAGATGTAAACGGAAAAGAAGTTACCACATGGTTATGGCCCGGTTGTGTTAATCGACGACTGATGACTAGGCGAAGAAAAGGCTTTTCGTGAAAAAGCAATTGATACTGTTTGAAATCGAATAATTAAACTAACGGGTAAACTAGTTTTTGCTAAGATTTAACAGAAACGCGCGATTAAAGAGAAGAAAAGAAAAAAAGAAAAAACCTTAATTGCTATAAAATTATAAAAATGTAGGTGGATATACATACCAGCCTGTATGAGAGTTTAAATTTCGCATTTATTTCTGTTGGAAAAATAATTTTCGAAGTTTTTTTGCTATAGGCTGTTAAAAGAGAAAACAAGGAAGCTGTATCCTGAATTGTACAGTAACTCTGTTCAATGTTATTTGTGGCTTTTATGGCAAAAATTTTGTACCTTTACTAAATAATTGTAAAAAACATATACAAGATCATCAGTATCATTAAATAGATATAAAAAAATGTCAAATGTCAAAAAATAAATGTCAAAATTT